GGCCACCTTTTTTCTCGACTTTGTGATTAAATTATCTTACGATCCAAGTAAAAAGAAAATGGGTATTTACGAGTTTTTAGTGCCTAATTAAGTAAACAAAGTTTGCCCCCCTCTATATTAAAAACGCCCCAATTCCAAGAGTTTTCGTAAATAAAATAGTTGTAGGTTATGATGGGATGAAACTACACTCTGACAGCTCTTCGTTATAATATTGGGATTACAACAGTCAGCTGTTAGTTGAAATTACTAAACCTATTATAATATTAGCAACCATAAATAATTATGTTAACCTTACAAGCATACTTTTTATCACAGTTTAGCATAAAGTAACTGCATTTTTATCATTAAAAAAAACAATCATATAGATTTCCATGTTTTCGTTTTTTTTTCGTTCATCGCTAATCGTTAATACATTTACAAAAATACAAGTGCTAAACTATAAAACATCTGTTTGTTGAATTCGATATAAATATCGAAAGCTTACATAATTCATTCCTGTGAAAGGTTTAGTAGACAACACATACTATAGTTCGCCCACAAGAATATAGCAGAGGTTGAACCTCACACCAGCAACAAGTTGAAGCTAACGCATTAAGAGATAAGTTATAGGAATATGTATTTAAAATTAGTCTTTTGTTTAGTGTTTCATTCTTTAATTAAAATAATTCAATTGAAAATGTTACTTTTATGGCGATATGGAAGATGCTGTTGACTTGGCTTTTCTCATTACCTCGATGCTATATTTAAGTGGGCGAACTATAACACACAATTATGTTGCAAGAGTTTTGGAACACATTGTTTACTTTCTCATATCAAGAAATTTTGTAATTCTGGTGGCAATATTAATTAATGGAAGAACAAGAAGTATCTTACGTGAGGAAAACATATCATTAGATTCGTGAATAAGAAATTATTCAAAAGATATGTTTGGATTTACTAGTAACGATAGATGGAGACCGCAACTTTTTTATTTAACGGTAAGAGGAAAAGCTTGTAACATATATGTATTATCATCTTTAATACATTTTTCAATAAACAATAACAAAATGGATTATAGACTAACAATGATTACATCCAGAAATACAAATTTGAATGTAAATAGATAGTTTCATTTTCCAGTTCATTGTCACTAAAATGGTTATTTCGATATTTATTGGAATCTGTTAAGAGGAATTGCAAATGTTTTGTTTGGAAATTTATTGATTTACAAGAATAATTGTAATCCATTTTGTACTTAACTGCACTGAAAAATAATTTGACGTTAAACCATGTCTGAGATCTTATCGCCATGTCTAATGATTTTAACTGCTACATATCTCGATAGCTGTTTTGAATTTCATCATATTGTACGAATAAAATATGCAGACATGTTAATCCGTACATATATTATTACAGTAAGGCTCGAAATCGGTTTTGTACCAAATATAAGCTCCTGTCATGCTCAAATATCATGAATGGGGTACCGTTGGATTCAGAATTTTACGGGGGTTAGCGAATCGTATTCTCCACTTTTGTTTTTCTTTCTAAATAAAGTCGATACAAACATTTTTCTAGGCTTCAATACTGGAACGGTGGTAGGTCTGTATATCGATGCGAGACAAATTGGACCTTGAAGATTTTGATCTTCCTTCGGAACTATCGGATCCTGCGTTTTTAAGCCCAAAAACGTACCATTTTCGAGATAAAGCAAGGCATGGGGTTCGCATCCACACAACCTGACGTTAATTGTAGTACTGTCATTGGATACATGTCTCATTTCGTCGACTTGAGGTCTCTATGATCGAGACAGGAGGAGTTTATGTTATTTATCGTTGGTGTTTTTGATCGGCAAGCCATATCATCGTTAATTCTTCAACAAATCTCAAGGGTTGAGCCACCAATTTCGAAGCCTTCCTTCTCCTTCAGGCGGGAGAAATATTCCAATCATCCCGAAAATTCAGGCAAACAAGTTATGAAAAAAAAGAAACTTTATTTGCGAATAACTAAACAAATACACACTTTTCCCTTGGTCATTCCATTAATTGTATAAAACGTTACTAATTTTCTACAAAAGGAAAAAAAAATCATTGAATTTTGACAATTTTTAGCAAAGATACAGCTTACTGAAATTTGTAAATATGTTGGTTCCAAACAAAAATGAAGATTTAAATTAATTTTGTTTCCTTTGTTTATTATATTTATGGATAAAGTAACAATTGATTTCTTTATCTTTTGATACGTTGCATTATTTTATTTTCTTATTAATTTGGCATTTGATAACAATATGCTGTGCGAATTTTTCGCATGGGCCTACTAGTGTTTTCAATATTAACATTGATATTTTTTATATATATATTTTTTTATCTTATACCTTGATCGTCTTGAGTGAGCTCTTTCAGCCATGCACCGTCTAGCAGCCCAGTAAATTTCACCTTCTGCCCTGGCTCTGTTCCTAATGTCTTGCAGTCCGGGACAAGTCAGTAAATGCATAGCAGTCATGAATCCTTGTCGACACAGTGGACATGTTGCTGAATCGACTACCCCAATACGGTATAGATGGATATGGAGATAGTCATGTCCGGATTTCATCCTAAACTGTGCTGCGGCCTCATTTCTAGGGAGATCCACTGTCACTCTTCCATTTTCTTATCCTTTAACTCCAACTGCCGTTTCTGTTCCAATCCTTCAATGATTACTGCTTTGATTAGCTTCTTTGTCATCAAGAAAGAGATTGGCTGAATATGGCTGATCTTTCCCGCACCTTCTTTTGCTGGTCGGTCAGCATTTTCATTACCTGTCAAACCACAGTGTCCTGGTGTCCACTGCAGAACAACACCTGTGCCATCTAAAATCACCTCCTCAATCAATTCCTGACATATACTAATTTGATTTATGGAACAGCAGAAGAATCAGAAATGGCTATTATTACAGCTTGCGAGTCGATTAGGACCACAACGTTTTGCGGTTTAGACTTTCTTATTAGTTCTAATGCTAGAAAAACTGGTTTTACTTCATTGTCAAAGTTACTTGTTAGCTTTCCCAAAGGCTCTGACATTTGGAAACGTTCAGCATAAACACCAGCTCCCCCACTCTTTCTTGCTCTATTCGCAGAAGCGTCTGTGTACACGTGTAACCATGTGAGACTAGGGTACTTGTCTCTTACGGTTTCAAGTGCTACATTCCTTAGTTCTATCTTAGAGAAAACTTTGCTTACTGATTGGTTGCAGGAAGTGTAAATTAGTTTGTGCTGACTTTGTAAAGACTCTTGGTGGAATCGTCATGAAATTTTCTCTTGAAGAGATACCAAGTCCTTTAATTAATTAATTAATATTAATGTCCTTTAATAATATAACTTTGCTCAAAATGCACTGGATTTTATTTACTTAAGAAAAACAGAAAAAAGTACTTCTTAACGCACAATGAGTGGGATAAATAAAACTTAGGTTAAATGAGGGAATTAAAACATAATACATATATGAAAATCGTAATTACTCCAATTTTTGAAGCTGGCGTTTTTACTTTTTTGTTGCTTTTATTTTATTTATTACCACCATATCCTGCATTTTGGTAATATTTGTTCATTTAATCTATTTTCTTGTTCCCTTGGCTCCACGCAAAACAGACTTTTGGTCGAAGTAGCGGGATGCCTCTACCACTTATCATTAGAGGAGGTTGAAATGATCATTCCCACCTAGCTGATGAAAATCATCCTCCGTGGTGATGTAGAGTCCGGTTTCCTTCAGAAGTTTGGCCCCTTGCCACTTCTATCGTTTTTTTTATTCTATTCTTTTCAATCGAAGGAGGCAAAAATAATGAACACGTACGAAATCCTTTGATCCGTACACGAATGTTTCATATGAAGTTGGTAGTTCTAGAACTTTATTGAGGCAGCTTACTAGATGTAGGAAATGTTCTTTCATGATGATGTGGAATCTAGCTTCCCTCAGTTGTTTGCCCCTTATTTTCTCAAAACCATTATTGGTCGTAATGACTTACTCTGCAGGTCACTAGCGGATCCAAGATTGAGTTTTGAAGAGGGGCTTCAGGCCGAAAGATTTTTTTTTTAAATATATAACTATTAACTATATAATTACTTAGGAAGAAAAAGAAAAAAACTAACTACCTATATGAAATACGATAATAATACTTTTAGATGTAATTATTAATATTTTTTTCATAAGATAGGTTATATTTTACCAATTTGGAGGGGCTTCAGCCCGAGAGCAGTTTCTCCCTCCCCCTCCCCGTAGATCCACCTGTGCTGGAGGTTCCGGAACACTACAACAAGTACATACCACAGGGAGTTTGATAGGACTGTCCTTCCCTAAGTCATGGAGTTTTTCCTGAGTTACTTAAAGGCACATTTTCCACCTTAAATTGATTAGAAGTAACTAACGGTGATTTCATGATTAAGGATGATAAGTGCGTTCTTACTAAAAGGTTGTTATAGTGGATTTGAGATGAGTTTGAGTGTAGGATAGTAGTGCCCCCTCAATCAAGCTCCACCTCACACTTTTTGGATCCTCAAACAGAGGATTTGAATTGAAGGAACTCTTATATGTATGAAGGACGGCGGGATTGGATGACTTGAATGAGTAGGATACTAGAAAATACTTATGCCGATAGGCAGGATATAGCCACTTCAACTCTGCATAAATACAGCAAACAGAGGCGTTCTCTGGGATCCCGAAGATGAATCGTACAAAGAAATTGATCAAACGTTTTAGTTTCGCCTCGAGATCCTCAGAGACGCCCTCATGTACCGTGCAGCAATAGTCAAAGTAGGAAAATATTAAGGAAGTGACTAGGAGCCTACGAGTTTCAAGGGGAAATAGGTGACGGAAGTAATTTAGACGTTTAGAAGTGGAAAATGTACAGCGGGCTTATACGCCTTTATATAAACTTTCTTTCCAAAAAAAACCCTATTAAAATAACCTAATGTTTAACAGTGTTTATCTACAAAATAAGTACGGTTTGTGATTGAAAGAAATAATAGTTTTGGTTTATGATGATTAATGCAGAACCCGGATAGATCTGGAGGAAAGGAGCGGAGCTCTAGAGAGAGAGAAAGCCAAAGTGGAAGAAAGATTGGAAGAGGCCAAATACCAATCAGCTCTTGAGAGCGAGAGTCTGCGCAAAGAGGCCGCCATAACTCAGCGCCAACTGCAGCAGGTCCTAGAGGTTAGTGATGTACGTATAACAAACACTATATGACTAATATTTATTTTACAAAATTTTGTTTTTTAATCAATGGCTTTTAAATTACAGTAATCCATTGATATTTTGTACTTTCCTAACTATACTAGGTAAGGAAAGTATTGCGACCGGGTCAAATTTCCGATGTGCGGTGTTCGATGGATCTACACGTTTCAGAGCTCCTGGAGTCCGAAAAACACATTTTGTTGCCTCTTTTATCATTCTGTAAGGTTTTTACTATTAGTGCCTTTGGCAATAATCGGGTGCTCCCTGCGCAATAGCGGCTGCGCAAACAGTGAAAACATATTTTTCTCTAGACTGTAGCGCGAAAACCGCTCTAACGATTTTGATGAAACTTTCCTATAATTTTCTAATTGACGTCCTTTCGATTAGTACATTAGTATATTAGTACATGTACTAAACTCCCGAGAAAATTCAGGAAAAATGTTATAAAGAAAAGACAAATGTTAATACCCAGAACCACTCTCGTGTGTATATATATATATATATATATATATATATATATATATATATATATGGAGTTTCACAAGTCGCTCCCCAACGACTAAGGGCATTCAAGGCCAGGGCCACCCAATTTCTCAGTCAGTCCATATGAGGGGTCATGTTAAACCTTTTCTAAATTTTACAGCAAGATAAGTTCTCTCACTTGAACGAATTCTTGTCCCTTGAATATTTAGAGTAATAGAATGAGCACTGTCTGTGGTACCTTTTAGTAGGATTGTCTGGGTTTTTGCAGCAGCCATGTACAACTCTTTTTTCTTACACCAATCTCACACCAGAACCTCTCCTGCAATAACCATATATCCCAGACTAAACTGTCGTTAAACAACTCCTACGATTTCCTTATTGTATTTCTCTTAAAACCAAACAGCTAGTTGTAATCTCGCTTATACTCTCCCACTTCAAATATGGCTGCTTTGTGTATGTAGAATTGTCTACCAGGCTAGAAAGGATACTGAAGAGACTAATAAACTGTTTCATAGATACATCTTTGGAATCTTAGGAGTTCTCACGTTTTCTGCTGATACACCCAGCTGAAGTGGCTTTATCCTACTTCCCGACGACAATTCCTTCTTGGTGTTTTCCTTTTCAAGTCCTCAAAACTAAAATCCTACCACAAATCCTGGAGCTCATTGCTCTGTGTTCCTCTATCCACTCTCTCAATACCAGGTTTCAACTAATTGATTTATATATCCCCTCTCATAAAACTATTTCTTTCAACAAATTCTTTGACATTCGTGCTACCTCCTTTTGGAACTCTTTACCTACCTCCATATGTCAATCGTCGTCCACAAATTCCTTCAAACGACTCCTGTTCCACCACCTACTCCATATTCAAACTTCCGCAAACATGTAAAATATATTTGGGTCTATACACTGTATAACTCAATCAACTGTAAAATCTTAATAGCAATGAACTTTGTTAGGTATCATTTTGTATTCCTCTAAGATAGACGAAGATTCTTAATTATGTAACTCTGTTCGATAAGGCAGATAATAGTCCTTTACACAGCTCCGGAGTCGTCGCCGTTGAGATCGATCGCTATGTTCTATTTGAGGTTTCGAGCTGAATTAATTTTCGAGCGGGAGGGACATCAACCCACTCCGCACCACCCTAGGCCCATGGTGGGGCTGCCACCCCAGAGCATCCAGTCCTGCTTCCCCTCCTTGGCGGCTACATAGGGTCCCCCCCTAGGATGTGTACTGTTGATGACCTTTGTCTTGTGGTGTTGGAGTGAGTGCAGTGTGCTGTATTAGTTTACTGTATGAGTGTGAGTGTTCTGTTCCTGCAACATGGAGGACCAGTGGCTGTCTGCGGTACTATGACCGGGCGATGAAGGTGGTTGAAGAATACTACAGCGGCTAAATCATCCAATTAGGCAATAGCAGGGAACCGCTCCTCCTTTCATACTTCCAGCAACTCGTCCAAGACCAACTTCCATGGAGCAGGACCTAGGACAGATCTCTGTGGACATCCCCTCTCTATGGAAGCTTGTGTTTCAAAGGCACTACTTCCTACTTTGATTTTCCTGTCTTGAAGTCCTTACCAGGATCTTTGATATACCTTTACGCATCCTCTTAACCTTTTGTTGCCAACTTTCAATACCAAATTAAACAGTGTGGGAGGAAGAGGTTTTCCGTTTGACATCCTTCTGAACTTCAGTACTTCCTAAAACCACCTCGAATTATTACAACACCTTTGTTGATCTGCAGAATCACCTTAGCAAGCCTGATAAGCTTCAGTGGACATTCCCAAAATTTTAATGTTTGATTCCGTACAGATCTCTCTTAACTATCATAGGCTTGTTTGTAGTCAATAAAAATAACAGAGAGAGTACGCCGATACTATGGAGTGCGGGCACCGACTGGGGGTCGTATCTAACCCGAACTCCTCCTCCCCTCTCCCCCGGACAGGACATAGATGTGCAAGCACACAACCGGTGCTCACGGAGAAGCCAAATCCTACTATACAGCTTTCCACCACTCCTCAGCACACTGAAACCATATGGATGGCCGAAACTTTGTTACAAAGAAATACAAGATAGGCGAGAGAAGATTACCAAATAAAAAGCGACATGAAAATGAAAGTTGCAGATGATGGTAGATAGCCAGGACGCAACCATTTTTTATTTATTATTTTCAATAATGAACCATTGTGATCGAACAAAAAATTCAAAAACTTAATCCCCTCTCAAAATTTGAGGTTTTACGTTTCAGGATACATAGAATTCGTAAAACGGATAAAAATGTTTAAAACACCTTAGTTGTTTTGTTTTTTAAAGAGAATTAAAATTGAGTTAAGATCTAAAAAAAGAAACTATTTATATATTAATACAGAAGATATCATTATCCTCTTTTGGTAGGAGAAAGAAATGCTGTCGCGTGAGGTTTCGAGCATCTCCAGGGAGACCCGGATCACGGAGTCTGCGCTGAAGGACCAGGCCCGGCTGACGACGAGGCTAGAGGAAGCTCGTGCGGAACTGAACAGGCTGAAATTGCAAATGGAGGAGATGAAGATGGAGCGGGACACTGCGGTGGCCATCGCGGCCGATCTGGCGGTCAGGGCGCAAGGTGCGGCGGACGACTCCGCTCAGCTCATTGGCCAATGGGTCAGGAGGTAATACTAGTGTTGCTATAGTCAGGTTATAGACAGATAGGTAGGTCGGTAGCTAATAACTTTATTCTGGAATAAAGTACCTTGAGAATAACAAAATTAAAAGATTACATTTTACCTAAATAGATGGATAGACCAGTCTACACTTTTATATACACTTTTAAGAAAACAATAAAGAAAAAAATTAGAAAAATATATATTAAATTCTTCATTAAAATAAGCTTTGTGTTTCTGTTAAGAAAAGAGAAAGGTGAACCTGACAATATAAAGTGCCTGATTAATATATAAATACATTATCATTTAAATGTTGATTAATACGTAAATACATCATCATCATTTCTTATGACAATATGCCTATGATAACAATAGGCAACAATTTAGTGGTGTATAAAAGATAATAGTTATAAACAAACAATAGATGCGTTAAGTGAACATCAAGAGTAGGAAAATCTTTACCCTATAAGAAAATTATTATCCGTAGCAAAGATGCGATGTCAGGAAACAAATGAGGCTTTGTTGATAAACTTTTACGCCATAAATACACAATTGGGTGAGGTTACTCTTTTGGTAACCTCACCTAAGCCAACCTGCTTTGTTTACAACTCAGCAGTGCTGTCAGATAACATGCATTAACTCTTCACATTCCCACTTTTACAATTTATGATTTAAATTGTAAACTGGTTTAAAATAACAAAACAAAATTTAAAATATTCAATACAAAAATTTACAGGTTAAATAATTAATTTAATAACACTTAATAAACTACTTTAAGAAATGTTTTATACTTCCTTTTTTAGTCTTGATAAGATCACTGGCTAATAACATTTCGAGATACACAACTCTTGTTAGCGGGTTTTTTATTTTTTTTCTCTTCTCTTCCAGTTTCTTCTTTAGAGCACAATGAAGAATTATTCGTACCACCAGTTGTTACTTGTACTCCTCTCCTTGTACTTTTCTGACTAAGATCTGGTTCTGGAGGGGATCTTTGGCTGACGACAGCTCTGATACTATCTCTTCTGATATTCCTGGAAAGACTGTTTCGAGCTGCAGGTGTGTCAGATGGTTTTACCCTACGGGATTTTATGACGCATGGAATTATTAACTGGTTCTGATCCGGTCTTCTCGGCAGCGCCATCATCTAGACGACTCCTTTGTAAACTATTGTAATGGGTCAAAGATATTCCAGCTTAAACTGAATGGTGAGACTCACTTGCACTAGAGTCAAAGCGCTGTAAATGTGTCTCTCTCTCTATCGTAGGTGTTCTTATCATGGAACAGGTCTGTGATTTAGTTTGCCCAATAACTGTCCGACCTAGCCTAGTTTCTGTGGCTATCAAATTTTCAGTAATTGGTTCTAACCTTCCTATCAGGTTTTGTTCCGTGACATCTGCTCCAAGTATTAACTCTACTTCTTGCTTGTCTCTACAACCATCGCCATCGCTCTATCGTATATTATTTCTTTTTAATACATCTAGGCATTCATCATTTGATCTGGGTATATCACTGTAAATTTTTATTTTATCCAACTTTACTCCACCAGAAAATTTACCTTTGTTTCAGAAATTTTGACATTGTTTCAACAACTTCAAAAAGGTTATATGAATGTATTTCTTCCTTTTCTTTCTGTAATTGCTCTCTTGAAGGACTGATAGTTGCTGAAATATCATCATCATGCCAAATTTTATTTGAATGCTCAACCAAAGCATAAAATTTACTTTTTATTTCTATCCACTTGTCCTGATAACTTATGGATGCCTCGAATTCATCCTCCAGTTCTTTTTCCACACACATGAGATGCTACTATTTAATATTAGGAAATCACTTCAGGAAACAAATGGGGCTTTTTTAACTATTTGGCAGTTTTCTACTGTTCAGCACGCATCATCCTTAATTTCTCACACACAAGAGATGCCACTATTTAATATTAGGAAATCACTTCAGGAAACAAATGGGGCTTTGTTAACTATTTGGCAGTTTTCTACCCTTCAGCACTCATTATCCTTAATTCCCCACAAGGGATGCCAATATGTGATGTCAGGAAATCACTTCAAGAAACAAATGAGGCTTTGTTGATGAACTTTTACACCACAAAACACTTTTATTCTTCTACATAAACATCACACTATCAGGATAACCTCACCCAAGCCAATCTGCTTTGTTTACAACTCAGCAGTGCTGCCAGATACCATGCATTAACTCTACAAAAGAATAGCATGGATATTTGACAATGAATCTATCTGACAGCAACTATCTGACTGTTTTTGGAATAGGAATTGGAATAGTAGGGTCTTGAATGTGGATATGGAGGGGGAATGTCGAATTATGATAGGGAGGGAATTCCAGGAATTGACAGAGCGAGCAATAAAGGAGTTTTGGAATGAGGCAGATCTGTGAGAAGGCATGTAAAGGTTAGAAGGTCGAGTTTTTTTTTTTATCAACATAAAATAAACTAGACGAAACCACAGTTCGGCATAATTTTTAATTTCTTTAAGATTCTATATTATATATCGCGCCTTATTGCTAATTTTTATTATTATATAATTATTCTTATTGCCAATTTGTAACCATTATATAAGTTCAACAATAATTTAAGCCTTCATTTTTTATATTTTTATTGTTCGTTATATTGTGCTTCTCTTTCTATTTCATAATAATTGTAATTAAATCACAATATAATATAAATAATATTATTATATCCTATAATAATTAATATATTTTAGTCAAGGGGAAATGTCTAGATCGAAAAATAAGTGCTATTACCTAGGTAAAACCAAACTAAGACCTCCAGATGAATAAATATCATTTCCCATACAAATGTTTAGTCTAAACAGGATAGTATTAAGTAACAGGAGCTCAACACACATCTAATTAAATGAGAAGCTGTGTAATTACTGCTGTGTTTATAGAGCTAATAGGAGAACTCCTGTAACCTCTTACGCTCCTTATACTAAAATAAAATATGACACACACTAAAAACTTTTTATATAACAATGAGAGATTGTTAATTACATGCAAATAGCCCCTACCTCCGTACTCATCTTCCGTTAGATTAAAAAAAATTAATCATGATATTGAGTTTAGATTGAATGAACTTTGAGTCATTGATGTTTTTATTCAGTTATTTTATTTTATTTTTTTTTTTAGAGAAATGGAAAACCGTAGGAAAAAGGGCAACCCTAGTATGGGCAGTACAGTTGAAACTGATGAAGTTTCTTATAGCACCCAAAATATTGAACGGGAGAATTCGCAAAATGAAAAGACTGAGCTGTTTCAGGAATCTGTATCAACTTCTTTGGAGTAAGTCATTTATACATAATAACGTATTTCAGCGTTAAAATGGACATGAATTTGTCGTTCCATATCATTAATTTTTCATAATATTCCATGTTAGAGACACTTTTTAATCAAATTATTAACATCCACCTTAAATCTCGTGAATAGAGAGTAAAATAGAAAAGAAATTACTCAAAATGTTCCCCTTTTGCCTTGACACAGGCATTTAATCTCCGTGCCTAATCATCAATAGAAGCACGCAGAATTTCTTGAGGAAAGCGCTCAACTGCTCAGACCAGAGATTGTTTGAGGCTTTCCAAGTTAGGGTGTGCTCTGTGGCATGCCATCCTCTCCAGTTTGGACCGATAATCTAGTGGGTTGAGATCAGGGCTTCCTGAGGGCCAATCCGAGGCAGAGAGATGAACTCTGGTATGTTCTTTGACAGCCACTGCTGAGTTGACCTGGCCTTGTGAGCTGGAGTAGAATCCTGCTGGAAAACCCAATGACTTCCAGCAAACAGAGTATCATTTGGAGGCTTGACGACAAGTTCCAAAATATCGTCCTTATAGTTTTAGCGGTTGTATTAACTCCATTTTTTTTTTTTTTTTTTTTTTTTTTACAAAAATGGAGCTTTGTGGTGCCATCAAAGCAAACTCCCCAACAAACCATCACTGAGGAAGGGTGATGACCTCTTTCCACTCTTCCAATGACTTCCTGGGCTTCTTTAGCGCTGTGTGACAAGATACTTTTGCAATTAATTTTTTCTTTAATTGATTTCGATGAAGATCATTGGTGTAACGACGAAGGAGCACTTTGCATCTATGCACTCTATTTTTTTTTATTTTTTTTAGGGAATTGGTTAGCCTTTGTCCTGTTATTTTTCGAAATACATCCATCCTAAGGTTACTTTTTATAATGCGAGACATTGGTCTGACAGAGAACACATTTCTCGAGACATGATTTGTTGTTTTCGAATGGGATTTCTTCTGATTCGAGCAGCCACTGCTCTCACTGCATTTGCCGTTCTCACAGTGCGGGGACGGCCCGGTCGAGGTCTGTCACATACAGATAGGGTCTCATTATATCTATTTATAGTACGGTACACGGACTTACGGTTGATACACAAAGGTTTCAAAGTGTTGAAAATCTCTGACCTACATTTTCTAACTTTGTGTAAGGTGATCACATTTATTCAGTTTTATTTATCACCCCACTCCGTGTTAACTGAGGAAAAGAAATATAAAAACTAATTGGTATTATTATCCTGACATTTAAAGAAAATAACTTGATAGAGGTAAAGACTATCTAAGGATGTAAACAAAATTGAACTTCTTTAACAGTATTTATGACAGAATTAGGTAAATCTATTAATTGTGTCTGATACAGACCCCAATCTGGAGATCGGGAAACTTTTTCTATTTAATTAGGAACTAAAAACTCATAAATACATTTCTCTTGAATCGTGAGATAATTTCATCACAAAAAAAAAAAAAAAAAAAAAAAAGCTGTCATACAAAACTATTGGTTCGTCTGGCATGACGTTCAGTGTTAACATGTTAAAATAACGAGATTGTATAAACCAATATTTTTGCAGGCCACGTTTTTCCCTATTTTGTGATTATTTTATCTCACGAACCAAGTGGAAAATCATTGAGTATTGATTATTTTACTACTCCATTAAATTGATTTAATTAATTTAATGTTCCCAGTCCGCTGGTGTTCCTCAAGGTAGTATCCTAGGTCCTATCCTCTATACAGTTTATACAGCTGACATCCCAACCCATCCCAACACTGTCATCACCACATATGCCGATGACACATGTATCCTATCAGTAAACAATGACCCAGCAATCGCATCCCAAATGCTTCAATCACACATCATAAATCTAGAAGAATGGTGTCAAAATTGGAGAATTAAAATAAACTCCAATAAATCCCACCAAATTGCCTTTACCCTTCGTCGTAAACCTACGACTTCCTGTCCTACAGTTTCCTTTAACAATACTCCAGTTATCCCTGTTGAGCAAATCCGATACCTAGGACTCAACCTGGACAAACGACTAACTTGGAATCCTCATACTAGACTGAAACGACAAGAAACCGCTCGACGTTTCCGATTACTTCAGCACTTACTAGACAAACGCTCTAAACTTCCCATTAATTACAAAAGACCCATATACTTGACTATAATAAGACCTATTTGGACTTACGGAGTTGAGCTATGGGGCTCCACTAAACCATCGAATTCCTCTCGCATCCAATCCTTACAATCCAAAATCCTTCGTAAAATCCTCAATGCTCCTTACTTTGTCACTAATAAAATTATCCATAAAGATCTTAATGTTCCTTATGTTTCAGATCTGGCCCAATCCAGATACCTACCCTTCCATAATAAACTTCAGAATCATCCCAACCCTCTTGTTTCTAACCTTGCTTCCTCTTCAATTCCTGATAACCCTCCGAGGCGTCTGAAAAGAAGATGGCCCCGTGATCTCCTAATGTAGTCATATCATTAGAGTGCTACCATTGGGTAGTTACTCAGCAAGTGTATTCATGTCATTATATCAATTATGTCCAAATTTACTTGATGTATTTATGTAATACAGTTGTAAATGTCATAAAGAAATAAAAAATAAAAATAAAAATTAATTTAATGAAAAAAACAGCCCATTTCTGAGATTTACAGATACAGAAATGCATACACGAAGTTTTAGAAGGATGTTAATAATTTGGTAAAAAGGATTTGTAACTCGGACTTATCTTTTTAATAAATCCATCAGCTTTCCTAAATTATATATTATTTTCTAAACCTCTTAATATGAGTAACATTTATACGAACAAATTTGTAAATTTTTCAGAACTGAAGAAAACCAAATGTTCCTGAACAGTATGCAAGAAGAAATGGATCATCATAAAGTCCACTTGGACATGAATGCAGATGAAGGAACTATAATTAAGTATGTATCAACTCTGTGATAGTTTGTAATCGAAATGTAAAAAAACAAGTCACTAATTTTTTACTTTCACATACCAATATATGTAATATACAGTAAGGGAGAATATTGCGACCGTGAAAATGTTCGAATCTTGAGTTTTCAATTGAAATATACGTTTTGAGGATCCCTCAGTCCAAATTACCAAGTCCCGCAAAATAGTATGGGTGTGTGTATGTAAACAGTCTACAGCACAAAAACAAAAAGTCGTACGAAACCGGTATTACATATTTAAGATACGTATATGCTTTAGATGTGACTTTTACGATAAAATCGATTAACCTGAAGTACCACTTTATATGAACGGTGATACACATTTTTACAATTTTCTAAAAAACGACTCAAACGATTTTGATTACACTCGGTGTATAATTGTATAATTAAGTGACCATTAATACCAATTAGGTCTTATCCCCATTGATGTCATTTTACAGGGCTTAAATACCCAATGTTCAACATGTCTTCCACTAAAGTACCTTTAATTTGGTTTATTTTAAATAATTAACTATCCTTCATTGTTAAAAGTTAAGAAAAATAGGATAAACATAACTTTTGAAAGAATTTGATAATTGAATGAAGGAGAAAAAAAAGAAAAATGCTTATTCAGGTCGAAAATGAATTTTCGGAAATAATAGTCAGAAGGTATACGTGTAATATATCGTTGGAAAGCGGAGAATTTTAGATAAAATAATATCTAATAAATAAAGTTGTAGAAGACAACGGAGAGTGACTAAAAAAATATAAATAATAATTTCTGAAAACTAACATTATTTAACGAAAACCATATGTTTTCATGGAAATTAAATGAAATTTTCTTACTAAATGTCAACATTTAAACAAAATTTTAAGTTTGACAAAAAGTATTTTAAAATCCACCGAATCAAGCCAATAACATTGTTTAAAATATTATTTCATTGTTCTTGTGTGATAGAAGAAGTGAAATAAAAAAATATTTCATGTATATATTTATAACCTCAAATATATTTATTGTAGTTTAATAACTCTAGATCCGATATTATATTAAAATAATTAGGTATCTATCATCCGTTTATTCCTAAAAATCATTATGCAACCTTTTAGAAAATTAATTTAGTGAATAATCTGATGAATTTTCCCTTTGCGATATTCCAACAGAATCCACTTACAATTAGTGTGAATACTTTTGACCTGTCTATAGCAGACAATGCAAATCTCTTATTTCCGTTTTAGTAAACTTTGCAATGGAAAATAACAGTTTAATAACTAATTGTCGTAAAATCCATAATCAACGGATCGTGCAATCCATAAATAGGACACAATAAAACATGGTATTAATGATTTGTTAGCTATAAGCTATTTTTTACCTCGGTTAAAAATCCACTTCAAAAATTTTATAATATTCCAACATTGCCAGAAAATAATTTCTATTCAAAGTATAGCGGTAAGTGAAAGTTGTGTGTTGCGCGTACCAGATTTTTTTATTTAATACGCATTGAATTTCAAAAAACAATGATATCGTGACAATGTAGATCAAATTCCGTATTCACTCCTGACATATAAAACATAAATTTTAGTGTTTCTAAAACTCGTTTACACGGTGACAATTTCTTTGTAGTAGTACTGTCAAGACAGCGAGGCGACAGATGTTTATTTGCTAGAATCAGTGGTACTCAGGAAGAGGTATTATGGTACAAGTTGTCCCACCAAAATTTTTGACGGGACGCATCTCAACGGGTTTATGAATTTTCGGAATTATAAAGTTTTAGAACAAGGCACTAGCGGATCTAGGATTTTAATTTGGGGGGGGGCTTCATCCCGAAAGCTGTTTTTTTCATAAAAATAACGATAATTACTTTGGAAAAAAAGAAAGAAACTAACTACCTGTATGAAATGGTGTTTAAGTGATTCCTAAAGCCCTTTTAAATGTAATTACACAAACAATAATAGTTTAAGAGATACTTTTTTAATATTTTTTTCGATAAAACATGGCTATATTTTGGAGGGGGCTTCAGCCCGAAAGCCTCCCCCCTCCCCCCGTAGATCCGCCTGTGGAACAAGGGACAAGGAGAAAACTTGGAACAGATCGCAGCAAGCGTAATTATTGTGTATGATATACGATTTTTCTAATTCTATTTTGCCTTGCTCTGTTTTTGTGAAAAGGTGAGCAATACAATATCTTGGGAGGTTCTTGCGGACTTTGGCGGAATGGCCACCCCTATCTAGAACAACATTTATTTTTTTGTAATACTGTACATGTGGCGTTCCGCTTTGATGAGTCGACCAAGATCTCATGATCACACGCTATAAATGGGATTCCGAGAATAGCCGAAGATTGAAGTTTTCGCGATATAACCTCCTTTTATTAATATCGTAATTTACGACCTCGGCAAACTCCCTACTAGCTCTTGAAACAGGGGCATTAACTTTAATAACATAAACATTCGACTCCCGCTCACTACATTCGCTCTAAAGGGACAAACAAACCTCTTTTCATTTGAGATCGCGTAATAAACCAAATGCTACTACTCTACAAGTGTCACTCCACTTTGATGGGTTTAATTAGGTTTAATTAAATTCACTCTACCACTGAAGGGTTCTAATTATAAGTACAAACCTCATATTTTATTAGATTGGTAGGAGAAACTGATGAAACAGTTTACTATTGGTTAAGTGACATTACTTCCTAACAAAATAGTAAGTTCTAAAAGACAATTGGTTACAGTAGTATAGGTTAGAATAATAAGGTATAATGTCGCCATACCTAGTTGTCCAACAACAAAATTAATTTTGAAATACGATGTCAAGTAATAATTTTCAGGATTAACGCCAGAATATAGTCCGTGCCTATCAGCTTACTTACGACGTCACAACCATTCATTTTTTATCTCAAAACAATTAATTTAATTAAACGAGTCCGTAGAAGATATAAACGGATACTTTCGTATTATCCCGCCGACCATATGTTCAATTGTTATGGGTCATAACCTAAACTATATCATTGTGAGTTATGTGTTATCTGTCTCGTTCCTTTGCATAAAATAAAATAAAATTTGAGAACTACATTATGAGGAAGAATTTCTTCAAAGTGTGTTTGTATGAGCATATCTATTTATTAAAAATACTTAATTTTTGCTCGGAATATCTTGAACTCTGCTCTCTTTGTTCCTCTGCACATTAAGAACGGTAAAGAACTTGAAGATGCAGTAGAGTATTTCACTCACAATCTACAAGATACAGCATCCTCTTCATCGGTAACAAGGTCTAGAAAATCTAAAATGCTTCCAATTTATTAACAATAAATAAGGGATTTAATGGTAACGAAGACGAGAGATCCTATAATATGACAGACTTCGATCAGATAAACGAACTTACAACAGACTTAATAGTGAACTCAACGAATTCAAGCGATAAGTCAAAACGACGAAAAGACGAAAAAGAAAAAAAAAAGGAATCAAGCGACAGATTGGGAAATTCAAACGAACAACTTATGACAGTTACATTGAAAATCTCTCAACCGAAGATGGAAGCTTGTGGAGACATACCAAAAACCTTACCAAGCATCCTGAAGTGTCAATACCCATCCGAGGAGATGATTCCTGACCCGTGACCGACGGGGGAAAATCGAAACACTTTGCTGAATACACTTCGTCTATTTTTTGCCACACACAGAATTCACAAATACTGAGCATGGCAACAATGTATAAAACACTTTGGACGTTTTCCTATTACTAGCATTTCCTCTTCTTTCCATCACTCCTTGCCAGGTTGCTGATAAAATTGCCAGGTTGCTGATAAAATCAAAATGTTGTCTGATAAAAAAAGTTCTTGAACATGACCAACTAACTCCTAGGAGTGGCGTACTGCCTGTAACAACAATTATAATGCAATATTGAGGACAACTAAAATTCCCACTACAATGAAAATACTCTCGTATAACCAAGATCCACAAACCTAACGAGGACAAAAACTCCCCTTCATCATACCGAACAATCAGCTTACCATCAAAATTTTCACTCAACTACATAGAGTGACAAACTACATGTCTGCTGCACTAGGGCATAAATTATATGCAATTGGTGTATTTTTGGATGTTACTCAAGTTTTTGACAGAATTTCATAAGAGAGTCTTCTGTTTGAACTTAAGACAATACTTCCACCTATCTATAACCCAATTCTAAAATCCTTCCTTTCTATCACAGATTTCTCCGTCCGACAAGGGTCAGAGCTATCTTCCATCAAGTCTCAATACTCCCCCCAAGTTCAATACTCGTTCCATTACTATATATTACATACACCCAGTACACACCTTGTAGTTCCAATATTTTAACAAGTACTTATGCAAACGACAGAACATGTTTAGCAAACACAGGGATCCAACATACGCCTCGCACATTAATTCACTTCTCGGGAAACACTCAAAATTACCTAATTGGACTTTTTCATCACAGATATTTGGAACAGCTTAAAAGGCTCGCATAAACAAACTTCAATTCTTTCAAGCAAAAACATTTAGGACAATTACAATAGCGTCTTGTGCTACGTTAGCAACATAACCTTACATCCTGACCTTCATATACCGACTGTTAACGAATCCATTACATAATTACAAGAGTGCCTCATAAATAACATGACCACACCACACAGGCCTAGTAACGTGGAAGAGGAGCTGAATGAGAGATCTACTCGCCTAATTATGCAAAATGCAGATATCACGTCAGGAGGAGGTGCAATCATCAATTTTTCCTGATTATCAATATATTTAATTTTTTATTTTGACATGTGTAAAGAAAGATAATCAGATAAAAAAAATAAATAAAATTTTTACTCCGCCTTATACATTTGCATAAATAAGAATCAGATGATATCCCACAACAATAAAACATATGGTCGACGTGATAATATTAGGTTGTGCGGAAAATAATGCAGGATTTTGAGTTTTCTTTAAAATATCCCTCGATATAACAAACTGGATTATTCATTTGTATGAATTTCAATACTTATTAATCCTTTTACAAACAATAATGTTTGTTTATCTCTGTAGCATTTCGCTGTTTAGAAATAATTCAGTCTTTACTAAGATATCATCGCGTTATTTTCGTATAATTTTGTTTTACGAGTTCAAACTCGGCCGGAATGGGGCTCAGACTGTTAGAAACATCAATCAAGTCTCGCTGCGAGAACAGCAGTATTGAGTGCACTGTTCAATAGTAGTTTAAAAAAATTCGGGAAGGAGACTTCAGCCATGAAGACAAAAAAGGTCATGGAAGGACTTCCTCTCTTGATGACTCTGCGGGCTGTTATGGAAGAAATCCTCTGAACAGCTGTTCGAGAACTTGCAGGGAAACTTAACCTTAGCAAATCAACCGTCGATGACCGCCTCAAGGCGATTGGAAAAGTAAAAAACCTTGAAAGTTGGGTTCCACAATTAACGACCGCCAAATAATAACAGCGTTATGAAGTTTGTGCTGCAGTTCTTTGCCGCCCCTTTTCTTCCCAGAATTGTTACTTGTGATGAAAAATAGATACTTTACGATAACAGTAGAAGTTCTGGACAATGGCTTCATAGAGGAAAAGCAGCAGAACATTTTACAAAGTCCCCAATTCATAAAAAAAATAAAGTGACGGTTACTATTTGGTGGGCTTCATTTGGTTCGATATACTATAGCTTCTTAAATTCTAGCGAAATCATCAATACAGAATCGTGTTGTAACCAAATTAATGCAATGCATCAGAAATTGGCAATATGAAGCCATCTTTTGTCAATCGGGAGATGCCCATTTTGTTGCGTAACAACGCTCGGCCACCTGTCTCACGTGTGACGTCAAAAAAACAGAGATTGGAGATAAAACTCTGCCTCATCTTCCCTACTCTCCGAACCTCTCGCCTACGGGTTATCATTTTTTAGACACCTGGACTACTACTTATGTGACAAAACATTTAATGGACAAAGGGAATTATAAAATGTGTTTTTCGGAATTTATTAATTCTAAAGATGGAGAATTCTTTTCCGAGGAAATGATGCCAACGTGTTGGCAGAAATTTATTGATAGTAGTGAAAATATTTTGATTAAAAAAAACAGTTATAAATCTTTTCTTTTTAAATCCTGCATTATTTTCCGAACAATCGAATACATAAGTATCGATAAACTTAATAATAAAATATTAGCTATTTGCCCACAGTTGGGACAATGAAGAACCAGGAGACTGCCTGCAAACATTCGGTTGCGGCCCAGTGACCAGTTCTGCGGCCTTCAGGGACTTCCTAACAGCACATTACTCCCAGATGCCTCTGTAGCTTCCTTGAGATGTTATTATAAAATTTTGCAATAAAAATTTATTCTAACGGGATAAATTGATTTAGTTATGGTAACCTATAATTGTAATATGTTTGTTAATACATAACCTTTTTAGATTATGCTATTATGTAGATAACTGGTGATCATATGGTTTGCTACTAAGTGTAACCTATTGAAATTTATAAGTGATAAATTTTGTCTTTTTTCGGTGATTTCACCGAGTTTTTCGTAGTAAATTTGTAATATAGTTACAAATCATGATAACGGAGAAAATAAGTGTTAAAGGTCCTAGATTGCAGTCTAGTAAGCAGTTAAAGGTTAAGATCACTTCTGGACCCAGTAAGAAAACTATTACTTCTAAGACGTTCAAGGCCAAGGAGAATAAAGAAAAAGGTACAGAACTAAATTTAGACGCTGGGCCAAGTGAAGGTACAGGTGAGTGGCATCTAGTTTTCCCGCGCAAGGCTGTTTCTCCGAGAGCACATGCAACTACTGATCCAGAGAGACAGGTTAGCTTCGCATCATCAAATCCATTTACTGTTCTACCAACTGAAGTAGATGCTCAATGTCATAACACTAATCAACCCAGTGCAGAAGTGATTTCGAAACCTCCACCGATCTACGTAAAATCAGTGAGTAACTACAAACTGTTATGTTACAAGCTAGTCAAAGAGGTAGGCTCAAACGGGTTCACTTAAAATCTGGAGCTAATAATGTAGTTATAATGTCGAATTCTTCCGATTGCTACCGACGAATATCGAAGTATCTCAAAGAAAGAAAAGCAGAATTCCACAGCTATCAACTTCCTGAGGACCGCCCTTTTCGCTTAGTTATAAGAAACCTTCATCACACTATAGGTTGTGATATAATAAAAATGGAACTAGAAAAATTGGGTTACCAAGTATTAGGTGTACAATATCCTACATCCAAGAACAAAAGCTCCTTTGCCTCCTCCTATTTTGTTGATTTAGTCAAAAATGACAAAAGTTCACAAATTTATTCATTAGAATTTCTGTATTATACGAAAGTCATTGTTGAAGAACCGAGAAGACACAATGAAATCGTCCAATGCAAGCGGTGCCAATCCTACGGACACACAAAATCATATTGTAATTTAAAGCCGAGATGTGTGAAGTGTGCCGGATTACATCTGACAGCGAGCTGCAAAAAACCTTTAGACACTCCGCCTAAATGTGTCCTCTGTGAAGAAGCACACCCAGCGACCTACAGAGGCTGTTCTGTACACAAGGAATTAAAAAAACTTAGATAACGCCCAGCAACGAGAAGTCTTGCATTTTATGAGGAACAGAGAACGAGTCAACCTACAAAGAAAGAAAAAGAAGACTCCTCGAAAATCGTCCAGAATTCAGCAGGTAATCTTGAGCCACCGTTACGACTACGACCCGACTATATACAGACACAGAACATTGCTGCAGAACCAACTTACTCATATAAATTGACGAGACTAAATGACACACTGGAACCTAACCTTCAACCAAATAACATCTTCAACGTCCCCGACATTACAACACAACTAACAAACTTCATAAACGAATTCAAAAACCTTGTTTCGCCCCTGATATCATTGCTTACATCGCTAGTACAGCATGTTCTTCCAAAGCTTACCAAATGAAAGGACTAAGAGTAATTCTTTGGAATGCCAACGGTGTATTATCCCGTAAAAATGAACTCGAAATTTTTCTTGGTTATAACGACATAGACATTGCTTTACTGACTGAGACTCACTTAACAAAAAATATTAGGTTTCATTTACCGTCTTACATCGCTTATCGGACTGACCATCCTTCAAATGGAGCTAAGGGAGGTACTCTCATTCTCGTTAAGAACTCAATCAGTCATCATTTCAATGATTCGGAGGCCTGTGAGAGTTATCAACGCACTTCAATAGTTGTTAATATATTTCATTTTAACCTTACCAGAGCAGCTATATATTGCCCCCTTGGTAAGGATTTATCAATCCAAACATTTGACCAGCTGTTACATTCTTCGGGTAACAAATTTTTGTGTGGCGGTGATTACAACGCTAAGAATCAGGTATAGGGCAGCAGAATCAGTAAGTCTAGGGGCAGAGCCCTTCAAAATGCGATTCTTGCTCAGAATTGTAAATGCTTATCCCCCTCTTCACCGACATATTGGCCCACGGATGCTAACCGGACTCCTGACGTTTTGGATTTTTTCATTGCCAAGGAAATAAACGTACAGCATTGTGCCATTACTAATCTGACTGACCTATCTTCAGATCACTCCCCTCTTCTTCTAATTTTAGACTCAAAACCTATAACCAAATCTCCCCGACCGTCGCTAACACATGGAAAAATTGACTGGAGCAAGTTCAGATCATCTATTGAAAATTCATTATCACTGAACACTAATATAAGAACACCTGAAGACTTGGACAACGCAGTTCATCACCTCACAAAAACAATACAAAATTCAGCATGGACTTCGGACATCTCAAGTAAAAAGACAGACAAACATGACCATAATTACATTTCACCTGAGATAAGATATCTTATCTTACAAAAGCGAAAAGCTCGTAAGATATGGCAAAGAACTCGTTACCCATCTGACAAACACATGTTCAACAAACTAACTCGACAAATTCACGATGAAATAAGACGTTCACAGACAGAAAATTTTGACAAATTCTTGAATGGTTTAGCAAATTGTGAGAAACCACTTCGGAATATAACCAAACGGATTCTACAGCATCATGATGTCTCACATCCTCTCAGACATGATGATGGTTACTGGGCAAAGTCAGATGCTCAAGAAGCGCAATTGTTTGCTCGCCACCTCGAAGAAACATTTAAACCTCATAATGACATAAATGACATACTCTCTACTACAATTGCCCAAAGTCACCTTAACGTACCCTTACCTATGACATTACCACCAAAATCAATTCATCCTAACGAGGTTCAAAATTTAATTCAGAGCTTGCCTATGAACAAGGCTCCGGGATTTGACTTAATTACGAATTTCGTCATAAAAAAATTTACCTTGGAAAGCAATTCTTTTTCTAACAAATATTTACAATTCTATTTTGAGAATCACACATTTCCCCACTCTCTGGAAATATTCTGAAGTTGTCATGGTCTTAAAACCTAATAAATTTTCAGACTCCCCAAATTCCTATCGTCCGATTAGTCTTCTTCCTTCCTTTTCTAAATTATTTGAAAAAAATATTCTTCCTCGCCTTGATTCTCTCGATATATTTAAATTTATTCCAAATCATCAGTTCGGCTTCAGAAAGCATCATTCAACTGTTCAACAATGCCATCGATTGGTATATTATATTTCTAATTCTTTAGAATCTAAAAATTATTACCCTGGAGTTTTTCTTGACATTAGTCAAGCCTTTGATAAAGTTTGGCTTGAAGAATTACTCTCTAAACTTAAAATTTTACTTCCTCCGACCTACTATCTAATATTACTTTCATATCTAACGGATAGACATTTTGTAGTAAAAGTAGGGACAGAACGTTCTGACATCAAACCTATTAAAGCAGGAGTGCCTCAGGGTAGTGTCCTTGGACCAATATTGTTTAATATATATATGTCTGACCTACCGGAACACAACGACACAATACTGGCTACTTTTGCAGACGATACCGCAGTACTAAGCTCAGATAAAAACCCTGTTCGAGCATCTACCATCCTTCAAAATCATCTGAACGATATTGCAGACTGGGCAACAAGGTGGAAAATTAAGATGAATGAAAAAAAAAGTGTGCATGTGGTATTCACTCTTAACCATAAACCTTCCCCTGAAATATATTTTAATAACATTCAAATCCCAACATCAGATGTAATTAGGTATTTAGGTTTTTACCTGGACAAAAGACTTACTTGGAAGACTCACATCAGACAAAAACGAATAGAATTAAACAGACGATACGGTCTCTTATCCAGATTACTTGACAGACGTTCAAAATTATCATTAACTAACAAACTAACCCTTTATAAAGTCTTACTTAAACCTATTTGGACTTACGGCATAGAACTGTGGGGCTCTGCTAAAACTTCCAACATTAAAAAAGTTCAGTCCTTTCAGTCAAAAGTGTTGCGAAGGATAGTTGACGCACCTTTTTATGTCGCAAATGATACACTACATAAAGACTTAAACGTACCTACAATTTTAGATACTGCAAAAGAGAACTACAATAACTTTCACCAAAGACTGACGTACAACATGAATCCTCTGACAGAAATCCTTCATCGTACAAGAAACCCGTACAGCCCACCACGACGATTACGTAGGCGTTGGCCAAGAGACCTGCTGATCTGATTTATATCCCGGACGTGATGGGAAGCTGTGAAGCTGCTAAAAAATTTGCTTATTGCAAAGAAATTTGCAGATTGCAAATTTAATCTAATGTTCCACATTTTTGTTTGGTTAATAAATAAATAAGATTATGCTTGATGTTGCAGTCAATAATAAGAACATAATGTGTGAATAATATTGTCTTATTGTGCAACGATTTTGGCCTACTTTTATTATTAGTATTTATTTTATTTATTATTATTCTTTAAGGCTGAAAAAATAATTAGGAATGATGTATAAAAACGAGAGATAACAAATAAATAGTTTTGTGTAATCAAGAGCTTAAAGCATTAAGTTAATCAAGAGTTTTATCATGGACAAGATTATCGAACTGATTCTTTGTTAATCTACTAGATTCATGGTGATATTTTTTTCATGAAAGAATTCGGTATACAAAAGTTAAAATAAAAATTTAAATGAACAAAAACCGTGTTTTTTTTTTTCATTTCTGATTAAATAAGAATCATTATATAAACTTATAAAAGTTAAAAAGTTTATAATAATTAGTCTATAGGACAGCATATAAACGTTTCTTTTTGTGTAGTGGTATTGTAGCCTCACAATATAGCGATAGGTGGGAGAACCGCGGCATCGGAGGCCGCATGTGGCCTTTGTGATGTAGTTGCTGCCTCCATACGTTTTAGCGCAATATTTATCAATCTAGTGAAAGAAGTAATTAGTTAATTAGTAAATTAGTTAAGTAACGATAATTTGGAAATTAATAGAATTAAGTTGATTGTATGTAATAATTTGTCCGAAAAATTTGAGGTTCGTTCGGGCTTAAAACAGGGGGATTCTCTTTCGCCTGTCCTGTTCAATTTGGCATTAGAACATGCCATTAGGGAGGTAATGCGAACCGAGAAAGGGTTGGATCTGGGCGGGACAACATCCGTGCTGGGCTATGCTGATGATCTGGTACTGTTAAGCGAAGACGTTGAAACTATAAAACTAAATACGACAACGTTAATGAAAGCCGGTAAAGAACTAGGACTCGAAATAAACGTGGATAAAACAAAATATATGGTTAGCTGCAAAAATGGCGATACTACTGGTGATATCGATATAGATGGTAATATGTTTGAACAGGTAGATAAATTTAGGTATCTAGGTTCTACGATAACTAGAAAAAACGAAATTGAAGAAGAGATTAAGGTTAGACTGAAGGCGGGGAATGCTTGTTATTTTTCTGTGACAAAACTACTTAGTTCGCGCCTCTTGTCCCGAAACTTAAAAATTAGAATCTATAAAACAATTATCTTGCCTACAGTTCTTTATGGATGCGAAACTTGGCCGCTTACATTAAGGGATGAGCAGCGTCTTAAGGTTTTTGAAAATAAAGTATTGCGTAGAATATTCGGACCGAAGAAGGATGAGTTAACCGGAGAGTTCAGACGGTTACACAACGCCGAATTGCGTGAGCTGTATCCGGGTAATATAATTGAGGTAATTTCATCGCGGCGAATCAAATGGGCTTGTAAAGTTGTTGGGCTTAGTAACGAGAGAATTCCTAAAAGGTTAATATTTGCTGTGCCGAATGGTAAGCGTCCGAGGGGTAGACCGAAGCGAAGGTGGGAAGATTGCATTAAAGCCGATCTGAATGGGACTGGGTTTGGACGGCGAACGGTGGAGGGAGGTGTGTAACAAGCGATTGGTGGTGTCGGCATCGAACCTTCGGGTTCGCTAAGCCTTATTATTATTATTATTATTATTATAAGTTGATTGTATGTATGTGGATCTGTGTGTACTTAATGATTAATCAAACTAGTAACTGTAAAATATATCGAATTATTGCGGCCTCTATTAGCACTTCCTAACCTTACTCAGTCTTCAAATGATAAAAAGGTTCTCCACCTATGCCATATAATATTGAATCCTCATGCAAGTTTTAGGATTCGCGGATGATTTGTAAAAAGAAATGGATTTTTTATGGAGAGATATCAGAACTCACGATTTCTGATGCATTTTTTACTTCAATTTTAATTAAAGTGATTGTATTATGTAGATGCTTTAAAAACTACAGCGTTGATAAAATAGTGAATTGATACGGCGCAAGTAGAATCATAAAATTGTCTGTGATTTTAAGCATACTTCATGACCAGAATTTGCGGGTGTTAAAAAGTCTTAAGATTTGCCATTTTCATGAGAACGCACGATAAAGTTCTGTCCCCTGCATGGGCTCACCTTTATTTTAAGTACCACGGTTGCTATAAGATACATAATATGTTGTTTAGATTTTTGATTTCTATGAATCAAAATGGAAAAGGAGATTATAAACTATTTTCCATTTCTTACCTTAAATAAAACATAAGAATATTGCTCAGAGAAAATGTACAGGTTCTCATCACAGGTCTCCTCGAATACAAAACTGTTTTAGTACAAGTTTATGATTATTAGTCGGAGATGGACAAATGCTACTCTGAGTACTAAGTACTAAGTATGTTACTCAGATTTAATCACTATTAGGAATTCAATCACTATTTCAGTTAATCGTCTAACATCAAATGAAGTAGTAATTAAATTGTTTGGTACTCAAAAAAGGTCAGTCTATCGTATCTATCTATACTGGCTCTGCAACCCACTTAGCGAGTCATGGCCTCCGTCAACATCATCCACCAGGTGGGTCTGCCTTGTGCTGCCACCATTCAGTCTCGAACTCCTAGCTTCCTCATCTTTGTCCATGCTGTCCCTCTATCTTAACTTTGGTCTTCCTACTCGTCCAGACAGGATTTCAACCAACACCTTCTTTGGGATCATGTCGTCTCTCATTATGGCCACATGACTTGCCCATCTGAGACGGCCTGTTCTTATAAAATTGACAATATTGGTCTCACTAAAACGCTGGTAGATCTCCTGATGTTTCCTCCTTCTCCACTCTCCATTCACACGCACTGAACCATAATTTCTTCTTAGAATTTTTCGTTCTAATATAAGGAGGTTCTGCTCGGCTGCCTTGGTTATCTTCCAGGTCTCTGATGCATAACTTAAATCCGGTCTGATAAGATTCTTGTATAGGATTACTTTGCTGTGCTCTGTCACCAGGGTGATTTTCATATGTTGACTCATACCATAATAGCAACGGTTGGCGAGCAAAATCCTCTTATTGATCTCTATATCCACCCGGTTATCAACAGTGATCTCTGAGCCCAGATATGTGAATTCTGATACCTATTCAAACCTGAAAGGTCCAAGACACCCTAGTGCCATGCAGTGTTACCGCGCGCTCTGTGACAAAACCTCGTACTCAGCCTCGTACATCCTCGTACGCTTGTTCATTCATAACTTGTACTATTGTAAGCCCAGTGTTATTGTTTTTTTTATAGTAAAATTAGATCAGAATTTTTTATTTTTACCTCCATTCATATATTTTAAATCCTTTTTACATTACTTTTTTTTAAGTTAATGGGTCAAGAAGTAAAATTAGCTTAATAAAATATATAAAAAAGTTTATATATTTTTATAAACTACTGAAAACGTTATATAAACATTAAAATAGCTAAATAAACTTCTTAAAGTACTCTTCATAAGTATTCATTAGTAGATCCAAGATTTAATTTGGGGGAAGGACTAATTTTTTTTCTTTTTTCTAAAAACAAAACAACTACTTTTATGAAAGGATGTTAGTGGTTCTGGAAGGCCAATAAAAATTAATTATTGGGGCATTGATGCTTTTAGAGATATCCATTATAATATAAAAAAATAATAGATTGTGATTGTTTTAGTATTTAGCTTACAATTATATCTCGCACAAAATAAATGAGGACCACTGAAAAAATACTTCTTTTTTTCATTATTTAAGATGGTTTCATTATGAATACTAGTTAATTTTTCAATTAATTACTTTACTCGATTAAAAATCGAAAATAATTACGGTAATAAATTTAAAAAAAAATTAATTTATCTAGAATATATTTACAATTGCAGTTTTATGAAGGAAATAATAATTACGAAGGAAATAATGGATATACTTTCTCGTATTTTATTTTATGCTCGATAAAAATGACGGTAAAAATTTCTGTTTAATTTTCTTTTACAACACATTTTAAAAAATACATATATATAAAAAAAGTTTTATGAAGGAAATAATGGATATGGTTTCTTATATTTTATTTTATACTAAATAAAATCTAAAAATTTTTTTTAAATTTTATTTTCTAGAAAATTAAATATATAATATATATATATAAATATATAAATATAAATATATATATATATACAATCATGGTTTTATGAAGGAAATAATAATCATACTCTAATTAAAGAAGATATAATTGCAATTTATTTGTCTACAAAGCAACAGAAGTTCAGTATTTCTATCAATATAAATAATAATACAGTCAAAATAACCTTAAAACAATTCTAAACTCCATTCATAAAAATATAACCTTGCATTGCATACGTCAACAAAACTTATGTACGATGTACGAGGTTGATCTATCCTCGTACCTCGTTCATTACGTCATAACTTCGTACAAATACGAGGATCCTCGTACAAACGGCAACACTGGTGCCATGTCTTGGTGTCTCCTGGGTTACCAAGTATTTCGTTTTTCCTCGTGGACAGTCAGTTGCCTCGCTGCAACCTCCAGGTTCAGAAATGATTGTGCAACCGCTTGCTGAGAACGCCCAATAATGTCTAAAATATCAATATTTGAGTAAAATACTTGCTACTCTCAACACTGAAGTAGCATTTGTCCATCTCTGCTATTAGTGCTGAAGGACAGTTTTTCAGTGAAACAAGCAAATTACTGTATAAAGAAACTAGCTTAACTTATTCATTATAAACTAAGTAGCTTCATCGATTGTGAGAGCTAAATAAACTTTCTTTATTATACTAAATTGTTGATACAAATAAACATATTCACATAATTTAGCCCATTCTTCGAACTAAAATTATTAAATAAGTAAAGTTATTTATCTAATGCGAGTTATCAGTAAGCTAGTGATACAAATATTTATTAAACAGTCTTTGGTGCATTCAGTATTATGAACTTTATTTTGTTGACTCGCGTATTTAATTTTTGCTTATCTTGAAATACAAAATTCATCAGTTATAATGATACTAATTGAATAACATTGCTAATTGAAAGGTCAAGTGAGTGTCGATGATAAGTAACATTTTTCGAGTGCTAGGGAAACTGAATTAAAATTCTATTTATCGACTACTTGTGGAGGATGTGAAATCTCAAGTGGGGCCTTATTGAGTTCAGACCCAACTATTGAATATATGTGAATGGAAGATAAAGAGGTAAGAAATTTTATGAAAGAAACTGTAATAAAATAAATTATTTTTATATCCTTTATTGCATATTGTTTTCAATGTTTACATTTCAGCAGGTATTTGAGCACGCAGAGAGCATATTGAGAGCACGGAAGGTGGTGAGTAGTAGATTCCCGAATCATGATAAAAACTCCTAGGAAGTTCTTGAGTGACCATAGAAAAATTATCTGTCGTTACTTAATACAATTGAAGTAATATTTATAAAAAAAATCTAATAATCCAAATCAATGATAAGCCAATAATAGCACTCAACCACTTCAACTGTCTGATAAACTATCCAAAATTATTAATACAGATTCGAAGATAATAAACAAAGTTTTAAGAAAAAAATACATAAGAGTATCAAATAAATAATTAAATGAGAAGAGTTCAACAATTTAGTGTACGCCTGATAATGTTTTTTTTTTTTATCTAACGTAGTTGTACTTTGTCCTACTTCTTTGGAGTTGATATGACATAACCAGCTGTTATCTTTTTTTTAGTTTTCTCTTTTTTTATCAAATTTATCCTGAGTCTGTTGAGTAACTCAGCTGATAGTAGACGATGGCAGCTCCAAGGGTACTTTCTAGGTGTAAGATATTTACATTATATATATATTTGTTCTATTTTGAGGAATTAATTCCATTTCAGGAAAAAGACCTTCAACTTAAACATAACTCATTTTCTAGTTATTTATACCATTTGATTCCATTTAAAACTAATAGAAATTTTTCTTTAAATTACTAATTAAAGAAACTGTTCAACTATAAGGAGAAGCAAAATAACTGGAAGTTATTTTATAATTCTTTAATTACTTAAAGATATTCGCTTTTGTGATCATGAATTTATATTTAGCTTATTACGGATATTTTTATTATTTGACTAATTGCAGCATCATTGCATAAGTTCCATTACCTTCACGGATTGTGAATACCTCAATTTATTTTAATGAACAAAGTCATTTCTTGTTATTTATACTTTTGCGGAATATTATTGGTTACTCCATATTTGCCACATCTCTAAGTTCAGGTGGGTTTTCGTTATGCTTAGCTTATTATTTAAGACAGAAACATGATTTAGTTGATATTTCAGAAAAATCAACTATTTTTAATATTATTCTTTCCATTTCATTTAGAATACTTTTATCCAATATAATGTATTGATTTTGTATGAAATTCTGCTTTTAATAATTCATACTAGTATAAAATTTGAAAACTATGAGCAAAAGTTTTAAGAATTGTGAATTATATGGCTTATAAACCCCAACCATTCATTGAGCTATCTGTTATCAACTAAGATATATTTCTTATAACTTCTGTGAATGATTCATCATATTTATGTTTTGTATTCAACTTTTAAATTTTATAAATATTTTAATATAATTTAGAGTTCTTTATTCAAGGTTAGGCATTTCTTACTATGTTTATTAGTTTCAATTTTGATCTATCAGAATTTATACAAAATTTTAATTTCTATCAATTACAGCTAATTTTCAAATAATTAATAGATATATTTTGATTACTTTAAGTTTAAATTAATCCTCTACATTTTTGGTAAATGACTGGATAATCACATAATAAATGTTTTTTCTCTATCATTGTTATTGTCGTGTATTACATACATTGTATTTGTTAAGTAAATTTTTTAATATATATTTATTGTAGTGATTAAACTTGGGATTATTTATTTAACTGCTGTTTTTTCCTAGAAATTTACATGATCATTTATATTAAACAATTTAATTTTCTTTTTGTATATATTTATATTAATTCATTTACTTGTTCCTATTAGTGAAGACCTTCTCGTTTTTGGCAAAAAGATCGGCCTCAAGTGAAGCATTCCCAAAAATAACAACACATTACACAGTCGTACCCAGAGATAATGATGAAAGGTGGCAAGGTAGGTTTTATACAGTATCACATTTTATTTCTGTAATAGAAATACTTTTGTGAAGTGATAATTAACAATTAAACTTAAAAAATTTTTTCATGAATTTACTTTAGATATATACATTATGACTAGTCATTAATGCAATCAATTTAACCTTGGTTTGTTCTTGATCCACTTTACTTTATAATTTTTATTGTTGACACATTAGTATGGAAAATTATTCGTAATATATCCAAATCCATAATAATAAAAACTATACTATTGAGAAAAATAAGAAAGCATTATGCGATTTATTGAGAAATACATTTTTTTTAACTTAAAAGATAAATCAGATATAAAGAAAAATAAATTTCCTTTGAATCACAAAGTTCACTAAAAGTAGTGTGTGATTGTTTAGCTAATCCCCTCACCAAATATTTCTTAGATTTTTTTAAATCGGAGTTTTTTTTGTCTGACAGGTATTATTCAACATTTTTAGGTATCTGGAACATTGTTTGTAATGAGGACTTTTATTGTAAAAAAAAACTTTTTTTTTTTATTGGATTTTCTATGGATTAACTCCAATTTCAATATTTTTGAGTTGTCATTTTACTGATATTTCTAGTTGAAAAATTTATAATATCTTTACAGACAGTGAGTAAGTTAATTACAGAGCAGGTGACTGCAATGTTGAAATATAGAACTGTGAATAAATATATAAATTAATAATCAAAAATGTTGAAATTGGAGTTAGTCATTCTATTAACTGAAAGGCTCATATGTATCATTTTCTTGCCTACCAATATCTACATGTATATTACATGGTATTTCTATCAGTTTTAATATTCACTTCAATTCCCTTATGTTTGCATTTTATTCAGTTGTTTACTATTTTATTGTTTACCATTCATTGTTGTTGTAAATCTTGTTTACTGTTTATATTTCTATCAGTTTTAATATTTATTTCAATTCAGTTATATATCATTACTTAGCGTTTAGATTTCCATTTATGTTGTCTACTTTACTCTGCTTATACTCATTTCATTTACTATTTTTCATTTCTCACCTTCTAAAATGGATCTATAACTTGTATCTAATATATTGTACAAATTAATAGTAATATTTGTATCTTGCTCTTTTTAGCCTTGATGAAGAATAACGTTGTAGGTCGAAACTTAGATATGAATAAATATTACATCAAATATAGTGTATGATTGTTGACCACACTCTCTCTCTCCAACAACTGTTCCTTAAATTAGAACAATGTTCAATCATTTCCGTTTTATCTTAGAAGAAATCTATTCATTCAGATCAAAAGTAATAAGAAAAATGATAGATGCTTCCTTTAACATTTGTGATTATACCTTACACAATGACCTTGACATTCCTTTCATCACAGTTATTGCTTAAGATCATTTCAAATATTTTCAGTTTCACAATTATTTCTTAATAATAAAGTCACTCAGATATGGAAAAAAAAAATTATATTATCTTTTCTGATATTTAAATTTATTATTCAGGCGTTAACATGGAGAGGTTCCAAGATGAAGCGGATGTTGTCATCGTGGGCGGAGGGCCAGCTGGTATGGCAACGGCCATTAAGCTGAAGCAACTGGCTGAAGAGGCTGGCAAAGAACTTAGAGTATGCCTCGTCGAGAAGGCTTCTCAGCCAGGTATTATTTATGAATAATTAATAAATAATAATATATTTGTTTATAAAGTTTAACCCTTATATTGTTAATGGTACTTGTTTGATGGCCGATCAGGACCGACTGCTATCTGCCAATGTTTATAACCTGAACACTGATGATTCTGATAAGGCACTGATAATTCTTATCTTCGTATTCATATTTATTGTATTATGTTCATATTATTGAAATTGTAAACAAAAACAAATTTAGGTACTTATCTAATAGCGGGTAGCGTCCGACTGCTATCTGCCAATGTTTATAACCTTAACACTGATAAGCTCTTCGTATTCATATTTATTGTATTATATTCATAATATTATATGTTCGTATTCATACTTATTGTATTGTATTCATATTATTGAAATTGTGAACAATTTAATATTTATTTATATATATATAATATATACAAATATATATATATATATATATATATATATATATATATATATGAAATAATAAAAATAGGCAAAAAAAAGATGAAATAATAAAAAACTACTTAAACAGCATATGTACATATAAATCCATTGCTCAGGTAGGACTCTCCCCACATGATTTTTTCTTTTTGAAAAAAGACTCTCATCTACTTCGACGACTTTGCCAGGCCCTCCAATTTTTTTATTCGACCTGTATAACATGTCATGGGCACAAACTTCTCTTAAAAATTTGTTCCATGCTACGACAGTTCCGATGGATAGTTTGAGCTGCTCTTTCCCCACTGTATTGTAGTTAAATTATGGGACCACCATAAATGAATTTTAAAGCCGTTAAAAAGAAATCCTCGACCCTCTAACCACGTTCCTTTCCTTATAGAAACGGTTTTGTTACACCTACGAAAGCATCTCCATTTAATCTTCCCATCGAACTTCATTTTATGACCCTCATCACAATATTTCATCTTATCAAATATACCGGCGTCTTGAAAATATTTGATAGCCTCTTCTTCTGAAGACGGCAATTCCCACAATGTGACAAGATCCATAATTAAATAAACTCACACCTGGCACAAGAAACAAAAACTAAACAACAGAATAACTTCGGTTATCTGAAATGAGATTAGATAAGAAGGGAGGTTTTGACGCTACCCGCTATTAGATAAGTACCCAAATTTAATAATAAAAAAATACTTTTATTTTATAACATATATTAAATAGTTGCCTTGGATAGATTCATCTGCTCTTTGCCTCACTGTTTCGTTGTTAAATTATGAGACAACCCATAAATTATTTTCAAACCGTTAAAAACGAAATCCTCAACCCCTCTAACCATGCTCATTTCCTTATAGAAACGTTTTTGTTAGATGTACGAAAGCATCTCCATTTCCCCTTCCTGTCTAACTTCATTTGATGACCTTCTTCACACAATTTCACGTTTGTAATTATCCCGGCGTTTTGAAAATATTCAATATTCCTCTTCTTCTGAAGACGGCAATTCTCAGAATGTAATAACACTCATGATTTGAAGAAAATCATACAAATGGAACAACAATAAACAATAGAATAACTCAAAGCTTACAGGAGGAACAAAAATAAACAATGAAATAATTCACAGATTACAGGAGATAAGAAGGGAGGTTATGTGATGTAACATTAGATAAGCGAGGTTTACACCGGCTATCAGACAAGTACCTTATTAATTTTCTAATTTTCATGAAATAAATATTTATAAATTAAGAAAATATAATGCAAAGAAGATTTATGTGCAAAAAAAAAAGTGTTAGTTGATAAGATTGATAAAATTAAGAATTCACTTCATATGTTGTTTATATGTTTATATTATGTTTTCAATGTTCCTTGTTTAGAATTTGAAAACGAAAAAATTGTTTGTGGCTATATTAACCACCAATCATAACCAAGCCTGATCAAGATACTGCCACACAAAGACAATTATAACTGTCACTGCCGCTAGGACTAGGCTAGGAAAAAGACAAACAAAATTATACGATTAACAAAAAAAAAAATTCATCAAAGGAAGAATGCAAACTATTGAGGACGACTGGCAAACTGAAAATATACACAGACATTAGAAAAAAAACAACTGGCAGGATATAAAGGGAGACAAATACAAATGTTAGAAAATATAGCATTCTTATGGCATTAAAAGAAAAGATGCTGAACATCTGAAAAGAACGTTTACAGCAGCTTCTCAATCAAGGGACCACACTAAGGGTCTTGATCCACCAGAGTCGAACCTTAGGTTTAGAAAAATGGTTACAAATAAAATTATAATTTGAGAAGGAGTTGTCTGATACAGAAATAAAATGATGATATCAGAGATATAGTGGGTAATGACAATACTATATATCTGAAATCATCTTTTTATTTCTGTATCAGACAACTTCTTATTTTATATCTACTTATATTCATTTATTTTATTTTCACCATGTTTTGTAGCCCTGATGAAAACCTGCAAAGTGGATCGAAACGTCAGCAAAAATTAAATAATATTATTTGTTTAATTTAGTATTTATTTGACCGCAACCCCCGTTCAACTCCTTCTCATATTATATCAACGGTCACCCGTCTCTACATCATCAAAAATGATAATTAAGTTTATTTATATTTTGTTTCTAGGAGCCCATACATTGTCTGGAGCTGTCATCGACCCCATTGCGCTCAATGAGCTGATACCCGACTGGAAGGAGAAAGGTGCTCCGTTGAATACACCAGTCGCTCATGATGAATTTGCCTATCTGACCGAAACTGGAAGGATAAAAATACCAATTTTTAAAGGTTTTTATTTTATTTTTTTAATTTCTTTATCATAAATTACTTAGCATTTACTATTATTAACTTAGTTTATTAAGTCCTGTCAATTATACCTCATCCATAAAAAAATGGCTATCTAAGAATGAACTCGAGCACTAAGTTGAAGTTAATTTTTTTTTTTAGCTTTTTTTAAGAAACTATTTAAAAATAAGTGTGTGCATTATAAAGGTAATTGGTTACAAATTTAAATTTAATAATATTGCTGATTTTATGTTAATTTTAGTATAAAGGCAAGATTGATTAAAGTAAAGTATGATTATTGAAGGAAGTTAGTCGACTGTTCTATATATCATAGGTGATAAATAGTCCGGATGCAGTCATTTTTAAGGTTTTTATTAGTGTGTCAACCCAAACATATGGGTAATGGGCACTAATAAAAACCTTTAAAATGATGTATCCAGACTACTTATCACCAATGAAAAAAATGGTATAATGTCATTTAAGTTTTTTCTGATTGCTGCAATATACCATGTATATCTTTGGCCATGTGATATGGTCTTCTTTTGTAAGAAGAAGTTTGAACTTATATTGTTTCCAAGAGCTCAGGTAGCCTAGAGGGGAGGCAGACCACCAACAGCTCTATAGCCAATCTCGCAGTGCCCTTCCCTCCGACTTACTCAGGTTCAAGGACAATGACAAATCTGACTAGATCCATGGGTTAGGCTGCTCAGTCAGCATGTACACGAGAAACTATATTTCTTTCCCTGAATCCATAAGTCAAAAAGTATACATTTTATGGTAAATAATTAACACACTGATTGAAAAAGATGTTAAAATAGTGGATAAGTTGAAATACCTGGGGTCAGTTTTAAATAGTGAAAGAACATCCACCAGTCATATAGGATGGAAAATCGGAGAAGGATGAAAAGTAATGGCAATGCTTAACGGCATCCTTTGAAGTTTAATTATAAAACCTCATACAAAGAAGCTAATACCCAGATCTATAATCGAGCCTAATCCTTGGAAACGTGGGTCATTGCTAGATACCGAAAAACATTGCTAGTAGTGGAAAAGGACTTATGAAGAAGAGCAGCTAGAAAATCCAGAAGGAAAGAATTAAAAATTAAAGAATTCTGGAACTGAAAGAATATTCTGGCTGATAATGAAGAGAAAACATTTAGGGGATTTGGACACATTAAAGGAATATCCGCAGATTTCCAAAAATAAATATGGAACTGGAAATAGAAGGTAAAATGGAAAAGTGTTTTGGAAGAAAGCCTGGTGGGATCAGAGAAGAGTGAGGCATGGATCGAGAACTTTATAAAAATATATTAAATGATATTTAGGTCAAAGAGAACCATAATAGTGAAAAATTCCTTAATAAAAAAAATTAAATTGAATTTAAAGTTGAAGCATGATTAGCAGTTATATATGTTTTCAGCGTATTCAATTTTCTACACTTGTTTTATTACTTTCCTACCTCTAGGTAAGGGAAGTTTTGTAATAGAACCAATTTTTACAGCATATATATCTTAAAAATGAAATTAGATATTAAAAAAAAAAATTAATTTCAACATAATGCCATGTAAGTTCGTTAATGGGCTACCATGTTCTTATATGGGTTTCCAAACATTTTTTTTTACCGTAAATATTTGACTGCTATAATAACATTGTTTATAGAGTTTACATATAAATATTGCTTGTCGTTATTTATTAATTTGTATATGTTTTTGAAGGAATGCCAATGGATAACCATGGTAACTACATTGTAAGGCTTGGTCATGTTGTCAGCTGGCTGGGCGAGCAGGCCGAAGCGGCGGGCGTCGAGCTCTATCCTGGCTATGCTGCCTCCGAGGTGCTCTACCACGACGATGGTTCTGTCAAAGGAATTGCGACCAATGATGTTGGCATTGCCAAGGATGGCTCTCCTAAGGTTGATTAATATTAAACTTCATTTTATTAATTAATTATTCATAAGGTTTAGCCATCGTGAAGGTTCGATTCCGATACCACCAATCGATATCTGCATTCTTCCATCCACATGGCACTGTCTAAACCCAACCGCATCAGATCATATTTAATACAATTTTCCCATCTTCGCTTTGGTCTATCCCTCAAACTATACAAACCATTCATAATTGTTTGTAGTAATTTGGTCTCACATCTTATATCCATTTAAGATGACATGCAGCAACAGTTCTTCACCAGCAACTCCGCAGATCATGGTGCAGTGAGGGCCTAAAGGAAGGGGTAGGGTGGCTGAGCCGGCTAACCTGATAACCGAAGTTAGTGATGAAAAAATAATTACGAGTTCAAATCCCGGTCCTCGTGGAACTTTTAACACAGCATTATTCCGGGAGAAACCCAAAGAAAAGGCAAGGAAGGGGAGGAAAAAGAAACGAGCACCTAGATGAGGATACAAATTGAAATGCTATTATGTTTACAGACAAGTTGCATTTCTGATTTATAGTGATTGTAGGCACCGAAGAGTCTACTGAAAACAGGGGATGGGTACATTTCCACAGTTTGTGCTTCATTCAATGTAGTCTAAAGATGGGAGTGTGATGGTATTGGTCGGCATTTACTGAGGAGGATGAATTCCATTTTGTGGAAGATAATCTCATTGCAGTCCGTTATGTTCAAGAAATTATAGAGGAGTAGATTTCTCAAACCAGGGTCATAATTAGCAATGATTTCTATTTTCTTGACAATACATGACCTCATAGGGGAAAAGTTGTTCATCAAGGTTTTGAAAATCTGGACAATTCACATCTTCCCCTTATTTTATTGCCTCTAGATCTCAATTCCACTGCACACATTTGGAATGCAATCCAGAGAGGGCTTTTTGAATACAATATTTAGCTTCTTAAACTTCAGCAGTATATAAGAAACCTTAATACATAACTTTCAGGTTTTTGAGCAGGATGTAAGAAAAATTTTATTTAATTTGGTTGGTTTATTTTTTTCTATTTTTGCAACACCTCTATTAATAATAATGATTCTCAATGTTCACAGGATGTTTTTGAAAGAGGAATGGAACTGCACGCCAAAGTGACAGTCTTTGCAGAAGGCTGCCATGGCCACTTGACCAAGGGACTCATGAAAAAGTTTAACTTGAGAGAGAACTGCGAACCGCAGTCATACGGTCTCGGCGTGAAGGAGTTGTGGGAGATAAATCCTGAGCTACACAAACCTGGTACCGTAGAGCACACTATCGGCTGGCCTTTGGTGAGTGTTTTTCATAATAAATCATGATTTTTTTAAAGTTTTTCTATTCCCTTTCTTAACAAAAAACATTATAAAATAATTAAAATTTATTTGCTTCTAATTATATGTTCCATCTTAAATTAAATTTATTGAAGTATTTAAGTTAACTTTATGTTATTTCTGAACAGGACATACATACTTATGGTGGTTCGTTTCTGTATCATCTAAACGATCCGACTCCTCTCATCGCGATCGGGATGGTTATCGGACTTGATTATTCAAATCCTTATATGAGCCCGTTTAGAGAATTCCAGAAGTTTAAGCACCATCCAAGTATTAAAAAAGTTCTAGAAGGAGGAAAAAGGTAATTATTGTTATTTATTTTATTATTTTAATTTATCCATTATACTGTATCATAATAAATAAATATTTATATAGTTTGAATTAGGAGATTTCAGAACGAAACCTTTTAATTTAAGTACCACTAAGAACTAGTGAATCAACATTTTTTCAATTAAAAAAACTTTGATATAATGATTTTAACATACACATATTTTTCTATCTTCGTAAATGGCTGAGATATAAACATAAGAAATATCTTATTGACATAATTTTAAAACAAAATAGTAAAATCATTTGGATCATCTTGGAATCAACTGTGATTTTGTGCCAAATCTAAAATGAAAATCCTGAAAAAAAGAGATATGGATAACAAATGGTCAAATTTTTTTTTTATTTAATTTTTTGATTGTTCATATCTTTAAACTAAACATATCCATTTTGAGAAAGGACGGAAAAAAAAAATCTTAATTACAAAGGTTCATTATTGAAATTGAATTGATAAACCAAATAAAAAAAGTCATGGGAGTTTTAAGCACTCTGATATGCATTATAAATCTATTAAGATATATACTTGTTTTTAATTATTATTTATATTTTTTTAAATAATTTAATTGTTTACAAAAATAATTAACTAATTGTAAGTTATTCATACCATTATTTTTGTTTTTATACTGTTATCATAAATTTTAATTCATTTATCACTGAGTTTTCAAGATTTTGATAGTTAAACGTATGTATATAGATTTAAATATTTATAATTTTAGAGACTATATTAATTTTTTATTTATATTTTTCTTTATGGATTAATGAGATAATTTTTTTGAATTCATTTATATTATGAATTTGTATTCAGGATTGCATATGGTGGAAGAGCGTTGAATGAAGGAGGATACCAGTCAATTCCAAAATTGACCTTCCCCGGAGGGTGCCTTATAGGCTGCACTGCCGGCTTCCTCAACGTGCCGAAGATCAAAGGAACCCATTACGCGATGAAGTCTGGCATGCTAGCTGCTGAGAGTATAATGGAGAGTCTGGATGCTGGGAAATCAGAAACCATAGGTACTAAATATTTTACTTTCACTTATCTATATATGTATAGTATTAGTATATACATATATATGTATGTATACACTATACATTGTAGGTATGTACCTATATATTATATAGTAAGGAAAAGTATTGCAATCGTTGAAATGTTTCAATAGAAATACACGTTTTGAGGTCCCGTGAGTCCAAATAACCAATTTCCATGGTTATTTGTAAAATGGTCTGTGTGTGAACAGACTAGCCTAAAAACTAAAAGTGATATGAAGCTGATTTTAGGTTTGTATATAGATGGAATGTTCCAAATACTTTTTCATTAAAATCAGCTGACCAAAAGTGCCATTTTTTATCATTGATTATTACAACTTTCTTGAAAACTGCTCTAACAATTTTGATTAAATTCATAATATATTTGTACCATCTTTAATTTTGCTTTTACCTCTTCTCCATTTCTGCTTAAAAAAAGATTATAAGTGAAAGTTTTGTGATGCGCACACCGCTCTAGATTTTTTAATTAACATCGAAACTTCTTATATTAAAGACTTTTATAAATCGGACACTTCTAATAAAACAACAACTTTATTTTCTACCACCAAGATTCTATAGATTTCAATAAAGTTAAAATTTCTAATGACCGAACATAGACTCTTAATCACATTTTTCTGTAATCAAAACTTCTAATTAACTAACAGAGAGCATAAATTCCTGATTGATTACGGGAAATGCTTATGATTAGTAAAGTTTTTATAAACTGAAAAAGAAAAATGTTTTATGATATGAGAAGGAGTTAGTTGAGGGTGCGGTCAAATAAATAAAAAAATTAAAATATATAAATAATTTTAATTTTTGCCGACGTTTCGACCCACTTTGCAGGTCGTCTTCAGGGCTACAAAAGATACAAACATGTTGAAAAAATAAAAATAAAAAAAAAATAAATATAAGTATATATAAATCACGAAGAAGTTGTCAGATACAGAAATAAAATTTATTTCTGTAAATAAAATAAAATAAAATTTTATTTCTGTATCTGACAACTTCTTCGTGATTTATATATACTTATATTTATTTTTTATTTTATTTTTATTTTTTCAACACGTTTGTATCTTTTGTAGCCCTGAAGACGACCTGCAAAGTGGGTCGAAACGTCGGCAAAAATTAAAATTATTTATATATTTTAATTTTTTTATTTATTTGACCGCACCCTCAACTAACTCCTTCTCATATCATATCAACGGTCAACCATCTCTACATCATCATGAAAAATGTTTTACTTGTACAGACGAAAAACATGTGCAAATATATTTCTAAGTAACTTAATTCATATTAATGTTTTTTACTATAATTACTGTTAAATGTTGACTTGATCTAAATACTGTTCATCTTTATTTTATAGGTCTAGAACCTAAATCTTATGAAGATAAGGTTCGAAGCAGCTGGATTTTTTCTGATTTAAAAGCAGTTCGCAACTGTAGGCCTTCTTTCCACACGCCATTGGGATTAATTGGTGGCGTGGCTTACAGTGGCGCTTCTATCATTCTTGGAGGCAGGGAGCCTTGGACGTTGTCCCATGGAGGTATATATATATTTATATTTATATTTCATTGTACATGTTCAGCCAATTCCGAAAACTTAATTTTTTGGGGGAAAATGATTATTTCTAATTTTTAAAAATTGCTTCTTTTCTCTGGGTATGAATACATCGACTTAAATATAGTTATTGTGAGATTTAGAGATAAAATATGAATGTATTTTCTTATTTTTGAGAGTAGGAAAAGAAGTTGTTAGCGAAAAATTGTTTGATGACTTAAAACTCACGGATCTATAGCTAACAGTTATTGAATAGCATAAGCATTTTCTTGTATTATCTATAAACTTTTACACTTTAGATTAATTTTCTAAAAGGTTAATTGAATTGGTTATTGCAGAAACGACACATGTGGCATTTTTACCAGTATGTATATAATGATCATAGATGCATCTTTTAGTGCAAAAAAACATTCTTCATTTCAGAAGTAATGCTCTAACTTTTAAATCATCAATATAGTTGTAATTTAAAGGCTGTTTTACAACTTCAAGCTTTTTTACCAGTTTTTCTCGTATGAATTCAGTTTGTTAATGAAACTTTTACTCAACTCTTACTTTTACTCTTTTACCAAATTACTCAAAAATGTTGGAAATACACATGCTGCATCAGTATTGAACACTAAAACGGGATTTTTCTACATAATTTGAGTTTTCTTCATTTAAAAAGATAACCTTACTTTCCAGCCGCACCAAGTGGATAAATATGTTAACTACAATCTGAACTGTTCAAGAAAAACTTAAGCATCTAAAAGGGTTTATCAAATCTATAATGATCGCCCTTAGTGGTTAAAAACCGAAGTATTTAATTTCAAATTCTAGGACAAAGCTTTGGCTGAGAAACTTTATCATGTAAAACAGCCTTAATGAGAAAATGGACCGTTTCTGCAATAGCTGTTTTAATTAAGGAAGTGAAAAATGAAGTGGGCTAATCCACATTTTTGTGAAAATTAAGTTGGAATTGTCATAACATTATATGTTATGTCACCTGTTGGCTGTATAAAATATTGGGTTGGCAAATAAGTCCTTTCGGTTTTTCAGGGTGAAATAAAACTAATGTATTTTAGACATAAAATTTATTTTAATCTACAATATATTTACCATTATTTAATATGACTTTTTCCCATCTTTCGACTAACTGCACAATGTCATGTTCATAGAATGTCTGGAGTTTATTGTTAAAAAACTGGTGCTTGTGGTTTTTGATGCCCTCTTCCTTTTGGAATTTCTTTCCATTCCCACTTGGAGCTAGGTCTGGTGAATAGGGAGAGTGATTCCATCGAAGACTCAATAATTTGTTGCTAGTGATTAATGAGGTGTGGGCCTAGCTTTGTCTTGGTGGAACACAACACCCTTCCGATTTTCCAGTTCTGGTTTATTTTTAATTGATTGATCTAATTTTGTTAATTGTGAGCAGTGTAGAGTTAAATTGATTGTTTTTCCTGATGGCAATAGTTCATAGAAAAAAACACCCTTGAAATCCTACCAAATGGAAAGCATTATCTTCTTTGGATGCAATCCGGATTTGACATTCTTCTAGGAACCTCACTACTAGATCCCCAAGATTTTCCACGGACTACTTTATCGTAAAATATCCATTTTTCATCTCCTGTTACCAACATTTTCGTTTTTTTACCATTTCCGTAGTGAATCACAAAAAGAAATGGGTGTTGACAAGTCGACTTCGGTTAGAGAGTGAGGGACCCAAACATTAAGCCTGGAAATATAGCCGAGCTTGTGCAAATTTAGGGCCATAGCAATCTCTCTCATTGATTGGGTGGGATTTTGATCAACAATGGCCTTAACATTGCTTGTTTCAATTTCATGTGGGCGACCAGACCGTTGAGCATTATTTCCTCAAATGAAAAATTTCCTGAATGAAATTTGGCAAACCAATTTTGACAGATGCATTCGGTTAAGGCATCACCCACATAAACACTGCAAATTTTTCTATGAGCTTCTGCAGTGCACTTACCTTTTTTAAAATAATACAACAAAATATGCTGATAATGAATGTTATTTTCTTCCATATTCACAGTGCAATAGCTAACACAATACTAACCTAGTTTCAACAAGAGTTAACGGATATAGTTGTTGACATATTACAAACAGGATAAACAATCCACCTTAGGGATTAATTCATCAGATAAGAAGTTTATCATAGTGAAATAAAAATAAACAGAAAAACTGAAGGAACTTATTTGGCAACCCAATAGTTGATTAATTTCAAAACCATTCACGAGGCACTGAGCAGTTTAACAGATAAGCTTGATCTACTCTAGCTCTGTTAACTTAAATCCCATATGCTAAGTGAAGAACATTCCTTTCCTAATTATCATAAATGGTGAAAAGTATTTACTATAAATATAATTATATTATAAATCGAACGGATTTTTCTTAAATTCACAGCTATTTTTGAATGTCCCAATTAATATTCTTCGAAATAAAATTTTAATATTAAAAAAATTAATTGTTATTAAAAATTGAAGGAATTCAAAAAAGATTAATAATTTGATTTAAGCTTAACAAAATACACTTGCTTGGAATATAATTTTATTGAAAATAAATACTAATTTCATTTATTTGATTTTATTTTTGTAAAAAAAATTTTCTCTGTATTTGAAAGTCAGAAATTGTTCGGATGAAAGATCCCTCTATCATCAAAATATATATTTAATTTCATGGCACCTTTTATACATTTATTAGACACTATGTGTCTTTTGTTACTTTGGCTTCTACCTAAACATTTTTCACTTTATTAATATTTTTGTTTCATTTTTCACTTTATTAATTGTTTTGGTTCATTTTTCAGATCCAGATTACAGCAGACTGAAGCCTGCAAGCGAGGTTAAACCAATCGAATATCCTAAGCCTGATGGAGTGATTAGTTTTGATCTTCTCTCCTCCGTCGCCCTGACCGGAACGAACCACGAAGGTGACCAACCTCCTCACCTGACACTGATGGACGACTCGGTTCCGATCACTAATAATTTAGCGATTTACGATGGTCCAGAAGGAAGGTTCTGCCCAGCTGGTAAGTAAAGTTATCAGTACAAATTGTAAATTTTATCATCAATAGAGTATAAAAATAAAAATTATGTAAGATCTTCAAGACAGATATGTTATCATGAAGCTATTTTTCAGTAAATTAAACTGTTTACTAAAAAAAATATTCAAATTCCAATTCTACATTATTATGTTTTGTGTAAAGTTATTTTCAATATCAGTCCTGGTCGGTTTTAAATTTTAAAAAAGTATCTAATTGTATACTAAGGGGAGGAGAGTTCCTATGCTCAATGTGTCTCGGGTTCGAGTCTGGCAGATGATATTAAATCTATTATATCCGCTTTGGGTCAAACAAGCCATTTTTGAAATATAGGCCTATCATAGTAGGTTTGTCTGTAACTGAAAGTAGTGGATAGAATTTGATAAACGTGATGTGGTACATTCTAGGTACCAACCAGATACAAGATCAAATTTGTTCCTTTGTGTCCAAAACATAAAATAAAAATGCAAATCTGTAATTCTAAGGCCTCTGTCCATAACTGGTTAAGTTGAAAACTGATGAGAAAACAAGTTAACTACACTTGTCACAATTTGAATTGCTTTTCATAAAATACTGAAAATAAAATGGGATCTAGAGTTACCGAATTTTATCAATGACGTAAGAGCCCAAGAGTTGATCTATGATCGACTTTACACAATTTGAGAATAAGTTAACTTAATTAATTATGGCCAGAGACCAGAAAATTGATTTTGAACTATTGCTGAATAACTAATAAACTTATAAATACTGTTGCTATATTGCAAAACTATGATTTGAATGCTATATTATCAAGCAGTAGGTTTGACTATAGCAGTACCATTTCCTCTTGGTGACATATTTACTGTTGATTTTGTAATGCAGCAATTAATTTATGACTTTTTCTACAGGTGTGTATGAGTTTGTACCATTAGAAGATGGTTCCGGAATGAAGCTCCAGATCAACGCGCAGAACTGTATCCATTGCAAAACCTGCGACATCAAAGACCCGACCCAGAACATCAATTGGGTCGTACCCGAGGGTGGTGGCGGTCCAGCTTACAATGGCATGTAAACAGCCATCAGCATCTTTTAGCCAAGTACCATGACAGTATAGCTCATCGCAACTGAACACGATCTGGCCTTGTTCTTCTCGTCGATAAAGCCATATTTTTATATTCTTAAATAGCATCTTCGTAGGTGTTCAGCCATGGATTACTGAGATAGGCACATTAGAGTATGTCCCGATTTAGCTCTAGTCTATGCTGTTAGGAATATCGTTCATATTGATGAATCTTCAAAGTTTTTTTTTTTTATTATTATTTATTATTTATTTATAGAATATTAATATTTAAATTACTTGTTTTATTGGTTTTATTTATTTTTAACTCCACAAATTTGTTTCAATATCATTATTGCAGTACCTCAGCTAAAAGTTATTATAGTTGGGATCCGGGCAGTTTTATATATATATAATTAGTACTTTGGTGCCAATTTTAAATATAATGGATATATAATAGAGCAAATTGATGCTATAACCTCTGAGATATAGGTTTGGACTTGAGAAACCATCCTAAGTCTGTTAACTACAATCAGTAGAAGCTTTTGTTTTGTTGAAAATATTACGTCCTCTCTTTTTCCTTTAAGAACCTGTGGAAATAACTTATAAGTCTATAACTTGCCTAGTTTTATATAACTCTTGTAAAACATGGTGCACAAGACCTCCATGTTGTTTTCTTAATACTGTTGATAGATTATTATCAATGTTAACAGATAATTTTTTGTTATGCACGGTGTTATGCACTAGCCAGAGAGTGTGAATCGATAACAAGTATTATATTTTAATACAATGATAATATTGATTCTTTATATATCACAAATTTGGGTAAAAATTAAGTCCAAATTAAATTAAGTGTATGTCCTGCCATCTGTTGATTATACAAAGAATTTCATTAATTTTTAAACTATTCAAGGGATAAAGCCACTCTTTATTAAATTGTATAAATCCATTCTGGCTAGCTTAATTTTCCTTTACAGTGTGACATTGGTTCCTTACATTTAAGTATAGAAGACTTATATTTTTCCCAGCATTCTAATAAAGAAAAGTAAAAACAAATTTTTTTTTTCAAAATAACATTATGATGTTGGCTCACTTTGGATCTCAATGCCTCATTACTGAATGATGATTCCAGTGTTCATTAAAATAATGAATTTTTTATAAGTGACTTAATGGATGTAATTTTTTAATATTTACAATGAGCCAAAAATTTGTTTTATCTATTGAAACTGCTCTTATTTCCTTATCTTCATTTTTAAGTTTGTTTTTTTAATTATTTATGATACATATTTTATTTTTCAAGTTTATTAAGGCAATGGATTTTTGTGATTTTATCAAGCCATTTTATATAAAATTTTCTTATTATTTCATTATATTATAATATTTGACTTTTAACCATAATCAACATTTCATTTCTAAAATAAACAACACTTGTAAATCATTATTAATTATATTATATAATATAATAATTAATCGCCATTATTAAAAAAAGATCACAAATTTTTACTTGCAATATGTATTTGAATTAATACCAAACAACTAGTTATATATTATTTCCATATTATGGTTATGATTTTGTTTGATGTTACTTTTTTATAACAAAACAATTAAGACTTAAATGTGTTTTGTCAATTGGTATTTATTTTCAAAAATGATATATAATGAAATATGAATTAGTAAATTTAAAATTTGTAAAGTATCAGATATTTATATAATTTTTGTTCTATATCGTATGTATTTATTTATGTTATTATTATTTTAATACTTCAGCTTTTATACCTGCGTCACTAATTTGTTCATCATTCAGCGGATATGTGGCCTCATTGTGATTTTAAATTTATCAATCATAGGATATTGTTTTAAATTTTTTAAAATTATTACATGCCCTTGTTTAGGGAAAAAAAATATTATTATGATAACAATTTCACAAAAAAAGAACATAGCTACCTGATTTGTATATCATAACTGATTTGAGTTTTATAAGTACGTGAAATATTAAGTCTGAAATTTTAATAATCCAAGCTTACGAGTGTATAATTGTTTTAAGTTTGTGATTGTTAATAAATAAGTATTTGAACATTGTAAGAGAAATATATTTTTCTATAAATTTTTACTTATTTTTTCTATTTTTGTCAGATGAAGAAAATATATATATGTATATATTTTTGTTAATAATATGGTATTGTTAAACATTAGCTATTTGACCAGTTTCCATGTCCTTCCTCTGATGTTCTAACAGCAATTTTAATTGGGGAAATAATAGTTTAAGATATGCATGGTTTAGATGAAGTTGCATGACTGAAGTGATTTTCAAAAAATTTTAAGCAGTGCCTTGATGATCGAAACTATTTGAAGACCACCAGGAAAGCAGGTAGTCACATTTTTTTTTTTTTTTTTTTTTTTGAGTTACTGACGTTAAAATTATGAAGAAAAACGCCACAATCCTATCAGGGTTAACATGCAAAAGAATAATTAATAATTTAAGATTAATAGAGGACCTTCTCAATTAATAATTGATAAAAGGTTATCTCTTACTTTTAATTTTGTTTTCTCTTATTCAGGTTTCTTAGACAATGCCTGTTTTTCCCCTATGATCTTCATTTCCTTATCTATACTCTGTCAAATTAAATTACCCTGAAATATGCTTTGTATAATTTTTCTAATAAAGCAATTCTTTTGTTCATAAAAAGCTTATATTTTAATAGTGGATTAATGGTTGACTGCAGTGAAAATTGAAGAGAAGTTGGTTACGGTTTTCAGTCAAAAATACAAAGTAAAAATTAATAAATGGTATTTTTATTTTTGCCGAAGTTCAGGGCTAAGGAAAGACCACATAATAACAGGTATAAGAAACTTTTAACATTAAAAACAAAGTAATATGTAGGTGAAATGTATAGTCTAGTAACATATGGGTAGAATAAACTTAATATTAAAAAATAATTTATAATTAATATAATATTCTGCCTCTCCACTTTAATGTTAAGTTTATTCTAACTACGTGCTATTAGGCTAAACCTTTAACCTACAAATTATTTTCTTTTTAATTTTAATAGTTTTCACACACATTGGCTTAGCCCTGATGAAGGCCTAAACTTTGCGCCGAAATGTTGACAAAAATAAAAATGTTTATTCATTGATATTTACAACTGTATTAAAAAAAAAAGAAAAATACATCTAATAAATGTGCTCTCAGGAATATAATATCATGAAATGGCTTGTTGGGAAACTACTCACTGGTAGCACTCAAGTAATAAATTTACACAAGATCACAAGGACATCTTCTTTTCAGATGCCTCGGATGGTTATCTGGAATCGAGGAAGAAGCAAGGTTTGAAACGAGAAGGTTCGGATGGTTCTGAAGTTAGTTATGGAAGGATAGGTATCTGGATAGGGCCAAATTGGAAACATATGGAACATTATGGATGATTTTATTTGTGACAAAGTAAGGAGCTTTGAGGATTTAACGAAGGATTTTGGATTGTAAGGATTGGATACGAGAGGAATTTGATGGTTTAGTGGAGCCCCAAAGCTGAATTCTGTATGTCCAAATAGGTGTTTTTATTGTCATATATATGAGTTCTTTGTAATTGATTGGAAGCTTACAGCGTTTGTCTGGAAGTGCTGGAGTAGTCGGAAACTTCGAGGGATTTCTTGTCATTTCAGTCTTGTATAAGGATTCCATGTGAATCGTTTGTGCAGGTGGAGTCCTAGGTAACGGATTTGTTCAACTGGGATAAGTGGGGAATTGTATTGTAAGACAGGAGACAGGAGGTCGTAAGTTTATGACACAGGGTAAAGGTAATTTGATGAGATAAATAAAAACAAATATAATTTATTTAGTATTATTGACTGGACACCCCAATCAACTTCTCTTGAGTTTATATTTTAATTATGTTGGGACCGAAATGGTGAAAGAAAAAAATTGCATTTAAGATGATCAAATGCTAAATGGACCAAAAATCCTCATAATGCAGGAGATAAAATTCAGTCTGTAACACAATAGAGTTTTGATTTCTCCGTGCTATTACTTTATTTCGTATTTTAAGAATTGTAAGATCATACATAGTAAGAGAAATATGAAGTTTAAGTTCAAAATTATCCAACTCTTATCAGAGGTTTATTTTGAAGTCTAGATTTTAAGTGGCAACATTTTCACAAAAGGAACAAAGTTCCTTTTAATAAAAATATGACCCCTTTGGAATCAAAGCCTTTTCTGTGATAAATTCTGTTTCCATCCTGAGCTCAATACAATATACTCCCAAAAACTATGTCCTCTCGAGAAGCTACCTCTAATATCATATTTTAAAGATATGTTATAGTTTACTACAAGTAGATGATACTGTAATGCTGGAAGAAGAAAAGATTCCTCAGCCTATGTGGAAGTTCTAATAATTGAAAGGTTGCTGCCACATACTAACCAGAGTGAGAGTATCAAAATTCATTTGTAGGAACACCCAAAAATAATATTAACTTACCATATGGCAATTGAACCACAACCTAAAAAATCTGAGCACTTTGAGGCCATCGTGTCCTATTGACTATGGGTAACTTGAAATGTGGATCCTCTGGATCTGCGTGGAGTGGGAATTTCATGCATCATCAAAAGTACCAGTTGGCGACAATCCAGAGGATGGTTCTGTTACGCATCACATGAACCTGTGATGTCTCATGAGGTGGTACAGATCTGATAATTATAGACCTGCTGTGAGAATATTGCTTTCGGTTTAAGATGAAGAGAGTAGGTCTGGCGTAAAGATGGAAAAGAATACTCCAGAAGTAAACATTAAAAGAATAGAACCAGCATTAGGTAATGAAACTAAAGTTTGCTTTGTGATGGAAACCAACATGGATCTTACAATATTATTGGATCTCTTATCTTCTTAAAGAACTCTCAAGAAAGGTTGTTTGAACGCGGTTAGAGCATGAATGAATGAATGACAAAATAATTTTATCATGGGACTATAGTCCCCTAAGAATAATAACAGAGTTACATATTTATGAGTCTTAATCTGGCTTAGAATAATACAAAATACAAACTAATTAACTGTTGATTGTTATTGCAATTGTGCAGTTGATTGAATTAAACAGTGTACTGTCGCAAGTAAATTTTACATGTTTGCAGAAGTTTGAATATGGAGTAGGTGGTGGAACAGGAGTTTTTTTAAGAAACTTGTGAACAGGGATTGGCATATGAAGTTAGGAAGAGAGTTCCAGATAGGTAGCACGAATGACGAAGGATTTGCTGAAGGAAGTAGTTTTATGGGAGAAGATTTATAAATCTAAAGGTTGAGACCTGGTATTAAGAGGGTGAAGAGAGGAACGTAGAGTAAGGATTTCCAGGATGTAGGGAGGGTTTTTTGTTCAGAGGACTTGGAAAATGAAAACGAAAAGGAGGAATTGTCGGGAAGTAGGATAAAGCCACTTAAACTCCGTGTAGCAGAATGGAACATGAGAACGCCTGGGAATTCCGAAGATGTATCTTATGAAACAGTTCATGAGTTTCTCCATTCTCATTTCTAGCCTGGCCTCCATACATCAAACAGCCCTCCATACAACAAACAGGCCTAGTCGAAGTGGGGGATATAAGGGAGGTTACAACTAGCTGTCTGGTTTTTGGAAGAATACAATCACGGAATCTTAGGAGTTTTTTAAGGACAGTCATGAATTTTCGGCTAATCTGGGAGATATGGTTATTCCAGGAGAGGTTCCGGTCAGTTTATTAAGTTTACTCCTAGGTTTTTGACTGTAGGGAAAAATGGATAGGCCGGTTATTGAGGTAAGGTAGAGGAAATTAAGGAAGGGAACTAATGGATAATAAGGGAAACATTGATACTTCTATATCTTACTTGTGGCGGACTGGAAACAGTTCGGACAATACCGATCTTGTCTATAATTCCTAGGAGGCAATGATGGCCAAGCTACTGAGGGAGACAGCTTCCATGTGTTTTTTTTTTACATTCAAACAAAAGGAGAGCGATCTCCCAAAGCTATCATGCCTTCGTTTGAGGATGGAAAGAAGTATCAAGTCCGACTCATTTTTCCTTGACTAGAGGCGTAGAAGCTGATCCAGAGAGATCTCTGGATTGAGGCTAAGCAGAACGGAACGGTGGCTAAGATAGATCAAGATGGATCAAAAGATAAAGATCAGATTTTTTTCACTGATTTATTTATGCATGGCATACAAACAGCCATATTCCGTAAAACATAGCGAAATGTAATTATAAATTTAAAACATACCGTTCAGTTGTTGTTCTTGTTTATAAATACTTATTTCTATTCCAGCGGACAACCTAATTTTGGTTATTGAAGGAAGTTAGTCGACTGTTCTACATATTATGGGTGATAAATATTCAGGACGCAGTCATTATAAAGTTTTTATTGGTGCTGACGTTTCAACCCAAACATGTGGGTTATCATCAGGTCGAACCAGAAACGTCGGCACCATTAAAAACTAATAATGACTATGTAATAATTACTGAATAATGACTGCGTCCTGAATATTTATCACCCTAATTTTGTTTACTTAGCTGAAAATATTAGTAATATATACAACATACAAACCAAAATGTATTCTTATCAGTAATACGAACTTTTTAAAACATTTATTCAATATTTACTTTATTTATAATTAAATGAAATTTCAAAATTCACCTACGCAGTGGTCGACGAAATGGGAGTCTGACGTAGTAGAGGCGTGTACACAAGCTCATCTTTCCACAGCAAGAAACGTCAGAACTTAATTTAATTCTTAAATTTAGTGCCAAAAAGTAAAATTAGTATGATTACTCAATGTTTCACTCTCACAATGAAAATACAACGAGACAAGACATCTCCTGAATTCACTAGCGGATCCAGGATTTAATTTTGGGGGGCTTCAGCCCGAAAGCTTTTTTTTTCATAAAAATAACGATAATTACTTTGGAAAAAAAAAAGAAAGAAACGATAATTACCTATATGAAATGGTGTTTAAGTGATTCCTAAAGCCCTTTTAAATGTAATTACACGAACAATAATACTTTGAGAGATAATTTTTTAATATTTTTTTCGGTAAAACGTGGTTATATTTTCCCATTTTTGGGGGTGCTTCCAAATTCCACACATCCTTCAAAAAATATCAGAACCATATTTAATCTATACTGATGGATCTAAATCGGACGAATACACAGCGTCTTCTTTTGTCACCCATAATTCGACGCACAAAATAAAACTAAATTATCTGTGCAGTATATATACAGCCGAATTTCAAGCAATAGTCACAGCCCTCCATTTTTCTATAACAATAACCGTCAAAACATTACAATAATAACTGACTCTCTAAGCTCTCTAAAAGGGATGAATAATAGAAGAATCAACTTTATTCTGGGACAAAGTCCCTTAAGAATAACAATTTTGTACATAAAAATTAACATTCCATCTGGCCAAAATACATATTACAATAAAAAAAATAACTAAAAACTAAGTGATAGCAGAAGTATTTACCTTATTACATTTACATTACAGAACGTGACTAGACATCTTTTCCATGCTCAAAAAAGAATATATATTTATATACAAATGATAAATAGAGAAAAATGCAATTTTGTTACATAATAAATGGCTACCCAGCGTCTGATTGAATTGTAAGGAGGAATTGGAATAGGAGGGTTTTAAATATGGATAGGGATGGTGCATGGCGGATTTTAAGTGGGATGGAATTCCAAAAGGTAGTGGAGCGGACAATAAAGGAGTGTTGAAAGGAGGCAGATTTGTGGAAAGGGGTATAAAGGTCAGAAGGACGAGATCTTGTGGAGATGGAGTGGATAGATGACTTAAATTGAAGGAGATTGAATGCGTAGGACGGACGATGATTATGGATTATTTGGTAAAGGAATGTACCTAGGAAATATTGTCTTCTGAAGGAGGGGAAGAGCCGAAATTATAAATTATAAATTATTAGCCGAAATTTAATTTATACCCGAAACAACCAACTATCTTAAAAATTCGTAAATATGAAAATATACTAGAAGCTCTAGGAAAATCGGTATACTTTATTTGGACACCGAGCCAATGAGATTCGTTGGAAATGAGCTCGCGGATGTAGCAGCGAAATAAGTTCTTACCCTTCCAGGCCGGGATGCGGCCATTTTAACACAGCAAGATAGAAGATAGTCTTCCCCTCAAAAAAGATATAATTCATAGCTGGCAATCCATGTAGAATGAGAGTCCGCCAAGCAAATTAAAAGATATTACTGTTTAGTAAAGCCGTGGTCTACATCGAATCGCCATCTCCACAGAGAAGAAGTTGTCTTAACCAGACTGAGAATAGGCCACACCAACCTTACCCATTTACATCTCATTAATTAGCAGCCATGTCAACACTGCAATAATATACACTTACAGTCAGCCACATGTTACAGGAATGTTCTTTTTACGTATCAAATTTAAATAGTCTAAGACTTACACCTCCAATATAAAATATTTTAAGTGATGACCAAGACACTATAAAGTTAGTGCTAGATTTCTTAAAACCAAACAATTTGTTAAATAAAATTTAAAAATTTAATCCAAAGATAAACTAGATTAATTTGCAGGCGTTGATGAACTGGATGTTTTACGCATTTGAAACCCCAACAAACAAACTTATCGTACATATTCTGAAAGCACTCCCCAAAAACGGTAAAATATAACCATGTTTAATAGAAAAAAATATTAAAAACTATCTCTTAAAGCATTCTTGTTCGTGTAATTACATTTAATAGGACTTCAAGAATCACTTAAACACCATTTCATATACGTAGTTCATTTCTTTCTATTTTTTTAAAATTAATTATCTTTATATATATGAAAAAAGATCTGAAGCCCCCCCCAAAAAAATTAAATCCTGGATTTTCTAGCGTCTGAAAGTAATTGCATGCGTTAATTGCATTATGTTTAAAATAATTTTCTTCAATAAGCCATAAATCTATACGATACTGATAATGAATTACAAACGACAAAGGATTACGCAATTACCTTCATTGATTATGAACCCATTCATTATAATCTCACGCAACCAATGATTCATTTCATTCATGATTATTGAAAGATGTCATTAGGATATATGCAATTCATCATATTCTTTAGTTAACATTATTTCTAAATTCGAATAGTTTGACAGTTTAAAAACAAATCTAGTTTTTTTTTTTTTTAATTTAAATTCAAATTATTAAAACATTTTTTAATAAGATATCACTTTAGGCAACTTCCTAAATTCAGCGCTGAGCTCACCGATGACATCATTTCCCTTGTTTAAGGTAGGATCCGTAGCCATCGGTGTGCTCAGCACTGAGTTTAGAAACTTATCGCTTCTTAATATCATCATATTAATCGATTATATATTCGATAAATCGATATCCTCGTAAATTGAATCCAGATTGGTTTCTTATCACATGCCCGAAAAGTGCTAGCTAATTCAAATGTTTCAAAAGCTAGTTTGACGTTGGTCTCCTAATTACATCCTTGTAGAATTATCGCCATTTATTTCTAGAGTTTATTTACAGCAACTACCATTTTTATGGGTCTTCTACTCCGTAAATTGTAAACTTTATTTCTCTTTTACACCAAAATAATTGATCCTGGAATAACCTTATTTACATAGTTGTGCCAATTCTGTAATTGGGAATGTCATTTTATTAGACACACATGAATCAGTACATACAGATCCTATGTCTATGCATTATCTTAATTAATTAAAGGTATTTATGAATTTAAATAAAAATTTGAAAATTTCCTTTCCTATGAATTGTTCTGAAAATTTAATTTGTTTAAAATGTTTATCCTTGGAATCATTTATTGACAATAATGGTTTTTGAATTATTATAAATTATATTTGATTGATTTTGGCTGTAAATTCAATTAAGATCATTTGAAGTTTTGGATTACTGCCCTAACCACAGTCTATATAATACATTTAAATATTACTTTGGGGGAAAATGTAAACTTATAAGATTATTGCAAAATGAGCCTCACTTGTTAATATGAAAATTAAACCATTTTATCAATAATTAATATATTTTTTTACTATATTCTTATACTACAGATTTGTATGTATATGAATACTTTTCGTTTTATAGTGTTTTACCAGTGATTTCTCCTGTTATTATGACTAACTAATATTAAAAAAGTACGATACTTTTTGGCGTGAGTATCATTTCATTAATTTAATCAATATAACATTTAAGTTATATATTTTGAAATTTAGTTATACAATATTTAACTTTTTAAATATCGGTTATGATGAATTTAATTTTTTTTATTTTTTATTTAAACTTGGTTTTGGTTATGAACTTTACTAATGTTAATGATTGTAATCTCGCGTTGTACTCATTTATTATTAAATATTAGTTTTTTTTAGTAATGTTGGACAATGAATTTGATGGTCATGCTATTTATAAATTGACCATGGTATTGCGAGGTGATGTGTATTTTAAACCACACTACTCTTTAGTGTGTTACAGGCTTTAGACAAAGTTTTAACTGCTATTGTTATATATTTTCCAGAGTTCTTTGAAAGAAGACGTGGTTCTGATTTTTGTGACGGGATGGCAGAAGGAGACGATGTGTATCTGTACGTTTATGATTTGTCAGGAGGAATGGCCTCTCGTCTTTCTCCTGTACTTATCGGTAAAACTTGTTTTGATATATGTTTTCTATTGTGATTTGTATGCTTCATTCTTTTTATATTACAATGCATGATTATGATTAATCTATTTTAGAGTTTTCATGTTGAAAAGTTAATAACATATTAGTGAATTAGAACAGGAGTTATTAACTTTTATTAATTGTTTAATATCATAATGTTCTAATAGTCCATGCGTAGAGGTACACGTAGTAAAAGTACATTTAAAAATATTGATATACAATAAGAAAATTGATTAAAATGAAAAGGACTATTTTTGCTAGAAATATGTTGTCCACGAAGCTTGATTTGTGCTAAATCTTACTGGGTACTGTATTGTGATAAATTAAAATAATACCATGTTCTTAAACCAGCTTTTAATTTTATTTTTCAACTAATGCAATTTGTAATTTTGATTTTATATTTATTATTACTGACATTAACAAGTAACTAAATTGTATTTTCAAGTTGCATTAAAATAAAATCGTATGGATTCATCACAGCTGAATTGTAGCTTGTTAAATGCCTTTTTTAATGGTTTTGTTTTAACTCTTGAGTAATAAATGTATTGTTTTGTGTAATAAAGGGAATGGAATACAACTTAATTCATCGGTTGATTTTTGTAAAGAAATAATGATACTTTTTTAACATTTTATTAATGATAACAGTTGTAATGTTTTTTTTTTTCTTTATTAATGAACATTTTTCTTGGAGGCTTTTACTTATTTAAGTTTTATAAAATATATCTTACCCAACTTCATTCAATCATTTGATTTTTTTTTTTGTTTCAAATTATTATAGGTTTCTAATAAAAATTTGTAAACCAAATCCACACACATAATTTAAATTTTAAAACTAAATTTAATACTGCATAGTTGTGGTTTATTATTTGTATTAAAATTTGTTTGAACACAAATATTTTCTAGATACTGAAGGTTATAATTTTGATAGATGATAAGTCAGAACTAATGGAGATGCAAGCAAATATTATGCAACATTTCATAACATCTTGTCTACGCGCCTTTTAAATGATTAGATAAAAATTGTCTGAAGCCTTTTAAATCATGTTAGTGCACACATTTATAATTTATTTTTCTGTCAGTATTCACATTTATTTTTTCTGCATTCAGAAACATTAGGTTCCATTAACTGAACTGTACTTCTTAAAATTTAAAAAACAAAAGAAAATATAATTCCATTTATATGGATTGGTATAATTAGTTTATGTCAACAAGTGTTTGTAGACATTGTTTTCTTTCTTTTTACTTTGTCATTATTTACAATGATGACAAAATAATTTTATGAAAATTTTATAAATAATTTATTTATGTTTAAAACTGTAAACTTGTTTCTCATCACAAATTAAATTATATTCTTTAAAATATATACATATATATATATAATAATTATTCTACAAATTAGTAAAGTATATATATTCTTTTTAAATTTTATTTGTGTTAAAAAGAATTGTAATTACTTTGTAGTTCAATATTAAAACATAATGATAATGCTAAAAGATCATTGGGAGATCGTTCTTAGTTACTAATTATTTTAATCCAATCGTGCGTTATTTAATATTTTGTTGTAATTGAGATTTATTAAAAAAGAAGATTTTTTATTTGTGATAAATAGTTTTCACCATATTTAATTGGATTAAAAAAATATATTTTTGTGAAATTTGTATTAGAAATATTTGTTTTTTCAAAATTAAAATTATTGCAGAATAATCAAGGAGGATTAAATGCATATTTGAAAAATTGTATCGCTTAAGAAGATGCAGGGTTAAAGTGTGGTACTTATTGTACCAACGTTCTGTTAAAACGATTAAAATTTATTCTCTGTTATAATAATAAGATGTTTGCTCTTTAATATTCATCAATTACTAAAACAATTTAAATTTATAGATTTATGGATTATTATCCAGTTTTGTAGTAAAAGAAATATAAGAAGGCTGTTTGCTGAGTTTTTAATATTTAATATCAAGGTTAATTTGGTTTGGGGGACAAAAAAATCTGTGAAATCTAATAATAATAAAAAAAAAAAATTACAAATGACAGATATCACAGCATATTTTAGCATTTTCATTTGAAGGTTGTCTGGGAATATTTCATGTTTTTGGCACCAAAACAAAAAGAAATTCAAGGAAATCTGGATAGATACGAAATATTTTTCCTTTAATTAATTTCTTATTTTTTAATCTTGAAATATTTTTTTCTTAAACAATTGATAATGATAAATTGTTTTAATTATTAAAATTCAATATTAGACCATTTTAAATAGGAAACTAAGCCAATTTATAACTAGGTCACGAATGACACCTTCATTTAAATACATTTATCAAATACTTCATTTAAATACCTGAATATTAAATAAATATTAATACTGTACAGTTTTTATCTCCAATTATTACTAGATAGATAGATAGATAGATATTTTATTTGTTTTAAGGGGGTTCCCCATACAAATAGAGCCTAGCTTGGCTATTGTACAATAATATGGTTTTACAAATTTACATACATATAATTTAAATATAAATAAAATTTACAATATTTAACGTTTAGAATGGTTTCACAAAACATGAATAACAATAAAAATTAGAAACATAAAACGATTACTGCATAATAATAGTTATATGAACCAGTTACTATGATATAAACAATAAAAAATAAAAATATTTATAAATATAATGTTTATATATTATTTAAGTAGGATTGGGATGGGGGAAGGGAGGGGATATGGTCAATATACAAAGCAAATGCATTAAAACATTGCAATAAAGTATAAAGGCAAATGCAATTAAATACTACTGTAACATATAGTATGGCAAATGTGATAAAATACTTCAATAATATATAGTAAGGTTAAATGCAATGAAATATTACAATATAGGGTATGTATTGACTGCACCTCCATCTTCTTCTTAAATTAGAATTACTGTCAATCGTCTCCATACCTATATATAGAGATAAACAATGGTTCATCGCTATATGTGCGTGTGGGCGGGGTGGCCGAATAGGCTAAAGCGTGTATAACAGCACCGCTAGTTGCCTGGCAACCGGATAACAGAGATTTGAGATGATATAAAAAGTACGAGTTCGCGTCCCGGTGCCGGAGGGGATTTTAAATTCCCCGCCCTCACCCCCCGGCCCGGGAAAATCCCGTATAGCCTAAAAGGCGAGGTAGGGAAGAACAAAAAAAAAAACAAAAAAAAAAAACAAAAAAAAAATATTTATTTTGCTGTTTTACAAATATTATTTTTTTAAATTTTGTTTTGTTATAAATATTTGAAGTATTTATTAATGATTATTTTATTAATAGCTATCTGTTTTTGATCCTTATGCCTAAAAATTTAATGTCTTTTTGGGTGTTATTTATTTGAACCTAATTTAAAGACTGCATGAGAACGAGAGTAGAGTAGTCAGCATGAATTGAACCAGAGATGGCTTGTAGAGCGACAACCAAGTCCAGACACTCCTTTCAAAGCACCCTCATAAGAATTTATTGATTTAATACATAATTTTTATCTGTACATATATCTCAAACTTATTCGTTAGTACTTCACTATTTTTTTTTTTTTTTTAATTTGCTTTATTGAATATTAATACATTCTGCCACATTGAAGAGCATTAATATTAAGGCTACATGATTCATTCACACAATATGTACATACAATTAATATCAATAATAAAGAAAAAGAAATATAAAAAAAATAAAATAAGTAAATTGGTATGCCTGTGTACAAAAAAAATAATGAAATAATAGATAATAGCTAGACGAAAACTTCACTATTAGTAATAATAATAATACTTATTATATCCCTGTAGTCCTAATTTATTTATTTCTCTTACACGAATGTTTCAGCCTTTAGGCCATTTTCAAGTGAAGAAACCTATTTTAAAAATTAAAACGAGGCGTCTGAAAAGAAGATGGCCCCGTGATCTCCTAATGTAGTCATATCATTAGAGTGCTACCATTGGGTAGTTACTTAGCAAGTGTATTCATGTCATTATATCTATTATGTCCAAATTTACTAGATGTATTTATGTAATACAGTTGTAAATGTCATTAAGAAATTAAAAAAAATAAAAAATTAAATAGGATTCATATGAGCTGAATTACCCTTGTCATAATAACAATCCATTAATAGTAATGGACTATTGTTATTATGACTAGGATGATTTAGCCCATATGAATTTAATTTAATTTTTAAAATAGGTTTCTTCCCTTGAAAATGGCCTAAGAGATGAAACGTTCTTGTGAGAGAAATAAATAAACTAGGACTATTGGGATATAATTTTTATTAGCTAAAAATAATCTATTTTACAGAATTTTTTTCTTTATGTTGTTTGTGCACGCTTTTTACACTGATGATTCTTTTGTTTTAGGCAAGCAGGTTGAAGGTATCTGGCATACGGGGGTCGTAACATTTGGCAAAGAATACTACTTCGGGTCCGGTGGTATTAACGTGATCGTCCCGGTAAGTATATTATTATAAATCCTTGTTTCAATTATGATAGTTCCAACCATGGCAGAATAGTCCGTGGTACAGACCTCTTTTTATCAAGTCATTAACATCCGTCTAAAATTTCAGAAATTACTTCGTCTAATCGTAACCTACAAGTTTTTTTTTAAGAAAATTTTAAGAAATGGGGCGTTTTAAATCTGGAGATGGCGATACTTTGTCTATTTAATGAGGTACTAGAAACTTATGAACACCCATTCGTTCGCTTTCCACTCAAATCGTAAAATAATCTGATCTCAAAATCAAGAAAAGAGGTGACCTATAAAATATTAGGCCATTTGGTGTGACCTCGTCCCTCAACATGTCATAATAACAAGGTTGTTCTGGCCTGACGGCCTAATGTTTTTGTAGGCCACCTTTTTTATTGATTACTGATCAAGTTGTCGTATGATTCATATGGAAAGGAAATGGATATTCATGAGATTTTAGTATCTCATTAAATTTATATATTTAATGAGAAAACACCCTGTTTCTGAGAATTTTTGTAGATAAAAAAGTTTTTGTAGGTTAAGATAGGTTTTTATAAAAAAAAGGGTCCATACCACAGACTATAAACTGTGCCAGCCATTGTTATTGTATAAATTGTATAATAATGCTATGACATTTGTTGGCTTGCTTGGTTGTGAGTTTGACAGCTACTGTCACATTAGCTTCCATATGTAGATATCTACCAATGAGCTGTCACGTAATTAAAGATGGTTACGCAGAACACATTGTTGTTATGTGCTGAAGTTTTACAAGTGTTTGAGCTTCAAGAGAATTCGAGCGATAAAGAACACATGTAGGATTGAGATCACAGTACAGATAATAAAAAAATTATCATATTTGTGGCCTGAGACTACTGTAGCGTCATATAAGTAACTATTGTCAAATTGTATTGTGTACCATAAGCAGACCCTACACGGTAATTCATGAATGAACGTCACAAGAAGTTCCAAGATTGCCTGCTATCGCTTTGATCATGAAGAGCCTTACGCGTTCAATCATTACTTATCGTTGCTGATTTAGGTTAGATCGTTGCTGATCAATTTAGCGCAGTTGTAAACCAAAAAACAGCATAGATATGCTTATTTGGACATTGTCATTTATAATATTGGGCATCAAGAGAAAAACGGAGATATAATAATTACTTCCTAATGCCTGAAAATCGTTTAGACCAAAGTTAGTTCAAAATATAAGTCAACTACATACAAAAATCTATGAAAAGTATTGCGAAAATAATCAATTTGTTAAGAAAAATGGAAAAATTAATGGCAAATAAACACAACAGTTAAAGATTTTTTTTCTATAAGTAAATTGTGAAGTTTCCACTTATTTTTCTCTCCAATTTATTGCCTACTTGACTATTTAAAGAAAAAATAGTTGAAAATGGTTAATAATAATATAGACTAGGGATATAAACAACTATTTACTTTTATGAAATTATTAATCGCTCGAGTTCTATTGAAGCTCAAACACTAGTAAAACTTCAGTACATTAGTCTCATAGAAAATCGTTTTGACAGAAGTTAGTAAAATATAAATCTACTACTTACGAAAATTGAGGAAACATATTGCGAAAATAATAAATTTTTTGAGGAAAATGGGAAAAGAACTGATAAATATACACAACGTTAAAGTTTTTTTTTTCCTTTCAAGTAAATTGTGAAGTTTCCTCATTTTTTTTTTTTTTAATTTGTTGCCCACTTGACTATTTAAAAGAAATAATTGAAGAAGGTTTAAATTTATAAACAAGGGATATGAAAAATTATTTAACTATTTACATATAATGAAAATCAGAAATTTATAATGGTTGTGAGGCCTAGGTAACCTAACCTATCCAGCAGTATGGTTAGTCTCCCCAGCCCATATGTTTAGTCGGTCTCCCCTCCACTTCTCGTGAATGAACCTTTGATTTCCGGATGTTCGGAAATCCGCAGCGCACCAACATCAGTACTTCATTCACTACCTTACACGACAAAATCGGAACGTCATTAGTGCAATTCCGATTGACCGTGTAGGGTCCCCTATAAATGTCTGATGACAAACTTTTCCATTGTACACTTTAAAATTTCCTCTTTAACATATATGAATTCTTTTGAATTTATCATTATCATACAAGTAATTTCGGGAGGAGGGAAGGTATAGGACACATCCAGTGCATGAAACTAGTCGTTAGCGTAAACTTGAAAACATATAAATATCTAAAATAACTAAGGATTAAAGATAAGATCAAAAATTAAATAAAATCTCAGTAAATACAATGAGGAAATAAAAATATTCAATTAAAATAAGAAATATCAATCTAGAGGAATGCTGGATAAAAATAAATTTAGATAATTACAGAACAAGGATATAATTTAAGATAAAATAAGGAACTTTGTAGAAAAATTATAAACTTGGAAATCCATAGTCTTCGTACATAATCAGAATGAATCCATTGAGGGTAAAAAAAAATTGAGAAATATTCAATATGAAAAGCCTGAGGGGTTATACTAAACATATATAAACTTAAAATTAGCATTAGAAACTGCACGGACGCTGGTGGATTTAAAAAACAAAATAATAAACTAAAGGTTTTTTGCGGGAGACAAGAAAAAGTATGTTGGCACTCAGGTATGAAATGGAGGGAAGGAAGAAAAGCACTTTACTATAAAAGAATGAAAGCTCAATTAAACAGAGGAAAATGCTGTGTGATCAATAGCTGTCTTGTTCACAAAAGAAAAAAAAAGTATAGGAATAGGTACGTAACAGACTATATAGGGTATGATGAAAATATTGGGGATAAAAAAACACAAGGAATAATAAATTATTTAAATTTTAATCAAATTAAGACCTATATTTATTGGTACTGCCACTTTATCCCGCAAGTGGGCCTTACGGTCCTTTTTGTCAACACCTAAGAATTACCTTGAGGTTGCTCCTGTGTACTTTAACGATTGGTAGTATCAAAATTCATTTCCCACAGCTGCAAAGAAATAAATGTTCACTGACTCAATGAATCAAACCCACAATGTTTAGAAGGAGGCACTCTGGGGTCATCCACTAATGTGGTCATCTATCATGCCCTCTATGTCTATGTGTAGATAAAATACAATTACAAAATTTGAAATACATTATACAAAACTTAGTGCAACTATTTTGACTTGATAAAGACGTTCAATATTGATCGAAACATTGGTTTTGAATATATAATTAGCTATTATTTAATGTTTTTTATCACCGACTTCAATCTCTGTATACAATACATTATGTATACAACTACATTATTTTTTAAACAAATGTGTTTACACTCAAATATTCATTATACTCCCTGTACAGTTTTGGGAAGCTTGGTACAAGTCATATGACCCTTTTTTTCTGTAGATAAAAAATAAAGTTCTGAAATATTTGTGAAGTAGTTAAACCTTTAATGCTGTTAATTTTATTTATTGATATATAAACAGTTATTCCTGTGGGAGCATTCATTTTTAGTGATGTTAGTTAGATTGAAATAATTATTACATACAAGAATAAGAGGGAACCGCCCTCATGTCTATAAAAATAATTACATCTCGTGGGTGACACTCCAGTCCGGATGGGTGTAGCCAATGGGCTGATATATATGATGCTTCTCTGGTCGCCCATAAGAAAATGAACGAGGCTGTGAGATGTTGAAGGCTGCTGACAAAGTGGGGTAGGGGTAGGGTGCAGAACTCGATCCTTACCTCAGGGATTGCACCGTTAGCGAGAGGGGTAAAAACAAAATGAGACTGGTGGGCCCACGTTAAATATATACAAAATTAATTTAAGACATATAATAAATCATATAGTTATATAATTCAGTTGTATATCCGACAGTCCCTTTGTTAAAATCCAAGGTCCATTGAGAGCTTGAAAAGGATCAAAACTACCTTATTATGTACATAATTCTGCCATAAATACTGTTACAAAAGTTGAACTTTGTTTACATCCTTGGGTATTAAGTAGATAATCCTTACCTCTATCAGGTTATTTGCTTTACATGTCAGAATGATAATCCCAATTAGTTTGTATTTTTCTTTTGCTCAGTTAACATGCAGAGGGGTAATAAAGAAAATCGATTAGCGGTGATAGCCTTACACAAAGTTGGAAAATGTAGGTCAGAGATTTTCAACACTTTGAAACCTTTGGGTATCAGCCGTATGTTCCTGTACCTCACTATAAATAGATATAATGAGACCTTATCTGTATTTGACATACCTCGACTGTCTCGTCCCCTTCACTGTGAGAACGGCAAATGCAGTGTGAGCAATGGCTGCTCGATTCAGAAGAAATTCCATTCGAAAACAACAAATCATGTCTCGGGAAATGGGAATCTTTGTCAGATCAATTTCTCGCATTATATAAAGTGACCTTAAAAAGACAGGACAAAGGGTAACCACTTCCCTAAAAAAATTAGAGTGGATAGATGCAAAGTGCTCCTTGGCCGTTACACCAATGGTTTTCATCTTAAAATTTTGTTTAACGATAAAAAAAATTTTACAATTGAAGAAAACTTTAATAGCCAAAATTATCGTGTGTACGCACACAGCTCTGAAGAAGCCCAGGAAGTCATTGGAAGAGTGGAAAGAGGTCATCATCCTTCCTCACTGATGATTTAGTGGGAAGTTTGCTTTTATGGAAAAAAAAAAGTTAAAACAGCTGCTAAAAATTATCAGCACTATATTTTGTGATCTGTTGTCAAGCCTCTAAATGATACTGTTTGCTGGAGATCATTGGGTTTTCCAGCAGGATTCCGCTCCAGCTCACAAGGCCAGGTCAACTCAGCAGTGACTGCAAAAGAACATTCCAGAGTTCATCTCTACTTCGGATTGGCCCCCAGGAAGCCCTGACCTCAACCCACTAGATTATCGGCTTTGGTCCGAACTGGAGAGGATGGCATGCCACAGAGCACACCCTAACTTGGAAAGCCTCAAACAATCTCTGGTCCGAGCAGTTGAGCGCTTTCCTCAAGAAGTGCTGCGTACTGCTATTGATGACTGACCTTGGAGATTAAATGCCCAAGGCGAAAGGGGGACATTTTGACTAATTTCTTTTTTGTTTTGCTCTCTCTCTCTCTCTCTCTCTCTATATATATATATATATATATATATATATATATATACATTTATTTTCTAATAAAGTTTTTGAAAAAATTAATTTTTCTGTTGAAATATGTTTCCTTGGAACAATATTTATGACAGGACTAGGTATATAATAGATTGTGATATTCCTATTCTATTAAAAAAAATATATATTTAAATCAGTTCATTAGTTTTAGGTAGTGAATAATATTTTGTGACAATTTTCACTTTTATTTCATTCCTATTTAATTATTTTATCCATTTTGAGGCGGAAGAGCTTAGTTTCAATATGCGGAAAAAAAAATCATGAGGTGTTTCTCAGGAACATTAAGAATTGTACTCAATTTTATCAATGTTATTGAACTCAATGGCCAAACAAATCTACAAACAACTAATTCCATTGCTCTGTTGGCTGAGATTCATTTAGTGTGTACTGAAAACAAATCAATGCCAACGAACTGATTGGCTTTGGTTCAGGTTTGAACTATCTGTAGTACCCTTAGAATCGGGCTTCCTAAGCTATAATTAAATGAATCCATTGGCCCCAACCTCTTGCTATGATACGGAATAATGACTGAATTAGTAGTTTCAACAAATAATATAATAATAATTTTGAAATTGCAACCAATCTTTATGCGCTTAATGTTCACGTATTTCAGGGAATTACACATATGGTGGATAAAAAAAAATGTATTCAAGATTTTTCTCATAGCTTTAATCAGAATTTCTCTTATTAAAGTGATTATTATTATATTGGGTAATATTAAACAGTAGCTAATATTATATTCTTTGAAAATCAAGGTTTTTACCAATCTCTCTATAATTTATATTATTTTATTTTATACCCAGAGAAGCTTTCTCGTTGTACCAAAACCAAAGTAATCTCTCTACTTAAGTTACTAAAAAGTTCCGTAATATAGATGGTGCTGACAGTAAATCCACGCAGTAAGATATGATGTTCTCTGACAGACAGTCACCAGTGATGGACATAGTTAAGGAAATTTTTGGCTTATGCCGCTGTAATTATTATATTTATTAACTTCTCAATTTGACATTTAGAATCTCTAGGGTCTCCTTTTTCTATTTAGCTCTTTAAAACTTAAGAAATATTCAGTTATGCAGGTATATCTATTTAAAAAAAAACCTTTTGCACTTGTGATGGACGCTCCAAACTTCAATTGTTCTAGTAATAGACAGGGGGTCGGTTACCAGTAATGGACATACCTCAGAAAAATTCTAAATATTTATTTAACTAAAAAGGTAAAAATAAACATAAGATAACATAAAAGTTCAACTTACTCTTAGTAAAACTGTTAGTACGAAGGTATGAAACACACTGATCTCAAGAGAACTTTAGAAACAACAATGACAGGCATTTTAAAATTTTCTTTTGTGAACTTTGTTCATACAATTGGCATTGTTCTTCGATCTAGAAACCTGGAACCTTTAAATCAACAAGGAAGCTTATTATTTACATATAAAGTTCAACCTGTCTATCACTGAGCCCTGTACCTAACTGATGCGTTCACCCTAAATAATTTTTATTTAATTTAATTAATTTAAAAAATTTATACTTACCATTTTCAACCTAAAATCATTTCACATATAATATGAGACGAAGAACACAACCTTTCAGTCTTTTATATATTTTTTAAATATAAAAAGTAAAGAAAACGGTACAGAATGATATGATAATAGTTGCATGACAATTAAAAAGTATGTAAAATATATAAATTGTTAATGTTATTGATTAATGATCTATTTTAGTTATAGAGAGGAATATGGTATAGATCACAGAAAGCTCTGGGTTCAAGATGTAAAATAAAATAATATAAATTATAGAGAGACTGTCATTGGTAAAAATCATATTCGTCATAATTAACATATAAACTAAGGAACACGTTATAAAAGTAAACTTGATCGCTGATGACCTGCTTGAATAGGTGCGGAATGTTATAAAAGTGAATAAAATTTTAAAAGAAATGTTCACACGATGTTACTTTTTATTGTTATTTTTCATGATGAAATTTCCCACATACGAACAAAATAACAATAAGTTATGAATCTTAGTACATTCATGAATCCAAATTTTGTGTCAATATCTTTTATGAATCTACACTTAATATGAAATCAAAACTTTATATTCGTCATACTTTAAGATTTTATGAAAATTTCAAACTTTCACTTGTATTTTCTCTATAATCCAATGTTTGTCCTAAAGTCTGTATTCCAAAAATCTCATAGATGTTTTTCCCAAATTTTTCAATTATAAAACTTTTCTTTAATATTGATAAACAATATTTGTTTGGTCATTTCTAAAAATATTTATATCTATCAAAATGGTGAAAATATAGTTGAAAAATAATTCTTAATTGATGAATATTTTAAAGTTTCAATTAATCCTAATAAATCATATATATCAAAATTAATTAATCGTTTTATACAGATTTTAATAATTTTTTTAATTGAAAAATGTATTTTAAATAATTTTATTGATATATGTTTACTCATTTAAATAAACTACAATATAAGGATTTCATTTTTTAAATATTTTAGAATATAAATTGAATAATATTATAAGAATGTTTCATTGGTGCAATAATTATTTTGATTCGATTAATCATATTTTGAAAATTATTTGATATGCGACACTTTATCATTTCAAGCCTTTATGTTGTTTGTGATATAATAAACCACTTCCATTATTATGAGGTTTTTAAATAATATTATTCTAAATAAAATATAATCAAAATTTTATAAATATATTTTATGGAAATGCATTCCTTTGAACAATACCAATGAAGCTCTCCGAATGAATTGTAACATAAGAACATCTAATTTTAGCTTCCCCCCTTCTTTAAAAATATACCCAGAGTCAGCCACCGGTAACTTCTCTTCTTATTGCATTTGTGTGTGTATGTTCCATTGTTAATCCGGCTTATGTGTATGTTTGTCAATATTATTATTATTATTATATACTTTATTTTATTTTAATAAGAATTCTATGTTTATAGCCTTAAAAAATATATTATGGATTCGTATTTGAAGAATTTACTGAAAATTATTATATCATTTTTGTTTGTTTAATTTATAGTTTGGACGAGTTATATATTGTTTTAAATTATTTTTCACAGGGTACTTTGTTGCACGAACCAGTGAAAAAGATACTTTTAGGCAAGACGTTCATTCCTGAACAGGTCTTCGATGAATATTTAAATGGTTTAGCCGAATCAGAATTCAGGTAATACTACCATGTGTGTTTGTTCAGTTTTATATATTCTTATTTGTTAATTATATTTATTCAGTTGCATAAGTTATTTAATTTTATTTAAATATTGGTTTTAATTTTTTTTTGGTACAATTACCTTTGTACAATTTTCCTTTTAAAAAAACAATTTTAAACTTGATATATTTGTTATGTTTATTCTTTTGAGTATTGTAAAATTCCTCCATTTTATTTACCCCCTCTCCTCCACCTTCTTCAGTTTCTATCTGGTAGGTGATTTTTGGATTATTTTACGATATGAAATCATTTTTCTTTTAAATATCTGAACAACAAATTTTTGTTTTCTTTTTTTTTTTTACTATTATGATTTAAAGAATAAAACTATTTTCAAAATTGAATTTTTTATTTTCAATTATTTACCATCTAAATTGTTCTAAAATTTTATTTTTAAAATTATTCAAAAATGTAATTATAATATTTTTAAATATCAACAATACTATTACTAAAAGATTAGTTTATTTAAAAAAATGTAATTACTTTAATTTTGAAATTATTTTAATAGTTCAGAATAAATAAAGTAATAAATCGTGAGGTTTTTATTTTTTTTATTTCAACAATTCATGTGATTTACAGTAAAAATCCTGTTAACCGGGTTAATGATGGTTATAGAGGTTCACAGATAATCAAAAACCTCGGATAATCGAATTACTACATTTTATTGACTTAATGTGATAGATAAGAAGTGCAGAAAATCACTTTTATCAATAAGCAAACGTTTTAAATACATTAAATTATAATATATAAAAATATATATAAATGAATTTATTGCATGTTTTTACATATTTCTTATGTATTGAATTTTCATTTGGAGAAAGAATCAGTAATTTTAGTATATTTTTTATTAAACATTTCTTTTCTTTCCTCAGCGCGTTTTTGCATGAACCATTGATAGGGGGCTTCATATAAAGTTTTTCATTGTTTTCCGAGGATATGATGTTTAGGCCGATGACAATACGAATTCGGAAATGCCTTTTTTTTCTTCAAAATATCACAAACAGTTTGCTCGCCAATTCCTAATTCAGCGGACAATTTTTCAACACCTTCACCTTTTTCAACTTGGTTTATAATGGTTAATCTCAGTTCAATCGTTAAAACGGCACATAATTATAATTATGTAATCGTTAAAAAAAATTGTATGTACTAATTTTTTAAATAAATATTATACATATAAAATTAATGGTGTAAAATATAAAAACTCTTATTAAAATAAAAATTGGCTCCTTGGAATCCCAGTTAATAGAGCCCAGAATAATGGGGGTCCTACTATATTGAGTAATAAATTTAATCAATTATTTAAGTTACAACATATTTGTCATTTTTAACGGTTTTTAGTAAATAGTGGTTTTAAATGTCGAATTTTCAAAATGAATTCCTCCAAAATATCTTTAATATGATTCATTTTAAATAATTAACAGTCTCTTATAGTTGATAGTAATAATAAAGGGCTAAATATAAACTATGAAATAATTAAATAACAAAAGTAAAAACATTTTTCCAGGTTGAAACCAAGTTTTCAGATGTAATAGTTGTAACATATCTGAATACTATACCAATTCATAATTCATGAATAAATAATTTTATTTGTGGAGTTAAACCTCTTATTTCCTCTGAATAAATTCTACCTTCCATTTCAAAAATAATTTTTAATGAAAAATATAGTGTAAGAAAAATGAAACTTCTAATAAGAAACACAGAAATTACTTCATTGATAAACGTGTTGGTGACTTTTCCATTCCCTTCGGAATAGAATTTCACATCTTTAGCATTGATAACTCCAAAAACTCATTTTCTAATTCCCTTTGTCCATTAAATTTTTTGTGATGTAAGTAGTGGTCCAGGGGTCTAAACATATGATAATCCGTAGGCGAGAGATCCAAAGAGTAGGGCGGATGTGGAAGTTTCATAGCTAAACTCCAACAGTTTTTGTGATGTCACACGTGAGACATGTGGCCGAATGTTGTCATGCGACATAATGGGTCCCTTCCGATTGACCATAGATTATTGCCAATTTCTGATGCATTGCATTAATTTGGTTACAATACGATTCGGCATTGATAATTTCTCCAGGATTTAAGAAGCTGTAGTGTATCAAACAAAATGAAGTCCACCAAACAGTAACCATCAGCTTTTTTTGATTAGTTGGGGTCTTTAGAAAATGTTTCACTGCTTCTCATTTGTTGAGCCACTGTCTAGAAAGTATCCATTTTCATCACAAGTAACAATTCTTGACCAAAAAGGGTCATTTTTGTTTCAGCAAAGAAGTATAGCACAAACTTCGTAATGCTGTTTTTTTTGGCAATCATTTGTTGTTTGTGGAACACAACTTTAAAGCTTTTTTATCTTTCCAATCGCCTTTAAGTAGTCGTCAGCGGTTGATTTGCTAAGATTAAGTTTCTCTGCAAGTTCTCGAACAGTTGTTCCAGGATTTTTTTCCACTAAAGCCTGCAGAACATCGTCATCAAGAGAGGAAGTCTCTCTACGACTTTCTTTGTCTTCAAGGCTGAAGTTCAAGTCTTTTCTGAAATATTGTCTTATCTAAAAAAATATGTTTGCGCTTGCGTAAGCGGAAGTGCTGGAAGGGAATTTATAAAATTGATAAAATCTCTGAAAATTTCATGAAAATCAGATGAACAGTACTAGGTGACATGCCCAACATCTATTTGACTTAGGGTGTCAGACATCAAACCAAATATGATCCTTGATATCTGAAACGCAAAATGTGAGTGGAAATTTTCTATTCTGAGCTTAAATTTATTTTAACCTCTAGCACAAATGCTTACAACAATACAATGCTTCCCTACTTTCTGTAGTGAAAAAGCAAAATGTATGATCTCTAAACGAGTTATCATTTATTATCAATATAAACTGTATTAAGTCTTCCATCATACAATTATAAACAGAAGTAAAGTTTGAAGTAATTTAAAATTTGAACAAACCCAAATTTTTGTGGATCTAATCCAAATATATGTCAACCTATTTAAATAAATTATAGATATTTTTTCTACTAAAATTTAAAATTTCTTGGAGTTCAATGTAATATTAGTTAACTGTTTTATGAAAGCTATTCATAAAATTCTGGAAATAGTTTTACAAAGGTAGTATTTTGTATTAAAAATAAATAATATTTATTTACATTTTAGCGATATTTTGAAATGTTTAATGAGATAGGATGATTTATTCTTGCAGGGGTGATCATTACGACCTTCTAAAGCACAACTGCAATAACTTTTCAGACAATCTCAGTCGCTTTCTCGTCGGCAACGGAATACCAGAATACATTTTGAAACTACCTGAGGAAATACTTAGCACGTAAGTTAGTAATTATGATTTATACATGTTTCGAACATTTCATATTTTATATTAAAATGTATACGCTCTTTATCAGGCCATTTGGACAAAGATTTCAAGGATTGATTGAACAGATCAGCCAGAATTCTCCGAACTTGCAGCCTATCCAACGGAGAGCCGCCTCACCTGAATTCTACCAATTGAATTCAGACATTGAAGCTGCTAGGTAAATAATTTATAATCATTATTAAAGATTTAAACAGTCAGACTATACCTTTCCTTTAGTCTTTCTCTTAATCCATTATAACATTCTTCCATGTTCCATTACACATTACACATCTCTTCTCTCTCCCCCTCCCTTGTAACGACTTTTATTCTCCCTGCGACACTTAAGGAGACAGGTAGTACTTCTTTTATTTCTTTCTTATTTCAGCTTTCTCAATTTCTTCCCTCCTTCCTTTCATTCCTTTTCTCTGTTTTTAACTCTTTATTATATTATACATTGTCTGTACATCTTGATAGACTTTACAATATCTCAATTTTCTATCTAACTACTCCATTCTCAATGTTTTAATTTTACTATTTATTTTCATTTCTTATATAACTTCATATTTCTTTTTTATGTTTTACATTTTATTCTAAGATTCCCATTGTAACACTTTTGTCGCCCTTTTTGATTATGCCTACTTCATCATTCCACACTTTGTAACGGTTTTTATTATTTATCTCTTAGTTATTATTTATATCTTAGTTTTTATTATTTATCTCTTAGTTCTTAGTCATTATTCTAACAATTTCATTTTACTTTATATTTATCTATTTTATTTTTCTAATTTTTTATTTTTATTTTTTTATTTTTTATTATCTTTTTTACCCTTATTACTTATGTTTCTCATACCTTGTTATCTGGTTATTTTCTTAGCCCTGATGAAGGCCTGAACTTCAGGTCGAAACGTCGGCATATGTAAAAAATAAATATTATCATTTATTTTTGCCTTCCTTTTTGACTGACCACCCCAACTATTCTTCTCTTCATTATCCACGACAGTCAACCAATTACCAATTATAACATTCTTCTGTGACCTATCCCTCAGTCAACTATAATCTTTCTCTAATTTTACTCTTTAGCCTGCTATAACCTACCTTCCAGTCTTCTGTAATCTGTCACTCAGTCTACCATAACCATTCCCTGAAACCTATTCCTTAATCCCCCATAATCTTCCTCTCATCCTACCATAACCTCTCTCTCATTCTACTGTTAACTAACCCTTATTTTATTGTAACCTTTCCGTAAGTCTAGCCTACCATTATTAACCCTCAATCTATACTAATCTATTTCTCATTCTATCTTAACCTGTTCATTAGTTTTTCGTAACTTTGTAATCTCTCTCTTACTCCACTGTAACCTATCCATAAGTTTTGACTGCTGTTATGGGAACCTACACAGTCATTCGGAATTGCATCCCAAGCCACTATCGATGTTCTGATTGAAATCAAAGGTTCAATCAGGAGAAGTGGAGGGTAGACTAAAGTAAAAGTAGTGGAAATACTAACCTTACTATTAGATAGGTTAGTTTACCTAGGCCTCACAACCATTGTAAATTCCTGATTTTCATTAAAATTAAATATTTTTCATATTCCTTGTTCATATTTTATAAATCATCTTCAACTTATTTTTTTTAAATAGTCAAATGGGCAATAAATTAAAAAAAAAAAAAAAAAGTGAATACTTCACAATTTACTTAAAGAAAAAAAAAAAAAATCTTTAACTTGTGTATATATTTGTCAGTCCTTTTTCCATTTTTCTCAAAAAAAATTATCATTATCGCAATATCTTTCCTTAATTTTTGCAAATAGTAGACTTATGTTTTTTCTAACTTTTGTCAAAATGATTTTCTGCAGGACTAATCTTACTACCAGATAGGTTAGTTTACGTAGGCCTCATAACCATTGTACATTTCTGATTTTCATTAAGTAAATGATTTCATAAAAGTGAATTTTTTCATAATCATAATTTCATTAAAAGTAAATAGTTTTTCATATCTCTAGTTTATATTTTTACTAACCATTTTCAACTTTTTTTTTTAAACAAAAAAATAGTGGAAACTTCACAATTTAACTATAAGAAAAAAAAATCTTTAACTCTTGTGTATATTTGTCAGTCCTTTTTCCATTTTTCTCAAAAGAATTATTATTTTTACAATACCTTTCCTTAATTTTTGTAAGTAGTAGACTCATATTTTTTCTAACTTTTGTCAAAACGATTTTCTACAGGACTAAATCTTACTACTAGATACGTTAGTTTACTTAGGCCTCATAACCCCATTGTACATTTCTGATTTTCATTGAGTAAATAATTTCATAAAAGTAAAAAGTTTCATAATCATAATTTCATTAAAAGTAAATAGGTTTTCATATCCCTAGTTTATATTTTTACTAACCATTTTCAACTTTTTTAAAAAAAAAATAGTCAATAGGGCTAAAATTAAACAAAAAAAAAGTGGAAACTTCACAATTTAACCATAGAAAAAAAATCTTTAACTCTTGTGTATATTTGTCAGTTCTTTTTCCATTTTTCTTAACAAAGTTATTGTTTTTGTAATACTTTATCTTAATTTTTGTAGTTGAATTATATTTTTCTAACTTTTGTCAAAACTATTTCCAGGCTCTAGAAAGTAATTATTATATCTCCATTTTTCTCTTAATGTCCAATGCTATAAAGGATAATTCCCAAATAAGCTTTTTGAATTAAACAAATTATTATAAATGTACAATGCATCAGAACCATTCTGCCTGTTATCTCAATGTCAACTGAGCTAAAATAGCGTCAGTAATGATTGAACGTGTAGAGCTCATCATGATTAAAGCAATCTTTGTCAGTCTTGTGACTTTCATTCACAACTGATCAAGTAAGTTCTGGTTTACCTTCCCTTCCTCGGTCTACAATAACTTATCTCTTAGCCTGCCGTACACTAACCCTCAGTCTACTATAACTTTAATCTGTCTACTGTAATCTGTAGCTTAATCTTCCATAACCTATGCCCCTCAATCTATCATAACCTACCCCTTTCTCTGTTATTATTTACATTTGAGTCTTCTTTAACCTTTCATTTAGCTTGCCATAACCTGTTCCTCACTTTACACCATAGTCTGCCATAACCTATTTCTCGCTCTACCTTAACTTACCTCTTAGTTTTGGACTGAACTTGTCTCAGAGTAATTTTAGCTTCAGCATAAAATTAATATAGAATTAGTTTACTATGGGAATATAATATTTTGTATGAGTCCCATGATTGGTAATTCGAAGATTACATCAATCCTTGACTCATTAATAGGCTCTAAGAGCTAATTCATAGCATTTTATTTGTTGTAATTTAGAAAATTAATAAAAATATAATATAAATTTGATATTATATTATAATTTTTTTTTCACATACAGTAATTCATATTGAAGGTATATTGTAAGTTCACTTATTATTAGTGTCATTAACTAATCCATATCATTATATATATTTTTGTAATTGTTAGTATATTATAAAATTATTTCTCCAATAGACATCATTCTTCTCTTCTGAGGGAAAAACGTAATGCTCTGTGTGAAAAATTAGCAAAGCGAGAAAAAAAGAAGAATAAAAAGAGACGTAAAGAGATTGGAAGGTGATGAGGCTTTTGTGATTGTGTTTTGATCGTGTGCTGCACTTAAATATAATGTACATGTCTTTATGCCGTTGTCTTATAACAACCAATTATAACTGTTTCAGTTATTAACATAACTTGCTTTTTAATTAATATTTTATTAGAATTGACAAATGATAGATGGTTTAACATATTTTATTGACCTGTAATACAGTATTTACAAACTTTAAAATTATTTTTTCATTCAATAGTTACCCTTTTATTAAGATATTGAATTAATTATTTAAAAATAAAAAGCAAAAAAAATGTTTGCTTCTTGAATTCTGACAATTTTGATGAGTAGAAGATGTTTTACGATAGTTCTTAAGTTGGTTGATAGCGTAACTGAAAACTATGGAGGCAGCTTATTTTGTTATTGCTTTCAGGTTATTGGGTGTCCGGTGGGCATTGCCTACGTTTGTTTGACAGTTAATATCCTTATATACTCCTAATAGGGCAGTAAGAAAGGGATATCCTATTTTAGATTTATTCCATGGGTCCACCACAAAACAAATTTCACCATTTTTTTTTTTTTTTTTTTTGTCCTCACCTTTTAAGTTTTCCTGGACCAGGAGGGTGAGGAGTATATGCCAGAGTAAAAGCCCCCTCCTCTCCTCTCCCCGGCACCGTTGCCAAGCAACATGATGCTGTGCACACCCACTCGGCCATCCCGCCCCATAATAAATTTCAATCTATTTAGGCCAGATTCAAACCAATATCACTTCTGACTCCACAATGCTAAGGTGACGTCTTGACATTCTCTACTACCATGACCTTCCTCTTACATTTAAAATGATGGTTACTAACACATTTGGCACATTTTACAACTTCACATTTCACAAATTTTGTCTCGCAGAAAAGGCTTTTTTCTTTTGTTACACTGTATGCACATCCATTGTTTGTTTTTTTTAAATTATAATATTTGTGTCTATATCTCTGACGGGAATCTACATAGAGAATTAAGTACAGTATTAAGCATGTCACTTGGCAAATATTCTACCCTATTTCAAGTGGAAGTATTTCTGTATTATCTTCTGTCTGTCTTCATCTGCCATATTGTCCGAGTACAAAATTTCTTTTTGAGCGTCATTAGAAGAACGAAAAGGTTTGAGACAGAGATGGAGGTATAATAGGCTACCATTGGTAGTATTGTATTTTGGGTTGAATAAAAGGACCAATAAGATGATTTTTTTTAAAAATAATTTACGGGATTGTCGATAAATATATCCAGAAGTTAGTTTTTTGTGGTGTTTATGATATTTCTGCATGTTGATTTGTCTCTTGTGATTTTAATTAAACCTTATAAAATTAAAATCTCAGATATTGGTTCTAAGAAAAATTTTCAAACTTAATTTTACTTTTTACAATTTATTTTTTAATCAGGTCATAGGAATATAACAGGAAAGGCATTAATTAACCAATACAATATATGAATTTGTGTGTATATATATATATATGACAGCAATAATTCACTATTTTTGTTGTTTAGCATGATTGGATTATAAAGCATGATATTTTATTTATTTATATTTTTTAAAAATTATTTTTGTTGTTTTGTTGGTTTTAATTATTACTAATATTAATATAAATTTATAAACTGTATAAATTACATAAACTTATTAATTTATTAGTTGATATAGTTTGTTAATTATTTATTTAATTTCTCCTCGTTGTAACCGTTGCCTATAGGTAAAAAAAAATTACAAATGGTATCTCCAAGGATATATATAAGTCCTTATAGTTAAACTATTTATTCAATTTTAACGACATTTCGAGCAGTTTGCTCATTCTCCAGTCATCTACAAATAGTCACAAAAACATTGTTAATAATAATCATTAATTATCTAATGGCAATTAAATGCATGATGTCAATACTACTGTGAGAACTCACCAAAACAATAATTTCTTAAATCTTTCCATTATATTATTCTATTATATCATATTACTATTGTTTAATATGGACTGCAACATTTGTGTTATGTCCCTGTAGGAATTAGGTAATATAAATGTTATATAGTAATAGAAAGGAGTGCCATAGTGTGAGTATAAGTATTAAATTAAATAAAAATAAGAATCCAGCATTGTAAATATCTTAATTTTTAAATAATCGCACATTTGAATCTTTTTTTTATTTTTTAGAATTAATAAGTATTATACAACATGCGAATAAAATGTGAGGAACTTGGTAATTATATTTTTGTGGACCAGAAATAAGATACACAAAGATTTGGAAAATTATTGTGTTTTGTTAAGTTCTCACAGTAGTATTGGCATCGTGCATTTAATTGTCATTATATATTAAAAATTATGATTATTATTAAAAATGTTTTTTGTGACCATTTGTAGATGACTTCAGAATGAGCAAACTGCTCGAAAAGTCGTTAAAAATTGAATGATTAGTTAAACTATAAAGGCTTTTATATATCCTTGGAGACACCATTTGTAAGTACATTTAGTGCCCTTGAAAAAATTCTACCAAAGTAACTGGATATAAAAAAAAACTTGTCTTGATGCTTTTTTTTATTTCTATTTATGGATACTTTGTACCCCTCTTCAGGATTTAATATGCCTCCATATTCTTGGGTTAGAAAAACTAGCGATAAGTTGGGTCCATAATGGTGGAGAAATAGTTAACCATAGGCGATATGATCGAGAAATTTGTTGAGGATTGCAGTCAGTGAGAAACAATTTAAAAAAACTACGGTTTGTGCTTTAGACTACACGGCAGAATTGAAAACATCAACAAGACAAGATTAATAATATGAAATACAAACATTTTTGTTCTATTTTCACAAAGTAATAAAATTTACATTTATATAATTATAGTTGTCTATAAACTACTTCTTATTCTATTTTCACAAAATAATAACATTTACAATAGATGCAATTATAATTGTTTATAAGTACTGTAGTAAATTTGTACTGCTCTGACTTATCGTAATTTCTATCATACTCCATTGAGTTTCTACAAATTACTGACAGAAAATCTTATTAGAAACACATAAGTTCTTCTTTCTTATTTTTATGATTAATTAAAAAAATATATCTATATTGACTTCTGCAAATCAGTTTCTGAATTCTCCATGATTTCCACCACACCTCTCTAACACAGCGTCGTGTTAAGATTCAATTTTGAATAACAGCTCATTTTAAAGATGGTGAAATGCTGAACATTTCCCTCGCTTATAGTATGCAGGTCCGATTTTTAGTTTCTTCTCTTCTTTTTCTTTAATTTTGTTTTGTGCCTTTCAGCGTCGAGTTAAGTTAATCCAATCCAGGATCTCCATCTAGCTCTATCTCCCGCAAGAGTTGTCATCTTCTGCGATGTCTTTCCTTTCGCTTGTCCAAACTTGGAAATATAGCTAAGTCTTGATCTTCCTCTGGTTCTAGTGCCTGCTGGTCTCACTTCCATAAATCCTTTATAAATCCGAGATTTCCGTAAACCTCTCAGTTCTTGTCTCGACATCCGAACGATAGCCCTGATGATGATCCACATGTTTACGGGTCGAAACATTGCTAACCCAATAAATATTATCGTGATTAAAAATCCTAACAATTTGTTTTCATCCTCATAATAGATGAGTCGACTATTTTCCCATTTCTAAAGTTTTTTATATTTATCTTTGTTTCTCTCAGATTGCAACTTCCAACTTCCTAACGAATAGTTTAGGTCGTTGACATTGTAATTTATTGTTAGTTATTCTCATCCAAGAAAGCTGGGGGTTATTAGATCTGTCAGCATAATTACATTAAGCTGGAGGAGCGACTGGGTTTTTCTTAGTTGTGATGGACTTATGATCAAATAAAATTCCAGCCACTCCTCATCATTCGAAATAATCCATACAGAATTTAACACTTGTGGTCTTTTCCATGTTCCATTTGGCTTAGAGCAATAGAGTAGAGTGACCAAAAGAGGCTACCCTAATAAGGGTTTAAAATATCAAACAATATATTACAAGCCTTCTAAGGCCATTTTGTGGTGCTAGAAAAACAATTTAATTTAAACATCTTTACAACTTTTTTTTTTTAAATATTACTTTTCCTCCAATAGTGAAAGCAAGACCTCAGAAGACAGAAGAATGTCTGCCGAAGATGGACAGCCGGAAGGAGTAGCCGTCGAACAGTTAGAACAGGATGCGAATACTCGACTGAGTGCTTTCGACGAGGAAGAGCGCAAGGAGCGGGAAGAGAGAAGAAGAAACAGGGAGCCACCGATAGTGTTTAAAGATGCTGTAGACGTGAGTTGAGAAAATAATTCTTCAGTAACTTTTGTTAATATTATTAAGGTCTTTTTATCAATAACTTAAAAAAACTAACTTTAATTTAAAAAAAAAATTGAACATTTTAGAAGTTTATTAATCAAAAAGTTTTTAAATTTTTCAAGATTTGTGTTTCTAAAATATGTAAATATAATTAGTTATCAGTTAATATTCTTTTAAACTTATGATTTTCTCTGGATTGCTCATTTTTTTATATTATGTAAAAATGAGATACAAAAAATATTTTTTTAAATAGTTAAATGATTAATTCTTGAAGGAAGTTGGTCGACTGTTCTACATATCATGGGTGACAAATATTCAGGACGCAGTATTTTTAAATTATTTTTATTTTTGCCAACGTTTCAACCCAAACATGTGGGTCACGTCAAGTTGAGTACTTGAACACCCTCAGTGCTCAAACCACGCCCTGAAGATGACCCACATGTTTGGGTTGAAACGTTGGCAAAAATAAAAATTTTTAAAAAAGACTGCGTCCTGAATATTTGTCACCCATTAAATGATTAATAAATAGTACCCTTTTTTTTTTATTCCAAATAATAAGCAATAAAGTTCCTTATTAATTACAAAATTTTAATAAATTATATCGTACTATTGTTGACGTTTCAACCCTTATGGGTTGGGTTGAAACATCGGCAACAATAAAAATCTTAAAATTACTGCTTCGTGATTATTTATCAACTATTGATTTGTAGAACAATCAACTAACTTCCTTCAATAGGGTTTGAAGTCTGTAATTAAAAAAAAATAACAATATGATCAAAATTTTTAAAAATCATTTAATGATTTTTATTAAGAGCGATTTTTATTTTTGATCATAAGTGATAAAAATCATGATCATAATACAAGTGATCATTGTTTTAAATTTTTACAATTAACTATAAATAAAATATCGGACTTATTTTGCCTATTTTCAAACATATTAATTTCACTTTTACTCTGATAAAAAAACAAAAACGTGACATAAAAGTCCTAAGTTTGGTTGGTCTCAAATTTTCTAGATCGAATCTCTATATCTCAAAATTGAAAAAAAAAGGTTAGTCTATAAAAATATTGGGCCGTTTGGCATGGCTTCTATCCCCAACACGTCAAAATAAATTATATAGACCAAATGACCCAATATTTTTGTTGGCCACCTTTTTTTTTTTCTCAGTAAATTAATTAATTTAAGGAGGTACTAAAAACTCATAAATACCCATTTGTTTTCTACTTGAATCATAATATAATATGATCACAAAATCGAAAAAAAGGTGGCCTGCAAAAATATTTTGGGTCATTTGACCTATATAACCTCATTATTTTGACATGTTAGGAGTGGAAGTGCCATGCCAAACGTCCCAATATTTTTGTAGACTACATTTTTTATCAATTTTGTGGTCAAATTATGTTATGATTCAAGTGGAAAACAAATGGGTTTTCATGATTTTTTAGTACCTAATTAAATAGGCAATGTTTGCCGATCTCCAGATTGAAAATGCCCCTGTCCCAAAAATTTTCATAAATAAAAAGCTGCAGGTTACGATCAGATAAAGCTACTCATGAAAATTTTGGTGAGTATTAATAATTTGATAAAAAGGGGTCTGTACCATGGACTAAAATATATATTATGAGAAGGAGTTGATCGGGGGGGTGTGGTCAAATTAATACTAAATTAAATAAGTAGAATTATTTAATTTTTGCTGACATTTCGATCCACTTTGTAGGTCTTCATCAGGGCTACAAAAGATGCAAAACATGGTGAAAATAAATGAATATAAGTAGATATAAAATAAGAATAAGTTGTCTGATACAGAACTAAAAGATAATATCAGAGATATAGTGGGTGACAATGTAGTTAAAATATCAAGTATTATATGTAGAAGATACAAACAAAAATGGAAAATAAGTATGAATAAAAATAGAAAATAAAGGAGAATATAGCATGTAAGTTAAAGGTAAGCAGATTGCGATAAAAGATAAGAAATAAGTGTATAACAAACTAATAAAGATTACATTTGATAAATGTAGGTTAACATATAAAGAAAATGAATGTTAACGAATAAATATATTGTAAATTAAATAAGTATTGATAAAGTAAGAATAAGATAACATAATATTAAGATATCAGTGGATAACCTCCACTAGTTTGTTATACACTTATTCCTTATCTTTTATCGCAATCTGCTTACCTTTAACTTACATGTTATATTCTCCTTTATTTTCAATTTTTATTCATACTTATTTTCCATTTTTGTTTGTATCTTCTACATATAATACTTGATATTTTAACTACAGACAACTTATTCTTATTTTATATCTACTTATATTCATTTATTTTCACCATGTTTTGTATCTTTTGCAGCCCTGATGAAGACCTACAAAGTGAGTCGAAACGTCGGCAAAAATTAAATAATACTATTTGTTTAATTTAGTATTAATTTGACAGCACCCCCAATCAACTCCTTCTCATATTATATAAACGGTAAACCATCTCTACATCATTAAAATATATATTAATGTGATTTTTTTAATAAGTTGTTTTCATAGGAATTATGGATTGTAATGTGATAAGGTTTTTAATGCATGTTTATCAGGTTCACATAGCATTCGACACCCTGGTGGGCCTGATAGATGGTAAGTTGAACGAGGAGGAACAGCTGTCTCTTGAAGAACTGCACAAGTACATGCTCGAGGACGAAGGCTCCTGGGCTCTTGGAGAGTCGTTCCTTGTCTTTATAGGTGAGTCTGCCAATATTATTTACTATTTGTTATATATACATATGTGGACATATTTATTTATTTTTATTAAAGTTATGAACTTCGTAATGGTAATGCTGTCTATAGATAAACGTCCATTAGAAGATTTTTCAATTTTAAAATGTAAAATTCGATCGAGCATTAACTTTTTAAAAAATTGCGTTTCACGTGTTGAATATGTCAGCGTCATGATAATTCTCATGAACTCTGTCAGCCCTTTGAATTCCATTCGTGTTGGTTAACTATAAGAGAACATTGGCAGTTTCACTGATAATTTTTTAAAAATCTATATTGTATCTGGAGCTGAATCTTTGCATCCATCCTCATATAATATTAGTTGAAGGTTCATCAAATGGGTCGTGAATTGATTATAAATATTCTTTTCGAGTAAAATCTGCCTTAACCTTGATAGTGGAATATTCCGAACAACCGATTTCGTTGTTATTTATTATAATTGTATTTCGTATATGAAAGATCACTTTATTTATACATTTTTAATATTTGTGTCTCAATGTGTAATATTTGTGATGGTCAGGGAAAATTATCATTAAATAGAGAAAAGTGAGAGAACGATCTGGTAACCACTCTGTTATAGAAGTGTTTATATAGTTTTTAGGATTTGTATTACACCTGTCAACATGAATTTTTAGTCTGGATTCTGTGTGATTAATAATAGAAAAAATATTTTTAGCAGATAAAGTTTGATTTTGAAAGACTATATGATATTTTGGATTCAAAGATTAAACATCTATGTTGTTCTCAAATAAAATGCCATTTGATTAACAATTTCTATATTTATTTTATAATTTTCACTTAAGAACAACATACCTTATGATACCAATATAGATAGAAGTATAAAATATCTATTTTCTCAAACATTTATTGTAAATAAGAATCATAATAAACAAATATTGTCTCATTCGTTAATGATAAATGATCTTTGTTTAATTTATTATAGCATTCCCTTTCTAAATATATCAGTGATATATTTTGCCATATACCATATACAATATATCATAATAATTTTACTTTGGTTCTCTGGTATATAACTGTAAATGGACTGTACCCGTATATATTACATAAAGGTGAACTAAAAATTACCAAAAAGAGCATGTTTAAGTTATTATTTTATTACAGGCTAAAATACTATGTATTGTACTGATTGTTTTATTTTGAATTAAATTATAATGCTGATTGTGTAACTGTGGCCAAATTTATTACAATGATATTATTGCGTTAATGAATCGATTTCAAAATGATTATTACAGTAAGGCTCGAAATCGGTTTTGTATCAAAAATAAGCTCCTGTCATGTTCAAATACCATGAATGGGGTACCGTTGGATTCAGAATTTCATGGGGGTTTAGCGAATCATATTCTCCACTTCTATAAAGTCGATACAAACATTTTGCTTGGCTTCAATACTGGAACGATGCGGGACAAATTGGATCTTGAAGATTTTGATGTGTACAGCAAGACAAAAACGCACTATTTTCGAGATAACACAAGGCATAGGGTTCACATCCACACAGCCTTACATTAATTGTTGTACTGTCATTGGATACATGTCTCATTTCGTCGACTTGATGTCTCTATGATTGAGAGAGAAGGAGTTTATATTATTTATCGATGGTGTTTTTGATCGGCAAGCCATATCATTGTTAATTTTTCACCAAATCTCAAGATTGAGCCACCAATTTCGAAGGCTTCTTTCTCCTTCAGGCGGACAAAATAGTCCAATCACCCCGAAAATTCAGGCAAACAAATTATGAAAGAAAACAAACTTTATTTACGAATAACTAAAAAATTACACAATTTTCCCTTGGTTATGCCCATGGTCATATAAAAGATTACTAAATTTCCTACTAAAGGAAAAAAAAAAAAATCATCGAAATCAGACTATTTTTAACAAAGATACAGCTTACTGAAATTTGTGAACATGTTGGTTCCAAACAAAAGTGAAGATTTAAATTAATTTTTTTTTCTTTGTCGATTATATTTATCGATAAAGTAACATTTGATTTCTTTATCTTTTGATACGTTGCATTATTTTATTTTCTTATTAATTTGGCATCTGATAACAATATGCTGTGCGAATTGTTCGCACGGGCCTACTAGTTTTAATAAAACTATTAAATTTTGGTTTATCATTTTCAAGAATGAATCATTGTAATCGTCCTAAAAATTAAAAAATTTAACCCCTCCCCCTCAAAATTTGAGGTTTTAGATTTCACTATACATAGAATTCGAAAATCAAATAATAACCCCTAAAGATTGTACCAATTTCAATGAAACTTGGCTAAAATCTTCTCCTCGATGCCCTTTAAATTTATCTATATAACGTATTTCAACGTAAAAAAGTTATGAATGGTGGTAAAATTAAATTTCCGAACAACTGAAGAAGTATACAATTTTTTGTTGTTAGACTCTAGGTGGTTATCTCTGTTTTCACTAGCCTGCCAAGAGATGGCAGCAGCATAGCTGGCTTTCATCATTTATTTAAATAAAATTGTAAATTTGCTTTTTCCCTAAACAACCTTAATTTTAAACAATTTTAAGCACATTTCGCACTTTTTTTTGTGGAGAGTGAATTAGATTGAGCCATCAGATCTCCGATTTGTAACGCTCGAGTAAAGTCAGCTAGAATCGACTAATGGAAGTGTTTTGCATATGGATTTAAAAATTACTCAAAAAATAAAAATTTTAACTGCATACTTAGGGCAAGGGAATTGTTCAGCATTTCATCCTCTCTGTAATGGGCTATTATTCAAAATTGTATGTTAACGCAACACCGTGTGAGAGAGTTGAAAAGGAAAAAATAGTGTTGAAAACCAAATGATAACGAGTTTTATGAAAGATATGGATTAAAATATCTCAGAAACTAAAAATCAGACCTGCATACTCAGCATTTCATCCTCTTTATAATGAGCTATTAATTATAATTTATATTTCATATTATTAATCTCATCTTGTTGATGTTCTCACTTCTTTTGTGTGGTCTAAAGCACACACCTTAGTTTTTTTTTTATTCTGTAATACATTTGTTTTATTTTTGTTGAGTCTTGTTTGATTTACATACTTGTTTATATCAGTTGTTAAAATAGAATAAATAAAATTTTTCTAATGATAAAAAATAAATAATTAATGTAGGTAACTGTTATTCTCTATAGGCAGGCTCCTGATGGACAAAGAACTCCATGAAGATGTGACGGTGCAAACTCTCCATGTCCTAGCAGCTGCCGCTCTGAAGGACGACGTAATACTGATGCTCCACCAGGACAGGAAACACCATGTTCTTATGAACTATGCCTTTGACGTCGACAGGCATCCTGTACCGCACCAGAGGGCTCTTACATTGTTTGTTAGTAATCGTACTTAAAGTTTAATATTGGGTTGGCAAATAAGTCTTTTTAATTTTTCTGTTTATTTTTATGTAACTATGAAAAACTTCTTATCTGATGAATTAATCCCTAAGGTGGATTGTTTATGCTGTTTGTAATATGTCAACAAGTATATCTGTTAACTCTTATTGAAACTAGTTTAATATTGTGTTCGCAATTCCACTGTGAATATGGAAGAAATTATTCATTATCGGCATATTTTGCTGTATTATTTTAAAAAGGGTAAGCATGCTTCAGAAGTTCATAGAAAAATTTGCACTGTTTATAGGGATGATGCCTTAAACGAACACACCTGTCAAAATTGGTTTGCCAAATTTCATTCAGGATAATTTGGCATCTATGATGTTCAACATTCTGGTCGCCCACATGAAATTGAAAAAGAGCAATGTTAAGGTCATTGTTGATCAAAATCCCACCCAATCAGTGAGAGAGATTGCTTGGCCCTAAATGTGTCGCACACAGAAGCATAGAAAATCATTTGCACAAGCTCGGTCATATTTCCAAGCTTAATGTTGGGTCCCTCACTCTCTAACCGAAGTCAACTTGGCAACACACTTTTCTGTTTGCGATTCACTTCAACTCTATACTGCTCACAATTAAGAAAATTGGACCAATCAATTAAAAATAAAGTTCCAGAACTGGCAAATCGGAAGGGTGTTGTGTTCCACTAAGTCAACGCTAGGCCCCACACTTCATTGGTCACTCGCAATAAATTATTGAGCCTTGGATGGGACCTTTTGTCCCACCCTCCCTATTCACCAGACCTAGCTCCAAATGACTTACCACTTATTCCGGTCTCTGCAGAACTCAATGAATGGAAAGACATTCCAAAAGGAAGAGGGCATCAAAAACCACTTGGATCAGTTTTCTAACAATAAACTCCAGACATTCTATGAACATGGCATTAATTAAGTAGTTAGTGGAAAGATGGAAAAAGTCATATTAAATAATGGTCAATATATTATAGATTGAAATAAATTTTATGTCTATAATATATTGAGTTTTATTTCACCCTGAAAAACCAAAAGGACTTATTTGCCAACCCAATATTTCTTATAAGAATTGAGAATGTGGATTCAATATAGGCCCATATTAGAGATTGGATATCGAAGGTTCATTTTCGATATTGTTATCAATATTAATATCGGCCTATAACTATAGATTACATCAAAATATCGGACTTGAATTATCGTTAGTCCGTATTTTCATTTATATCATAAACATTTTATAAATATGAATGTAAATATAAATATTGGTTCTCTTGCACATAGGCATAAATTAATTAATGGATTATCAATTCTTCTACCTTCCTTAGTAAAATTAATTTTCTAGTTCATGTCTATCTTCGCCATCCTCAGCTTTTTTTTTCTGAAATTTCCATTCAACCAATTATATCTTCCGTTCACCCACAGATCAGATTAACGGAATTCTAATTTATTTGCATCTTATATGGGTCAATCCATTTGAAATTTGAATTAATTTTGTTGCTCGACATTTTTTATTTTTATAATTTTTTTTACCAGTTATTCCATATTTTTTTAAGAGCTCAAAGACGTAGTTAAAAAATTTTTAAGGCCCATAGTTTTTTCTCAGCAGCCATTTTTAATTTTCTTTTCAATCGAAAACATGTTTTGGGAAAATGCTTGTAACTCTGTTTATTTCGTAGATATCTAGCCAAAATAATAACTGAAATAATTTAGAGTATTTTTCTACATTTATGTTGATCAATACATCACTTAAAAAGAAAGGAAAGTGGTTTTAAAAAAAAAAAATCATGAAAATAGACAGAAAAAGTGAACTTTTTAGGGCTCCAAAAGTGTAATAAAGAAAAGAGTCACAACTTTAATTCTTCTTCATATGTAGTCCTACCACTGTAATTCTTGCTGGTGAAATTTCAATCTTGAAAACCATGTCATTCTTTAAACATCAATTTTCAAAAACGCTCAAAAGTCCTTTTTGCCGGTTTTTTATTTTATATATCACAAAAGAGACTGAGTGAAAAATTATGAAATTGATAAAGTTTTTTACCTCTTAATGATAGAAATCTGTTCCAATTTGACATTTTCCACGGATTCATCCATAAGCCATTTTAAGATGCATTTTTTTTTTTTTTTCATGAAATTAATATCTTGATGTTTGAAGAATTTTAAGAAGAAGAAAAAATGGCAAACTTTCACATTCATACCATTCAATGTGCTAAAGCAATCTCCTGTAAAATTACAATTGAATTTTAAATCTGTGTTAAAATGGTGATGAGCTTTATTTATGTTTTAAAAAATTATTTTGGATTTATTTATTTAAATAAGACCTAACGGCACGAAATAAATCTCTTTTGTTTTTCAATGCAAACATTGTTTATGGATGTTAAAAAGTTAATGTTCCGTTTTCAGTTTTCACAGCTCTTTACCTTATTTATTCACAGCTAAATTTTTCGCTTGATTTCTCTTATTTATTGTAATATCTTCAGTTGATTTTTCATTCTACTGCCATTAGTTAAAAATAAACAATACTTTGATGATAAAATGTATAAGAATGAGACTGGTATATACTTTTTACAATTATTGAAAGAAATGCCTATATCACCAGATTTTACTAATTGTCTTTTATTTTTTATTTAATAGACTTATCAAAGACAATTTTTTTACACAACCTTCTGGAAATGAATAACAAAGAGATAAATAAATAAAAAGCTTATGGCACTGTAGGCCGTTATTGCTGCCAACTACTCAATTTATACATTCATTGTTCATTGATCATGAACCATTTGGTCTTCTCAGATCTGCAACTTGTTCGAGAACATCGCTAGCTCTGAATGGCTGATGTACATTTCCGAATGGACGTACAACAACCAGCAGCTCTCCAACATCAGGGTGACGACCAAGGTTGCCGTCAATGCCATTCTGTCGGACGACGTCGAGATGCAAGACCGAGGTTCTGCTATCATCCATAATTTAGCGACCAAGGAGGTAAAAACTGTGGTCTGTATCTAATCTAGTATATTCTATCTCTTCTCTGCTTGCGACTCTTTTATGGTTTGTTCAAATGCTTAACACAGTTTTATCACCAGTAGTATGTAGTTTTCTGTATTTGTCTGTTTGTGGAGGGTTCCGTTGGGTGATGAGTCATTTTGTGTAAAATTGACGTAATAACAATTGAGAACTACCAACACATTTAAATCATTCGCATGTATAACTTTTTTTCCCCGTTAATCCCCTACCTCACCACTTCATGTATAAAGGTAGTTTGTTCTTGATGTACAACCAAATCTATTCTAAGCAGAGTGGGAAGTTCGAGATTCATTCTAGAGGTCCACCATGAAATAGATTTCAACTCGCCTAAGCTGGATTCTAATTTGTAAATGATAAAGTGAGTAGTGCTCTCATTCAGCCACTACGGCCTCACTCATGTTTTTACTATCGGGTATTGAACTTGACAAAATTGCTATTATGTAATGAAACTAAAAAGAAACAATTTCCAGCTCATATTTTTATAATAGCTTTTATTGTGAGTAAATTTTATTTTTTTATTTCATAAAACTGCCAAAATTTCACTTTAACCTTCCTAATTATGAGGACTAATTTTTTTTATCTTACAAGTGCTTTAGTAAATATAAAGAATATTGAAGTATTTAAAAATCCTACTCTCTTCTATTTCTCCGTATCCATGCAACAGAATCATTTATGTATTACATGTACCACATATAATATTTCGTGTATTTTTTAGTATAATTAAATATTTAAGAAATTAAAATATAATATTATTAAAATTCCAATATATAAAATTCTATCTCTCTATTATATAAAAAAGTTTTTAGTTACTTTCATATTTTCTTTTCTTTTAGTATTAGGATGGTAAGAGATAACAGGAGCTCAGTGGTTATTTTACAAATTATACAGCTGTTCATTTAATTACATTTGTTTTTAGCTACTGTTAACTCCTACTCTCCTAATACAAAATAAAGATTTTAGACTAAAAAGTTTTATGGGAAATGGCTTTTTTATGTTGATAAAAAGTTTCTTTTATATTGATAAAAAAATTTGTTTTATGTTGATGAAAAGTTTCTTTTATATTGATAAAAACTTTGTTTTACGTTGATCAAAAATTTCTTTTATATTGATAAAAAAATTGTTTTATGTCGATAGAAAATAATACAATCTGAACAAGAATACATGTAAATTAAATTTATACAATTTGAGCTACGAGTATTACAATTAAATGAACAATTGTAAAATGGGGGTTGGTCTCTGTCCGACGAATAGGGGGTACCCCCTTGTATTTATTAATTTGATTTGTAAAACTATTCTCAATCAATACAAATTATTTTCTGATTTATCATTTAGTTATCCACAATGTAGCTAACCCATGAGGAGTATAGGTATAAAATAATTGAAATCGTAATCCTAAATACTATTTATGTCAGCTGTTCTTCTGTGTTGGTTTTATGTAAATTTTGGTTTATTATTTTCAATAATGAGCCATTGTAATCGTCCAAAAAACTTCAACGAAAAGAAGCTGGAAAAAAGGTATGAAGGGTGGTAAAATCACATTTCCGAATAACTCAAGAAGTATACAATTTATTGTTCTATGTTTTTTTTTTTTTTAAAGTTAACAAATTTTACTTAAAAACATTTGTTGAAATTGGACAATTTGGAGCAAAGATATGGTGTCTAAATATGTTTATATGTTGTGCTGCAGTACTTATATCTTTTGTTTTGGATTTTTTTTTAAGTTTTACTTCAAATGTAGCAATGTTGTCTATTTTTTAAGCAAATTATCAATGATAAAACACGGAAATTATAATTTATATAATTATAAAAAATCATAATTATAAATTATAAGAAAAGGTCAATGTTAGTAATCTTAATTTTGATGTTTTTTTTTTTAGTTTTTAACTTAAATGTTTTAATATTACATTTGCGTATGTATAACAAATGAGTCGTTTATTTCCAAAGTGAACTCTAATAATTATTGACAACTTTTCAGGAAACTCAAAAAACTATGTTTTCCATTCCAATTGTAATATAAAAACAAATTTTTTAAAAAATAAATATATCTTTATTTGTAGTACATATTTCTGAATATCACTGATTATTTCTATGGCATTTAAAATACATTGAATCTTAAATAGGGCCCCTTTTCCAAACAATTAAACTTCAAGCCACGATTTTGAGAACAAAAAAAATGGGATTGGGTTTGTTTTGGAAAGAAAAAATTGTGTATGATTAGGAGAGAAAAAGTTATAATAACTGTTCTATAAAAAATTAACTTTTTGTTTAGATTAATGTTGCAATAAAATGAATTGATTTTTAATTTTTATATGAATAATACGGTTAAATAAATATTTTCATGGATTTATTTTTTTTCTAAGAGTATTTAAGAAATGCAAGTTTCATTACATTCCTTGAAAAAAAAGGCTGGTGCTGGAAATAAACTTATTTTCATAGCACTTTTTTTTTATTTTCACTTATATATATATATATATGTGCAATATATAGTAAGGGCAATTTTTGATCATGAAAATTTTCAAATCTTTGTTTTCAATGGAAATACGTGTTTTGAGGTCTCCTGAGTCCAAATAACCAAGTCCCGCAAAATGGTCTGTATGTGTATGTATGTGATCAGTCAAAAACTAGGTCAAAAACGAAAAGTCATATGAAAATGAAATTGAATATTTAAGGTTTGTGTATACCTTGGATGTTGAAGCAACTTTTTTTAGCAGAATCGGTTATCCAGAAGTGGCACTTTATATAATCGATGTTACACATTTTTACAATTTTCAGGAAAACGACTAAAAGGGCTAATTTTTAATATTAGCTTCCTCTAAAGTACCTTTATTTTTTTTATTTGAAATAATTAACCATTTCACTTTTATCTTTGATACAAAAAATAGTTCAATATAGAATATGAAAGAATTTGATAATTTACTAAAGGAGAAATAAGAGATCATTACGGGTAATATATGTGTGGTTTCATAAATGGTATTGTTGATATTATTTAATATTTAATTGTATAGATTACACCGATATAAAATTTAAAATTTGTCTATATTAATTTTTTTTAAATTAATTACACCATTGGATTAATTGGGTGTTTCTTGGAATCGATAGTTATCTCAATTTCCATAAAAATCAATTAGGATTAACTTTGGAAATAAGCTACTCAAATGTATCATCCCTGATTCCCCTTTGAACATTTTCTGAACAAGTTATTACTTATTATTGTTATCAATCATATCCTCTTTATGAAGTCCTCCATCGCAAAAATAAACTTTTCTAGATCAGTTTTTAATTAAATTCATATCATTTTACAGAAGAAAGTCTTGATACATTCTCGTGCTATTATCATTTATTTTTTCCATGATGGCCATCTTAGGATCATGCGTTTATCATTCCTTGGCTTCCTTTGTATATTCTCCATATTCTCTCTTGTAAATAACATGTTTTAAGGTTAATTGTTAATGACCTTTTTGGCACTAATTGGCGAATAGCCTTCCACTTTTATATTGGAAAACTAGGTTATTTACACTCGTAATTATTAAAACAAAACCAGCACTGGATATAGACTTTTTCAGGATGTTTAACTGTCGTTGGGAACTCGGGAATCTAATACCTTTTGTGACACTGAATGAGAAGAAACAATAAGAATATATATATAAAATGTGGGACTTAGTAAATACACTTTGGATGAATTGACTCATCTGGTTTGTTATTCTTCAGTCGTGAGGCATATAGGACAACTAAATAAAATGACTTTTCACTCCTGTATAATAAAACAATTTATTTTAACAACTGTAATAAATTATTGTATAAAAGTCTTATAACTGTAGGCTTGATATTCTTAATCTTCAATGTAGTAAGCCTCTCTTTCCAGATGACGTCTTCTCGTCTTCGTGTCCAGGCCTCAAGTGCTCTCGCCTCCATGTCACAGCCTCAAGTTCCTCTTCTCTCCTCTCCCTGGCATCTTTCTCCAGCTGCTATTACCTGACCGGACCTTTTTCCTTCTTCAATGATTGTTTATCGATATGAGACTTTTCAATGAATTTGTCCACTGCACAATTGAGTGCAATTCATCGTGCAACCTAAAATTCCTATATATTATATATTCCTTCTCATTGCCTCACATAATGTCACATAATAAAGGGATAAATACAGGGGGCTGTCTACTACACTCTCTTTCGCTCATCTCAATTTTTACTCTTTTCTATTACAAGGACCTTAATGTATTTTCTAAATTTTTCACTATCCTGGAATTCTTTTTCTAAAATACCAAGTCTTATTATTTTCTCTTTCATTTGACTCGGGTATCCTCTAAAGGTTCCGTAGCCCCACCACTTTGTCAAATATCTCTTTGTCAAATTTGTTTTCATTAATTCTTTTCATGTGCCCGAAAAATGTTCTCATTGCTGTTTCTAAGTCTTTAGTTCCTTCGTACAGTTCTTTGTTGTTTCCATTAGGCCAATACTCCTCTCCTACTTTTCTTGCTCCATTGATACATCTTAGGATTTTTCTTTATATTTCTAATAATTTTTCCAAACTAATAAACCACATTGTTTCCAACCTTTATAGTATCACTGGCCTCATCACTGTTTTATACTGTTTAATGTTTGCTTTTTTCAAAATATACTTTTTATTATAAGCATCCTTTGTCAAATGTTACAATTTTTCCAACTTTACTTCCTTATTGGCCTGTTTCCTCCGTTAGGTACTTAAACTGCGTGAACCTTTTGGTTGTCCCATATATTTTCTTAATTTTCCATTTTGTTTCCCTATTATTAGTCATCATTTCAGGTTTTTTCGAAAGATATCTGCTCCTCTCTCGCTTTCAGCAATTAGGGCCGAGTCATCCACGAGTGCTTAACACTTTACTTCTACTTATCCTTTCCCCTAAATAATTTTGTCCCAGATTGATTCTTTTTCCAGAACGTCTTTATAATTTCGTCCAACATGATGTTGAAATAATATTATTGATAGTCCATTCCCCTTGGTATTTTTTTATAGAGAAATAAATGTAATAAATAAGACAAATTACTATAGTTACTGCATTTTTCTGTTATTTAATCCTATTTTACAACGATAGTGAAAATGGATTAAAAGAAAGTGTTATTCTCAATTTTGTCTTAATTTTCCGTTTTATTTCCCTGTTAATAATAAAACTTTATTTATTCTGGGACGAGTCCCTTTAGAATAATACAGAAAGACATAAATATGTTATTGGTAATCATTTCAGTTTTTTGTCAAGATATCCGCAGTCTTGGTAATTCAATTCCTTAATTTGGCCTATTGCTCCTCGCTCGCTTTCAGCAATTAGGGCCGAGTCATTCACGAGTGCTTAACACTTTACTTCCACGAGTGCTTAACACTTTACTTCCACTTTTTGTCCTTTCCTCTATATAATTTTGTTCCAGATTGATTCTTTTTCCAGAACGTCTTCATAATTTCGTCCAACATGATGTTGAAATAATATTATTGATAGTCCATTCCCCTTGGTATTTTTTTTATAGAGAAATAAATGTAATAAATAAGACAAATTACTATAGTTACTGCATTTTTCTGTTATTTAATCCTATTTTACAAGGATAGTGAAAATGGATTAAAAGAAAGTGTTGTTCTCAATTTTGTATACATATATACATATACATATATTACCCTTCACTGAGACCACAGTTTTATTGAAGACCAACGGAACCCGCCATATAGTTCATCTACAGCTGTTTGTGCCTTAGCATTAGGCTTTGTGAAGTGTTCTCGTAGTGATGAAACTTATCAATTTACAGAAAATAATGAAGAATAAATCACTCCGCCACCTGCTGCCCCGTGGGTCTGCCTCAAAGGTAAACCCAGAAACTAGAAATAAGAATAATAAATATATTGCACTTAACTCTAGAGCCTCAGTATTCGTAAAATAATTTCATCAATAGAATTACATGTCATCAAAAGCATAAACTTACTAATTGCTGGTATTAGTGTTCTTTCTTCCGAAAGATGCCTTTATAACTGCAGTCTTCACTTTCATATTTATTACGGTATTAGTTCCATTTTGCTACTCCAATATATTGTCTGGTTTCAAGATCACCCAGAACACGCTATTGTTAGATTCTCGAAACTACTCTTAAATTGTTGAAAATAATTGCAACCGACCAATTATCAACTGTTTGGAGTTAAGTTAATAACTTCCCGCTATTTAAGGAGGTAATTTAATTATACTCACTGTTCACGTTAGATTAGGTCAGATGTAATCGATTGGTCTCTTGAATCATATCAACACAAGGTTGGACTTGAAATGTAAATAATAAGCTTCCTTGTTGATTTAAAGATTCCAGTTTTTTCTAGATTGAAGAAAAATGTAATCTATTAACAATCGTATGAACAAAGTTACCAAAAGAAAACATTAAAATGCCTATCATTGTTGTTTCTATAGTGCTCTTGAGATCAGTGTGTTTCATACCTTCCTACTAACAGTTTTGATAAGAGTAAGTTGAACATTTATGTTATATTATCTTCATCGTTATCTTTATGGTTAAATAAAGTTTTGGAATTTTTCTGAGGTATGCCTGTTATTGGTAACGACCCCTTGTCCATTAATAGAACATTTGAATTTCAGAGTGTCACTAGTGTAAAAGGATGTTTTTTTTTTTAATGGAGATTATACTTGCACAACTGAAATTTTTTTTCAATTTTAAAGTGTTAAATAGAAAAAGGAGACCCTAGAAATTCTAAATATTCAATGGAGAAGTTTATAACTATTATATTTACAGTGCTATAATCCATAAAGGACAAAAAATTCCTTAGCTTTGTCCATCACTGGTACGCATACTTCTTTTTATGTATAAATAACAGAGTGAGCTGAATTATCAAAATAATTGTCACCGATTCACTAGAAAATAAATTTATTGTGTTAAGAATATAATTTGAAAAATTATAACAGTTTAACTTTGAAAAATCATAAAAATTCTAACACTACCCAACTCAATTCTCACAACTTTACAAGAGGTTAAAAGGAAGGAACTGTTTAATTTTGTTGTTAACAGTCTCATTTTTATAAGTTTATCAGATTTGAAATTCAAAAAGTCTTGATATTTGACTCATGTATGGTTACCATTCAATCAGGAATAAAGAAACCAATCTGTTTAAATCCTAACTCATTTTAGTCAAATATTGAGTTAGTTTGTGTTAGAATTTATTTGACAAAATATTTAAAATTAAATTTATTATTGTTAAAAATGGTCGATGATATGTTGAAATAAGTATGTGGAATTCTGACCTACAATAAATTTTCACACCAACAAAAATTTCCTCTATATCCTATTTTGTTATTATGTGCATTATTTTTCCTATATTTCATCGATTTATTGCTAAAAGTCATTAAGTGACATTTCATAACCTCAAATAATTAAGAACTTTGATGAATTTTCCCGTAGTGATATTTAATTATGCATTTATTGTAATTATATATGAATTCATTTATATGCACTTAGGGTGTTTTTGTATGGATAAATACAGTCAAAATAGACAAAAAAATATTTGAAAGTTAACCTTTATCAAAAATGCATATAGTGTTTTTTTTTTAAATAAACCGACAATATATTTATTATTATACACATTTTCTTCTTATCTATCAGTTGAAAGTTTCAATTCAGTTGTAATAAATTGTTTTCATTTTTTGTTCTGTTTGTATTTTTTTATTATACGTATTTTTCCGTTCTGTATTTCCATCAAGGCAGCTCTATCTCTGGATCTAAATATATTTATCGATACTTGGTCACTTTTGTCATTCCTCGAGAATCTAGAAACAGTGTACTCTGGGTTGTCTTGAAACTGTCCACCATATTGTAGTAGCAAAACAGAACTATTACCATGTTATTAAATCTTTTATTATTATTCTCTTACTATTTCGACCGATGGAAGATCTTGGTTTCAGTACTCTACAAGGAGTATTGTTTCTAGAGAAATGGTAGTGCTAGGTGATTTAGCTCAACTGCCAGGTTTTGTTTTCCCTCCAAAATCAATTATAATTTTTTCCATAAAAAATGAAATTTTTGTTTTAAAACAATTTATAACTTGTTTCTCTTTTAGAAATTTCCAATCAAGATAAATTTATATTCTGATCAAGGTATCTATGGGTTTTATTTATTAATTATGATTTTATTTATTTATCATTCTATTCACATTTTAGCAAGTTTCACACCCTCATATATACAAGTTTATATCACATAGGTCACAGTTATTATTTTATTATTTATATCATATTGTTATTAAGTGAATAAAAATGATTAGTAATAAAACTTAAACAATTTTTAACTAAGGCCTATATAAAGAAAAGAAAAAAAACATCTCTATTTTTTAATTTTATGATTTTTAACTCGTAAGTATAGTTTGGTTTAATTTATTATAACCTATATCAATGGGCAAGTTCCTAAACTGATTATGAATGAATCTGCTAAGTGTAACCTCATTATGATCTCTATGTTATTTCTAAATTTACTATACATATTCATAGTGGTGTAGAGATGGTTGACCGTGATGTAATATGAGAAGGAGTTAGTTGTATGGGGGAGAGAGGGGGGGTGCGGTTAAATAAATACTAAATTTTTACAATAGTATTTTAATTGTTTCACCGATGTTTCAACCCACTTTGTAGGTTTTCATCAAGGCTACAAAAGATACAAAATAAAAAGGTACATGGTGAAAATAAAATAAATGAATTATAAGTAGATATTAAATAAGAGACAGTTGGCTGATAAAGAAATAATAAGATGACATCAGAGATATAGTGGGTGACAATAAAGTTGAGATAATAAGTATTACATATATAAAAGATACAAGCAAAAATAGAAAATAAGTGTGAATAAAAATAGAAAAAACGTTAGCGAAACAATTAAAATACTATTATAAAAATTTAATATTTATTTTACTGCACTCCCTCACCAACTCCTCATATACATATTTATATTCGTTATCTTTCTCAAAGGTGTTCTTTTGTCGCTATGCCTTATCTTCGTCAATTCTTCATAGAATCCAATGATTGAGCCCTCATTTTGAAGAATTTCTTCTCCTGAGGGTAGAAAAATAGTCACGCCCCCTCTGAAATTTCAGAGGGAAAAATTATGAAGGAAAACAAATTCTATCTGCGAATAACTCATACAATATACATTTTTTTCATTGATTGTCCCTGTGATTATTTGAAAGATTACTGAATTACTTTACATAACAGAAAAAAAAAATAGAAATCATCGAATTCAGACTATTATCAGCTGAAATACAGGTTATTATAATTTTTAAATATTTCGGTTTAAAACATGAATGATTTTATAATAATTTCTTTTCCTTGGTCGATTAAAATTATCGAAAATTTAGGACTTGATTCCTTCATCTGATGATACATTGAATTATTTAATTTCCTTATTATTTTATAATTGATTTGATCTATGTTCTTTGCCAATTATTCGTAAGAGCCAACTAGTATTTATGTTTTAAAATTCAATAATTCAGTAGACAAGTATCTTTTTTTGTTTTGTTTTAACTTTTCACATGTTTATACAATACAATAGATCGATCCTAAACTTACCATTAATTATTATCCATTGCTGCTAGATTAAATCGATTGATGGAATTAACTCTGAGTTTGGGAACTTGCCCAATAATGGAGTTACTGACATATTTTCAAAGGAGAAATTCTAATTACAGAAATCTTCAAAAAAAAGAAAAGAAAAATGTTTAAGTTTTACTTTTTGTGATAAATTAAGCACAGAATCAATTTCCAAAGTTTTTTCTCACATAATAACAGATAAGTGTGATTTTCTTTGGCTTGCTTTAATTTAATGGGTTTTTGTGACTAAACTACAAATACTGTTGCTATTGCATGATCTGTTTTTACTAATTATTGCCGATTGGCTTGTTATAATAATGTATGAGTATTTAGTTTTTAAATTTAATTATGTATAAACAAAATCATATGAAAATATTCTATATTTTTTAATTACTTTTTCTTACTTATACAACATTATTACTTTACTAATTATATTATTTCTTTCCATGCTCTAAATTTTTGTGATACTTATAATTTTAAATTTAAAATATTTTTCTAGTTTATAATTACATAACTTCTTAATCCAAGAAATTACTCCCCAATACTAGTGGAGATTTTAATCATGGTTGAAATTTAGTGTTAATTAGGTCTGTTAAAATATTTTGAAGAGAAAGAACCATTAACGAGACAAAGATAAACTATGCATTACAGCAGGGCATTTATTCATCACTTCTACTTTTCATACATACTCGGAAGCATCTCCTGAGATCTTATGAAATAATAGAATAGAGAATAATTTTATTCTGGAACTAAGTCCCTTTAGAATAACAAAAAAGTATAAAATTAAAATATTACATCTGGCCTAAATAAAACCAAACACAAAAAATAAAAAGAAAGATAAATAAGTGAAGAAAATATCAGTTAAACATACTATATACAAAACAAAAAAATGTATATACAAAACACTTGAAACAATGTGCAGTGGTAAAACATAAGTATACAATTTTAAAAGAAAAAAAAAATACATTAAATTCTTCTTAAAAATAAACTCTGTTTCTGTAAAAAAGAAAAAATTATCTGAGTATTTAAATGATGAATTATATGTAAATACATCATTATAGGGAGGGAATTCCATGAATTAACAGAGCAAGCAATAAAGGAATTTTAGAATGAGGCAGATCTGTGAGGAGGGATGTAAAGGTCAGAAGGTCGAGATCTTGTGGAAAGGGAATGGACTGAGGACTTGAATTGGAGAAGGTTAGGCGTAGGAAGGACGATGATTGTTGATGATTTGATAGAGGAACGTACCTAGGAAATATTGTCTTCGAATGGAGGGAAAGAGCCTTTTTAAATAAGTGTAGAGGTGAGAAGCATGGGAGTATCTCGGAGCATCAATCACAAATCTTACGTAGCTGTTCATTAGTCTTTTTCAGTCTACCATGGAACTCCACTGAAAGGCCATCATACACCACACAGCTGTAGTCAAAGTGGAGGAAGATGAGAGAGGATACAAGGAGCTTGCGGATAGATTGTGGGAGTTGGTGGCGGTTAAAAAATAAACCATCATGATGGGTACTCCGTATTGACATTTTTTTTTATTCTTTACCTCAATTTTGGTGAATATAGCTGTGTGGTTGGAATGGTTACAACCGAGTACTGGTGGATCAACAGAAGGGGGGGAACAGGAAGCTTTCGGGCTGAAACCTCTTCCCCCCAAAAAATAGTAAAATATAATTATGTCTTATGAAAAAAATATTAAAAAGTTATCTATAAAAGTATTATAGTTTATGTAATTACATTTAATAGGACTAGGAAAAGTATCATTTAAACACCATTTCATATAGGTAGTTTCCTTATCTTTCTTTCAAAGTAATTATCATAATATATATATATATATATAAAAATAAAGCTTTATGGCTGAAGCCTCCCAAAATGAAATCCTGGATTCATTAGTATAACCTAACATAATATGTTACCTTTATTTAATAGTTACGATCAGGCTCAATACATAGTGCTACTCAAAGTAGAGTGTTTAGTAAAAGTTGTGTTATGTGTACACCGCACTAGATATTTTTAAAGCTTTGGTTAAGGGATATACTGCCAGTAGTGGTTTATAATATCGCTTTTCTTTTAATTTTATTATGCTTTTATTTGTCTGCTTTATGAATTTTAAACATTTTTTTCTCGAAAGAGCATATATTTATACTTACACACTTTTTAATTATTGACTAAATATATTTGATCGCAGGTGTTCGACGACGTCGCCGTAGAACTAACTATGGCTGTTCTGCAGTTCCTTAGCGCTGACGGAAGGGGTGAGCCGCTCGTCTTCCGCTGCTTGAAGAGCCTCGCCCAGTTCTGCACTGCCTCGGGCCCCGACGTGCCTCAGCTGATCCAAATGATCGGCCCCCACCCGTCCAAGTTCAAAGGCCAATCACAGAGGATCGACGAGCTCGTTCAGCAAATATCAAATAGGCTTAGATAATAACCTGTTATGTTATAATTCTACGTACGCAACTTGAAAATAACTGATTAATGAAAAATGTGTTTGTTTTTGTTTTGTTCTTTTTTTTTTTTTTTTTTATGATAATTTGAATCATCGTCAGAAAGTGTGATTTGGTTCAAAATATTTATAGTATACAAGTATTACAAATACTTATTGTTGATTATAATTAAAGCAATTTTTATGTTTAAAAAGTATATTTAAAATTGATTGAAAATATTATGCTTGAATTTAATATTTAAATTATTGCAATAATGATTCACAAAGTAGAGGTTTTAGTTAGATCACTTCACACTTTCCTCCTAATAGTAGATTTCCTTCTCGAAATGAAGTAGGTTGTAGTTATTTTTTCCTCCGTCTTCCTTTACCAGTTTAAACTTTTAAAGAAAATAGATTGAAATGAATAAAATATAATTTTTTTTATTTGCTATTGTATATTACCCATTATTTAACTGCATTTTAAGTTTTAACTGCATTGATATTATTAATCATAAAACATAGTTTTATTATAATAAAATGAATATTCATTAATTTCTGTAAGACACCCTTCAAAGCGCTTGAATTCAATAATGTATGTTGTGAAAGACTGAAAAAAGAATTTTTCTGAGTAATTAACGGTTTGATTTATATTTACAGGATATTAAGCTATTTGTAACATTGCATGCATTTAAAAATTGATGAATTGTGCTTACTATCCAGAAATCTAGAATAAAATTTAAATTATTTCATTGTTGCCCGACATGATTAAAAATCATCATCTACCGGCAAACTAATCCTGTGAAAAACCTTAAAAAACAAAATTGTGAAACTAAATTTTATCATTCATGGTAAATTTAGTTGTAAATTTTTGCTATTTATTATTTTTTAACGATTTACCCCTTCCAATCTCTATTAAAAATAATTTCTTCCAGATATTTTTGTAGATATTAAATTCTGTTATTATGAGCAGAAGGGGATTTCATGGCGCAAGGTGCACCATCAAAATTTTTGAGGGGAACATATTTTGACAGGTTTTTTTAATTTTGAGGGGAGCAAATTTCGACGGTATTATGAATTTTTGTACTAAGATAAAGGGAAAACATGGAACATGGTGCTGCAAGTGTAATCGTATATGATCTACTATTTTTCTAATTCTACCTTAACTTGCTCTGTTTTTAAGAAAAAGTAAATAATAAAATATCTTGGGAGGGGTAAGTTCTTGCGCCATGGACCTTGGCTATTTACTAATAATATAATTTTCTTTTTCTTTTTTTTTTTTTGGAAAATATCAAACAATCAAATACTGCTTTATTAGACAAAAAAAAAAAAAAATGCTCAAAAATGTGTTATACTTTTAATATGTTAAAATTTATAAGACTGTATTGTTTTTATTGCATATTATTTTAGGAATTGATTATTACTAATGCTATTACAGCTTGGGTGTTTTAAAATAATGTTGCATACTTTTTCTCTTATCCAACATCAAAAATAAAGTTAATTTGGAAACAATAACTGTGTAGATAAATATTATAATATAAGTTGTTCAATAATGTCAATTATTACAATTTTTTAAAGTGAATCAAATTTCCTACCTCTTATTGTTAATAACTTTGTTCATTATCATTGGTTTACCTCGATAAAATGTATTACATTAAGATACACTGTATAGTTTATTTATTTGTACTGTAAGCTGTTAATTTTTTTTTTTTTTCCCTCTGATGTGATGACTTGATAATTTCTGTATTTCAAATTTTAAAAATTACGAATTTATGGACTGTATATGAAAATTGTCACTTTTTTTACTAATTTTTTTAATTAATATTTTTACTCATGAACTTGTAGATGATTTTGAAAACTATTTAAAAAAAAGTTATTGTGTTTTGATTAAACAGTAAATGATTTTTAATCTTGTTGATTTTGCCCTTTATCTTTTTGCAAGTACCTGTACCAGCATTCATTGTATTGAGGGTAATGAATGATCTTTAGCAGCAGCGCTCTTTCAAAATATGGTACATTTATACACATAAAGCTATATTCATGAAAATAAATGTGTATTTTATTTTCACTTAACACATTAAAGGCGGTAGTTGTAGTACTAAGATTTATCTCGACTAGCATACTTTTGTCAAGATCCCCTGCCTTTATACATGGAATATATAGTAAGAGTAAGTATTGCGATCATGAGATCCCCTTAGTCCAGATAACTAAATTCCACAAAATGTATCTGTTTATGTATATGATCAGTCTAGCTCAAATATGAAAATGAAATTGCATATTTAAGATTTGTATATACCTTGGATGTTACAGCAACTTATTTTTGTCAAAATCGGCTACCTGGAAGTGGCACTTTATATAATAATTTTCAGAAAAACGACTAACGATTTTGATCAAACTCTGTATATCAGTGTATTATTTAGCAGTATTTAATATACTGTAGGTTGTATTCTGATTTATATTCTCTAACAGGGCTTAAATGGCTAATATGAAATACTAGCTCTCTCTAAAGTACCTTCAGTTTTTATTATTTAAAATAATTAACCATTTCACATTAATCTTGGGTATGAAAATAGTTAAATATAAAATATGAAAGAATTTGATAATTCAGTAAAGGAGAAATAAGAGATCGTAACAGATAATAGTTGAAATAGAGGAACCAAAGGAATATGGGCTCGCCTGAAAGATTATAACTGGCTTCCATACGTAACATGAGCTTAATATCATACAAACTTCGACAATATTATGTACATATACATGTGTGGTTTTATAAATGCTATTGTTGATATTATTTAATATTTAATTGTATAGAGTACACCGATATAAAAATTAAAATTAGTAATATAAGGATAATTAAACAAATACAAATACCCACAATGAAATTTAAATAAATATAGTGTTTGTAATGATGTAGAGATGGTTGACCGTTGATATAATATGAGAAGGAGTTAGTCGAGGGTGCGGTCAAATAAATAATAAATTAAAATATATTAATTATTTTAATTTTTGCCGACGTTTCGACCCACTTTGCAGGTCGTCTTCAGGGCTACAAAAGATACAAAACATGTTGAGAATAAAAATTAAATATAAGTAGATATAAAATAAGAAGAAGTTGTCAGATACACAAATAAAAGATGGTATCAGAGATATAGTGGGTGACAATGTAGTAAAATATTAAGTATTATATATGTAGAAGATACAAATAAATGGCAAATAAGTATGAATAAAAATAAAAATAAAGGAGAATATAGCATGTAAGTTAAAAGTAAACAGATTGCGATAAAAGATAAGGAATAAATGTATAACAAACTAATAGAGATTCCATTAGATAGCTGTGGGTTAACAGATAAAGAAAATGAATGTTAACGAATAAATAGATTGAAAATTGAATAAGTAATGTTATAAAATAATTATTATATTTTAATTTAGTATTTATTTGACCGCACCCCCGACTAACTCCTTCTCATATAGTGTTTATAATTTTTACTTTTATCGCCCCTTTGAAAATACTTATTTCTGCTAAAAAGAGAATGGTAAGTGAAAATCATGTGATGCGCGCACCAGATTTTTTTGTTTCCTATAGTATTTTGCAATAATATGGTGATCTTAACTCCTTAACTGGATTATAGATATCAATGAACATAAAGCACGACGTTTTTGCATAATTTTTTCCATAAATTCAATTAAAAATAGTTTCCAAGGAATCAGAGCACTCTAGCAACTACTTTCAGCTACAATATTCAGGCATTTCTTGAATAAATCAATCATTTTTAATGGAAATATCCAGACTTCATATAAATACTAAATTTTAAAAATAGTAATTTTAATTATTATGCTGACGTTTCGACCCATCTTGCAAGTCTTCATCAGGGCTACAAAAGATACGAAATATAAAAGGTACATGGTAAAAATAAAATAAATGAGTTATAAGTAGATATTAAATAAGGAACAGTTGTCTGATAAAGAAATAATAAAATGACTCAAATCAGAGATATAGTGGGTGACAATGTAGTTAAAAAAACAAGTATTGTATATATAGAAGATACAAACAAAAATCTATTAAATCCTTTTACTTGAACATAGGACATTGACCAAACTTATTAGTGTCTTGGAATTACCCAATTTTGGGGCATATTATTATTTTAACTAATGTATATAAAATAATTTACATTAGATTAGACAAAAGCTTTTATATTTTTTTAAATTTATGTATTTTAAAGTTAAAATGACTGGTTTATGATATAACCTATAATATAATAATCGTATTATTTTAGATGTTGAAGAATGGGACAAATATTTCTCGAAACATTCACTAATAAATAATAATACAAACTAAATATGATTATATAATTTACTGACCTATAAGAAAAAAATTAATGAAAAGGTTTATAATAAAATGTTTAGGCAATATCTGTTCCACCGTTTCTTTTCTCATTACATTGGCGTTTCAGTTGTTGTCGTTGTGATTGCTACTATCACAGTACCCATACACGAGCAGCATATCCATGTACAGCGGCCGTATCAGATCTCCTGAAAGCCCCTTTTATCATTGACCTTAGTCAATTTAATCAGTTTTCTCATTAAAATTTTTGTCTACTTTAAGACAATGTACTTGGAATTTCATTATCTTGAGCAGTTTTTGGGCAATTCCTTGTTATTCAATAAAAAACGTAACCACACAAAATTGGTCTTAACTCTTTTTCAGTCTTAACTCTTAAAATGGCCCATGCATCAAATGAACTTTTTAATTGGGAATTTTGTCTAGAATCACCTCTCAGAGTTTGGCAATTAAGAACTAAGACACCATTTACATGTTTTCTAGAAGATACACTACTAACAGTTACAGCTTAATAACAGCAATATGTTTTTTATAAAGGACTAAATAATTTTTATTTTTGTAATCCATTTATTTCATAGCATAAAATAGGCTTCCATAGCCAAAGTTTAGAACCAGTAAATAGGAAATATTAGAAAGAAATAATGACAAAACATTTATTTAAACAAATATCGTACAATAATAAATAATGGAAATTAACAACAAATAATTATTGAGTAATCGCACTTTAAAAGTTATTTTAAATATATTTTTGTTTCTGAAATAATAATAATATCTTATATTAACTGCATTTTATAAATGTAGAGTATTGTCAATCATAAAATACAATAAAACCTAAAACCCAATTTAAAAGCTTTTTATTATAAATTTATCACAATCACTTCGTTTAAGACATATTGATATGTTCGTTGAATGATGGATAAAACATCAACAAAGAATAATACAAATAAAACTCAAATTAAGTTATACAATTAAATGCTTGAAGTTAAAAGCACTACAAACTAATTTGGAATTTATTAATAATGTTTTTAACATTATGAACTACACAACCTAAATTACCGAATACAGCCAGTTTTATTATAATATCTACTTTTAGAAACACATTCACATATAAACTGATATAAATAAATACATGTAAAGCTAATTTTTAATCTTTGTTTATTCTTTTAAAAAAAAGCTAATACTATGTTAGAAGTTATCACTTCATAAATTATATTACCTAAATGGCACTTGCACAATATAAAACATTTTATTTATCAGCACATTTAGATTTCTAATACTTTTCATTGGAACACTGCAAGCAGGTTGCCGTATAAGAAGTCAGTTTTGGGCTAGTAACCAATGATAAATTTTATACATAGTAGAGTCTCACTAATCTAGACCAGATTTTTAAAAATATATAATAACCAGTAATTAATCATTGCATTAAAAAATGGGCCACTGTCTAAAGATAAAATAATAAAATTATTTATAAAATTACATTAAAATACTTGTATAGAAGAATGATTGGGGTAATCAGTAAAAATAAAATAAATAAGTATATTTATTTTTGCCGACGTTTTGGCCGGAGGTTGATGAAAGAAGTTCATCATTCATCAGGGCTAAGAAAAAAACAGATAGCAATACGTATGAGAAACTATAAATAAATAAGCGAGATAATCATAGAATAAAATGTGATACAGATTAAAGGAATATGATGTTATATAAGGAAATAATAGATATAAATAGAAAACTGAGATATTATAAAATCTAAGTCAGTGTGTTTTGATAGATTTTATAATATCTCAATTTTCTATTTATATCTATTATTTCTTTATATACTTCATATTTCTTTTCTGTTTTACATTTTATACTATGATTATCTCACTCCCTTTTAGCACACTATAATTATGTCACCCCATTTATTTGTTGTCTACACTTACGTTTGTTATCTCATATATTTCACTACTTTGCATTGTTGATTCATTTTTCATTTCTTATGTTACCTTATTTTGATTATGTTTATTTCATTAATCCATACTTTGTTGCCATTATGTTTTATTTCTAAGTTCTCTGTTACTGTCATTATTCTACCTCTTTTGTTTTACTTTAAGTTTATTCTACCAACAGTTTTTAGTCTATATCTTTCATCTTTTTTACTTTCCTACCTATACTAGGTAAGGAAAGTATTGCAATCGGGTCAAATTTCCGATCTGCGGTTTTCGACGGATCTATACGTTTCAGAGCCCCCTGAGTCGTTTAGTCTGTCGTTTGAAAGGTAATGAAATTCGCTACAAAGCCACATAAAAATCGTTCATTTTGGACAACTATTAACGAAGTTACAGCTATTGAATTTCCGATGTAAGATTAGGAGTTCATATCCTGATGTCAGAAAGGGGTGAATGAGAGAATAAAGATGACTAAGTGAAAGTAAGAAAATCTGTGGCCCGCATCACACAACCTTCACTATTTCCTCTACTTTTAACAGAAATTATTGTTTGACAATACTAACTTATAGCAAAAAGTTTTTGATCAGCAATATTAGAGGGTATTGAAATTTTTACACTGATCTGCCTTGAGCCGGTTCACATTGCTTTAGTTTATCAAATAAATCGTACTCAAATCTTTTCTTTGATCAATTTTCAGGAAAATAAATCTAGTTCAATTTTTTTTTTTTTTGTTTCTTCATGAGCATATGTAAAGATATAAAAATTTTCTGAAATAGGTAGGAAAGTCGTGTGAGTGGACACACCAGATATTTTTCTTAAATTTTCTATTGCTCAATGTTTATAGTTTCTTCTACCTATTGCTATCTATTTTTTTCTAAGTTCTGAACTTTGGACCAAAATGTCTGCAAAAATAAAAATAAATATACTTATTTATTTTTATTTTTTTTTTTACTGATCACCACAACCATTCTTCTCTTAATTAATCACTACAGTGAATCATCAACCCAAAATATAATAAAATACATTATAACATTTATATTGAAACATTTCGGCTCTTTGATATTTCATTATTCAAATCTGTATTAAAATGTATTCTGTTATATTTGTTTTTTTCAAGAGTAAATTACCAATAGTATAAACCAACTTGAGCGAAGAGTTTAATAAAAAACTAAAATTTAACAAATACTTTAAAAGACAATTATAAAAATTGTTTTGGATTATGTTGGATACATAAATAGATAATACTTGGTAGAAATTGGGATGTTGCCAAAAGATTTCAATATATGTAATAATGTAATTTATGGATGATATTCTAAGATTTTTATTGCCAAAGTGCCTTGATGGTGACCCATAGGCTTGGGTTGAAACGGCAATAAAAACCTTAAAAACTCACTCTATCGAGCAGTAGGCTAACTGCCTTCGATAATGTAATTTGATAACATTTTACTCCCTTAACTCAAATGTGGCATAACCTCAGCCACGACAAAAGAAAGATTGGAGAAATTATTAGTGTCCGATGTTCCTTTAAGACACCTATGCTAGAAGAAGCTAATAATTACGGCTCAAGCTGAACAGAAAACTTCTGAGCAAAATTATAGCAATCTAGAAATAGAAATAGAAAAATCATCTTTATTCTGGGACTAGGTCCCTTTAGAATAACAGTATTGTTCATGTATATTAACTATAAATCTGGTCAAAAGACTTATTACAATGAATAATAACAAAATACATGTAATACATTAAGTATTAATTAAGCTCTTAGGATAAATTAACGAGAACAGTTGGGTAATAGGGGTTCAGTACTACAATATTGGAGCTAAAATAATTGCATAATAATCACTGAATGAAATTAGAAAGGAAAGTAAAATCTATTTTATCGGTAAAGCATTGTAGTGATGGAATATAAAAATTAAAAAAATAATAATAACTGTTAATATGTAGGGAAAGAAATTGTAGAAACTAAAACAAAAAAAATATAAAAAAACAAATAATGATATACATATGTTCCCTAAGATATTTAAGTGATTATGCGTAAAGATTAGGAGAAGAGAAAATAAAATAAAGTATACATATACACATAGCGAGAAGTATGTTGAGGATAATTAGAAATAAAATACATTTCACTGAAATACATTTCATGAATAACAAATTAGAACTTAAAAAAAACAAATTTTATCTACTCACCATGCTTAGTGAGTGGTGATGAAAATTCATGTTCAACACAGAATTAAACAATAAAAAATAAGAGAAAAAAAATCTATATGGGTCATTGTAAATTAAACTGTCACATGCTCTAACCCGGGCTGACAGATACCTCTGTGCAACTTCTGCCGTAATGAGAATGAAAATGCTCTTCATATAATCTGTTGGTGCAACAGGTTTAGCTAGACTTAGCAATGTACACTTTCGATGATCTTGAAAGAGTATGGTCCTATCTAGTTTAGATTAGGAAAGTTCTACTATCATTAAATATAATAACTAAGTATTGACAGTTTTGTAAACTTAATGAAGAGCTGTGTGTTGCTTAAAAACAAATTTTCTTACCGTCTTCTAAACCTTAACCTACCCGTCAGTCTCAAAATAAACTGGTCTCAGACCAAAATGAAATCAGTTTACTCAGAGGGTAAACAGCAACTCAATTTTTTTTTTAGACTCGGAATAATAATGTTCCGAGGTAAGTAAGACTAAGTTAATTACTTAGGATTAAATCTAGATTCAATATTAATAATAAATAATTAAATATTATCTAATAAATGTATTTATAATGAAAATGCAAAGTATATATTTTCTTTAAATAAAATTAAAGAATAGAATTTGAGACAATACGACAAACTATTGGATTAGCAAATATGTCGGTTTTTCAACGTGAAATAAAATTGGTGTATTCTAGATATGAAACTGTATCTGCAATGTATTGACCATGATCTGTTTCTGTCTTTCCACTAACTGCATAATGTGCGTTCATACAATGTCAAAAAAACTTATACAGTGGTTTTTGATGTCCTGTTTGTTTTGGAATTGCTTTTGATTCAAGGAGTTCCTAGATCTAGTGAACATGGAGGATGAGGCAAAAGATTAAAGATGAAGGGTGGTAACAACTTAGCCGAGCTCGTGGAAAGAAATTGTTTCATATGCATTTATAGGGCACATCTTGGGCCGTAGTAATCTAAATCAGGTGGAATTTTAATCAACAATGGCCTTAAAATGGCTCGCTTCAATTTCTTGTGGGCGACCTGACCTTGGTCAAAATTTCTTGAACAAAATGTGGCAAACCAATTTTGAAACATGCGTTCAGTTAAAGATGTTCATCGCCATGAATACTGTAAATTTTGTATGATCTTCTGGAGCATGTTTATCGACATTTTCTTTCAAATTCATAATGAAATACGAAACAATATACTAATCTCATTTTAACATTCTACAGAAATGGTTGTTGATATATTACAAATATGATAAACAATCCACGTTAAGTATTAATTCATCAGATAAGAAGTGTATATTACTGATATACTTCTTCTTCTTAATCATTTCCTCTTCTACCGCTGAGCGGTGTGAGGAGCCTTCTTGTAGAGCCGAATCCACAACTCTCGATCCTGAGCCAACTGCCGCCTCCTCCTCCAGTAAATATCTCTTCTGTCCAAGGCCTCCTTGACACTGGCCTACCAGGTCTTCCCTGAGGTCTTCTTCCCTCAACATTGCTTTCCAACGCTATCCTGGTCATTCAATTCTCTGGCATTCGAGAGACATGACCAAACCATCTCAAACGATTTTCCTCCATCACCGTTTCCGCTGCTCTTATGTTTAAATTTTTCCGTATTATGGAGTCTCTTATGCGATCTCTCTTTGTTTTTCCTTCAACCCTGCGCAGGAATCGCATCTCCATGGCCTGAATCTGGCCGATGTGCTTTGTGGTGAGGGTCCATGACTCGCTAGAGTAGGTCATTATTGGGAGGAAAGTATTTGATATAAAACTAAAAACTAAAAGGACTTATCTGCTAACTTAAGATTTAACAAATTGAAAATTACTTATTCAATAAAACTAAAACATAAAAAATTGCTTTTTTAAATTATTAGTTTGTAATGACTGTAATTTTTTTACTTTCCTACTGCTCTTATTTCCTTTGCTATGATAGCAATTGTCACAACCGCTGCCATGATATAAACTGTATGGCACTGACATTTGCTGCTTCGATAATACTATACCATGTTAACTGTTACACGTAGACAGACACCTACCATTGAACTGTTGAACCTTACCTACTAACAGTATTAGTGCTGACCTTAATTTTTTTATAATTACAATTGATTCATTCCAATGTTTTTTACACTATTCAATTCTTGAAGGCAAATTAAATGCAATTTAATTTAGCATTAATTATAAAAAATTTTAATTTGGAATTAATATTTATCCTCATTAAGTTTCTAAATTCCATTAAATTAAATTTCTTTTGATATATGAGTTGCCTTGTGAAAATAATGATGAAATCGGTTCTCCGAAATCAGTGCTGCCAACATTTTATCAATATTGCTAGTTGGGAACTACAACTCGGTGAGAAGTCCTGGCCTTCTCAACCAGCTTCTTCCAAACCTCTCTGGTGGCCACTAGTGTCCTTTAACACACCATCGTATCATCCAAGGATTGACCTTCCGAAGAGCTGTTCTATCAGCAGCTTCCTTGGCGTCTCGTTCAGGCCACATAGCCATACCAACCTAGAACTTGAGCAACATCAGGCTCCCAATTATTATCTAAAAACTCTTCTTCTCCTTTAGCTGCTTCCTTTCGTGCCACTCAGCGTAAGGAGGTGAGCAGTCACGAACTCCACTTCTAACAACTCTTGGTCGCTCATTTTCCTTTATTCACTGCCACTCTTTTCTCCTAGTATCTTACAAAGGACTTCAAATATTTAAAGCTTTTGTTCACTATTTGTTAAAAGTGTCCATGTTTCAGAAACAAAGGGGAGAATCGGCTGGATGTTGGTGCTTTACAGAAATATTTTTATCCAGTCATTTTTTAATTTTTTTTATGCTTGGTATCCTATTATTATTAAGATGGTTTTTGGCCAAGGTCACCTAATTTCATTTTCTTTAATATTATTTTATTATTGCCAACATTTCGGTTTCAAAGAGCCATTTTCATGTACAAACTATTGTACAGTGTCGCTATATTTGTATCATTTTGGAACAAAATTCGTCTATTTAAAGCATGACCAGTATTTCATTTTCGGCAATTTTTTTATGCTACGGATTTGAGGAGTCCTCGTGTCCTATTTTGTAGCCTAGCTCTGGAAGTCAAAAGGTTGGAAATAATAAAGGGAACAAAATTTGATGACTTATGAGCTTATTTAGTGAAATTGTTAGTCCTCGAAAACAAACCTAAAATCTTTGTAAACCAAATTAAAATTACATTAACTTATTTTTCTCACAAGCGACGGGTTCTCCACAAAGTGATAGGTTGTTGCCTATATTATTAATTCTGCCACACGTTCAAGGCAAATTGAAAACTTTTTTTTTTAAACAATAAAAAAAATGTAGGCCAGTAAATATAATTAAGTTTTAAATAAGAATTTAAAATTCTATCTTTTCAGATGTTATCTTCTTAATATGCCAATTTAACTAGCATTATAGGAATAATATGATATAACATTTTATTAAAGAATACTACATAATAGATTGAAATTCAGTCTCTAAAATATCAGTACAACTTTCCTACTATCGATCCTAACTAGCTAAATACATAAACATCAATACTGATTACAGTTTAAAAAAAAAAACGGTATCACAGACAGTCCACTATAGCTACAGTGCCTGACCAGACTACGCTGCTTTCTTGGCAGCTACTTCTTTTCAACTTCTTCGCTTGTTTCCTTGTCAATATTGTTCAATAATGGTACTTCTTCTTCCTGTTCATTATCCCCTATAGACAAACAATTATTTAAAATATATAAATATGTTATAAAATATAAAATAACAATTTAAACTGTGATTCATTGATAACAATAATCAATAAGTAGTTAAATTTAGTTTGTTTTTTTTATTCCAAATTGCCAGAAAGACATAATATTAGATTCGGTGCTCCAACAGGAACAAAAACGTATTTATTATATTTGGTGTCCAAACAGAGACTGAATGAAGAACGTAATATCATATGAGATACAATAATATATCACAAATACTAGAAGAATACAGTGGAATTACTGATTCATGGATTTGAAACTCTCTATTACATTCTTCAATCGGTCCCTATTGGGGCACCAAATCTATATCTTTCACAAGTTTTGATTAACAACAGTAAATAAAACTGACTTTACTATCTTATGAACCGTAGACTAACAGAGCCAAATTTAATTTATCTAAATGCCTAATTTCGTTTTCTAATGATCTTATAATTTATATCATATTTGAAAATGTACATGGTTAATGTTCAATCGGGTGTGAAGAAACTGATTTCACTAGCTAACTTTATCATTTCCAACAAAAACTGAGTTAGGCGGTGGTAGAACTTAAATAACAATAAAATTGCTTTTACATATAAATTCTATAATATATGATGACATATAAGTAACAAAATAAATACAAAATCATTTTTCTTAATTTGCTTGGATAATAGAAATAAATGAAGCACTGAGATCCTCAAATTCTCAGTTTTGGGATATTTCATTCAATCTGGAGATCGACAAACTTTATCTATTTAATTAGGTACAAAAAACTCATGAATACTCATTACCGAGTTGGAGGTCACGCCAAACAGACCAATATTTTTGTAGGCCATCTTTTTTTTTTTCCCACTTTATGATCATATTATCTTACGATTCGAGTGAAAAGCAAGTGGTTATTCATGAGTATGAGTTTTTAGTACTTAATTAAATAGATAATTTTAGATATAGATAGATCTCCAGATTGAAAACGCCCCAATTCTGACAATTTTCAAGAATAAAATATTTGTAGGTTAGGATGAGATGAAGCTATTTAGTAAATTTTAGATGAATGTTGATCATTTGGTAAAAAGAGCTTTGTACCATGGACTACTAACTAAATATGACCTGTTTTTATTATTTAGAGAGTACAATGTCAATTTCACACAATAAATAGATTAAATAAAAGAAAAACTAATTACCAGCCAGAGCGAGACTGGAACCCAAGCTTGGAAGATAGGATCACAGTGCCTTATACACAGAGTTACTATACTACTGCCATTTTGTTTTGATACTTTGAATAGAGAATAATTTAATTATAGTAAATTAAATCCTCAGATATTGCATTTTTACTGTTATGAGAAACTTAAGATATTATAAATTGAATTAGTTTTTTTTTCTCCAAATATATCATAGGAAAGATTCAGACGATTCCACAAAAATTACAACGTTTACTTTAAAATGATTCAATAAATTTACTTTTTAAAATATTTTAATTTTAAATATATAAATAATTTGATTATTTATGACTTACTTCGAGCGAATTTTAATAACTCGATGTCATGAAACGCACAGATGTTCAGGTGATAAATCGTGTTAATAGTACAGATCACGTGTGAGAGATTTTCCAATAGACAAGTATATTTCACCTTATCTATATCAGGTTGCGAATAAAACCAATTAAAAATATATATTATTGTATTTTTTTTTAAATTAAAATTAAATCTTACTAATATTAATTCATTTGAAATTATTATAATTAATTTAAAAATCCGAGGGCTGAAAACTTATTGGTTGAGGATCTGACTACAACTCATTAATAAATAAGTAATGTATATGATCGATTGGCTAGGATTGTTCTTTTCTTCGGTAGTATTGAGGTTGATGATACACTCATGTATCACTAACAATCCTTTTGTTCATGGTTCACCTAAATCTGAGTTCATCGTTTGCTCGCTGTGATGATAGGAGACTATCTGAGAAGCTTTTTGTCCGTTATTGGCTCTTACATGACTTGTTCACTCCCCGAAGGCATGCTGTATACTGTCTCCTGAACTTGGCAAAGCCTGGATAGATAGCCAGTTGTTGATTGTTCAAGATCGGCTGAGATTTCCACACTGCTGTCTTGGCTTTAATGTATATTAATTAGCAGTAGCCCCTTATCATTCAACCACCTTGATGCAGTAAAAAGGCTTAAGTCAAATTTGGCAAACTAAGAGGGATATCAAATGGAGTATGTTGTAACCCATAATAATCCCACATCAGAATCTTTACCCTTGTCCAGAGGTGTCTCACAAGGCTCTTCCTTATCTCCCACCCTTTTCTTCATCTATATAAATGGTCTCCCATTCTCTATCATGCACTATCAATACCATCTATTTTCCGACAATGTTCAAATTTACCTCTCCTTCAATCCGACTGATTCCTCAGATGCTATTCTAAAACTCCAAGAAGATATTAATATTAATAGAATAAGTGCTTAGGCAAGCCTCAACAGGCTTAAGATGAAAGCCATCTTGATCGAATCCCCCTCACGCCTCAAATCCTTTCCGGTATCCCCCAATCTTCTCCTGAACAACTCACCTATCTTATTCCATACTAGCGTTAAAAACGTAGGTGTTACTTTTGATCAAAATATTTCCTGGCAACCATCTCTCCCGTTTTTTCCCGTCGCACTATCTCCACCCTAAAACAGTTCAACCGTCTATGTTATCTCCTTCCATATAAGCCCTGTCAACTCCTAGTTTCTTTTCTTGTTTTCCCTCACTTTGACTATGGCTGTATAGTGTACGGTGGACTCTCGGGAGATTTCAAAGCCAAACTTAAACGCCTAATGTGTTGTGCATTACGTTTTGTTTTCAGAATCTCAAGAGATACGTATATTAAACAGTATTACACCTTGAAGTGGCTCTATCCAACCTATCGCCGTCAGTACTTGCTAACTACCTTTCTGTACCAGGTCATTAGAATTCATCGACCCTCCTATATTTTTCACAGCTTAAAATTTAAATACTCCATCCAATCCCGTTCCGCTAGATCTCGTACTTCAGACCTCTATCCTCCTTCCCACCGAACTGCTGTGTTTGAAAAATCCTTTGCAATTCAAGCTGCCTCCCTCTGGAATTCCATCCCTGCTAATACTAGACACGCACAATCAGTTTCCTCTTTCAAACCTCTACTCTTTAAACAGCTAGCCTTTCTCGATCCGACTGATTATGAAATATACCTAAGAGAACTATTTAAGTACCTCCAGAGACTATTTCTTTTTATTCATGTTATTTTAGTTTCATTTGTTTGTCTTATATATATATATATATATATATATATGCTTTTCTTTTTTTTCTCTCTCTCTCTTCTTCTGTATTTCTACTTTTAATTAACTATTATTGTAAATATTTAATTTATTTATGACCACACAGATATGTATTCTGTATTTATAATTTGTTCTAAAGGGACCATAGACTGTTGCCAGAAGGACCGTAGCTAGTAAATGGTGGACAAGGAGCCAATGACAGTCTTCTAAAGCAGAGTAAAATCGCTTATTGCAAATGGGCAGGTAGCACTCTACAACTATCATGAAGACAACACCCGAAAATCAACGCCACTAGTCTTCTTGGTATTGGTGTTTAGAGCGAAACCAAGTCCTCTGCGTTAGAATTTTTCGATTATGATACAAACAAGCACAAAAAAAAGATTTAGACTTATTTGAATAATTAGGACTTTTTTGTGGTGTTCATTGTCTCAACATAATCAGCCCGTCTTCAGGACAAGAGTAGGCTGTTGGAGTTGTTAAGAGCCGGTATTAGTTTCCTAAGACCTCCAATAGTTTACACTTGAACTAAAGTTGGCCCACCCGATTGAGTTGAAACCTAGACAATAAATATTATAAAAAATGACTTTTGAGTCCTGATAAATTATAACTTATCAGTAAAGTCGAATAACTACCATTAATTAAAAGCTTTTCATTATATTGAGTTGGTAAATAAGTCCTTTCGGTTTTTCAGGGTGAAATAAAACTCAATGTATTATAGGCATAAAATTTATTTTAATCTACAATATATATGACTTTTTCAAATCTTTCCACGAACTGCATAATGTCATGTTTATAGAATGTCTGGAGTTTATTATTAAAAACTGATCTAAATTTCTTTCCATGCATGGAGTTCTGCAGAGACCGGAATAAGTGGTAGTCACTTGGAGCTAGGTCTGGTGAATAGGAAGGATGGGGCAAAAGGTTCCATCCAAGGCTCAATAATTTATTGCGAGTGACCAATGAGGTGTTGGGCCTAGCGTTGCCTTGGTGGAACACAACGTCCTTCCGATCATTCACAACTTCAGGATGTTCTCCGAGTTCGATGTTACTATATCCGTTAGAAAGCTGAATTATTATTTTTCAAAACCGTATGAATGATTTAATGCTTACATAAGGAATAAATAAAGAAAAACTCCTTATAGGTTTTTATTTTTTATCTGCATTTGTAGTTTCTTTACGAAGGTCCTGTTGATGTAATTTTGTGTAGTTTATGTGGCCCTAAATTCCTACTAAATTTCTTGTAGATAGCTGAAAAGTCGTATTGAAGTTACAACATTTTTTGTGATTTAAAAAAAAAAAATAATGTGAGGGACCCAAAGATTAAGCCTGGAAACATAGCCAAGCTTGTGCAAATGGTTTTCTAAGCTTATTTGCGACACATTTAGGGCCGTAGCAATCTCTCACACTTATTGGGCAGGATTTTGATCAACAATGGCCTTAAACATTGCTTGTTTCAATTTCATTGGACGGAGCATCATTGATGTCAAAATTTCCTGAATAAATTTTAAATACCAATTATGACAGGTGCGTTCGGTTAAGGCATCATCCCCATTAACACTGCAATGTTTTCTATGAGCTTCTGCAGCACGCTGACTTTTTTAAAAATAATACAACAAAATATGCCGATAATGAATGATATTTTCTTCCATATTCACAGTGCAATAGCAAACACAATACTAAATTAGTTTC